GCTTTACAGGCAATTCTTACAGGCTTTTGTTTGGAGACACCAAGGATAGCTCAATGATGCTGCGACAAGCACAATCCAAACCCATGAAACTCTCCACCTCCCATGATATAGCGCCACGGGTCATGCCATTTGTCCATCAAACTGTGAACACTTACGGTATGCCAAATACTTTTACATTAATTCCCATCACCTTTCTACCTATCCATGTATGTATATGTTGTATGGTGTGTAATCTTTTTTATAAGTTTTAACTTGGATAGTTTTTTTGCGTTAAATACATTTTTGGTGATTGGGTTGTATGCGCAAATTCAATTTGGAGGTGCAATTTTTATTTTTATTTTTTTAGGAAGGACATCTAGTATTCTTCCTCTAACTCAACTAGTTAGGGAATGTTGTGCTATTAGGGTTTACAAAATTGGGGGAAAGCTTGGGTTGAAATTGAAATTGTGAGGTATAAGGTCACGGATTGGATACTATATTGAAGCTTGAATCGATTGAGTGAGAAACTTATTGTGACTTCGGATGGCAAGGAGATGTAATCAAGGTGATAGAGCACCAAAATATATTGTTAAGTTGTTGATTTCATTTTAATTTGATTTTGCTTTTTTATTTTTCCTTATACGTCACAATTTTGATTTCAACCTAAGATTTATCTCAATTTGTTAATGGAAGATAACATAATGCCTATAAATTGTAAACTTTGAGAAACACAGTGACCAATTTGGCTAAATTTTTTTGTCAATGACCAAATTGAATTTTCGCTTGAAACCCAATGACCAAAAGAGTATTGAACCCTCTTTTTTTTTTTAACCACAAAAATACAGGTAGGAATTCTTTTGTCTGGATGGGACCCATACCAAAGGTGAACATCATGAATCCTGAAGATTTGAAAGAAATATTCAACAAACATGAAAATATGCAGAGGACAGTAGCAAACCCTATTATCGACTTGCTAGTACAGGGCCTTGGATCCACTGTAGATGAAAAATGGGCTAAACACAGAAAGATTATCAACCCAGCATTCCATTTAGAGAAGCTAAAGGTACTCACCAACATTCATTTATATTTTTGGAGATTTAGTTAGCAATTGCAATTGTGTACGTCCACTATTTTTCCTAAATTAATGTATATTTGTTTATAATTTTTGTATTTCTTTTTTAATTTTTCCTTGTTTGGTATAGGGTATGTTACCAACATTTTACCAAAGCTGTAGCGAGATGATTAACGAGTGGGAGAGTTCGGTGTCCAAAGAAGGTTCATGTGAGTTGGATGTGTGGCCATGTCTTCTAAATATGTCGGCCGATGTGATTTCTCGGGCTGCATTTGGAAGTAGCTATCAAGAGGGAAGAAAAATATTTCAGCTACTACAACAACAAACAAAAAATTATGCAGCAGCCATCCAAAGTGTTTACATTCCGTTTCTACCAAGCAAGCATAACAAGAGGATGAAGGAAATCAATAAAGAAATAAGAGTGTTGCTCAGGGGTATTATAAATAAAAGAGAAGAGGCAATTAAGATGGGTGAAGCCAGTAATCATGACTTGTTAGGTATACTTTTGGAGTCCAACTTGAAGGAAATTCGAGAACATGGGAACAAGAGAAACACTGGAATGAGTGTTGAAGATGTAATTGAGGAGTGTAAGTTGTTTTACTTCGCTGGCCAAGAGACCACTTCTACGCTGCTTGTTTGGGCAATTGTTTTGCTAAGTCAAAACCAAAAGTGGCAAGCTCGTGCAAGAGAAGAGGTCTTGCAAGCCTTTGGAAGCAACCCACCAACCTTTGATGCCCTAAGCCAACTAAAAGTTGTAAGTATATATTTTTGTAGTAAATTCTCTTGCTACATATGTAGTTTTACTTAGAGACCTTGACCATATAAAATGTCTCAGGTGACCATGGTTTTACTTGAAGTTCTTCGATTATACCCGCCAGGTATTGAGCTTCCACGAACCCTTCGAAGGAAAACACAGCTTGGAAAGTTCTCATTACCGGCTGGAGTCGATGTCTCCTTACACATACTGCTTGTTCACCATAACAAAGAATTGTGGGGTGAGGATGCACATGAGTTCAAGCCAGAGAGGTTTTCAGAAGGAATTTCAAAGGCAACAAAGAACCAATTTGCATACTTTCCTTTTGGAGCTGGTCCACGGATTTGCATTGGACAAAACTTTGCTATGCTGGAAGCAAAATTGGCCTTGTCATTGATTCTGCAACACTTTACCTTTGAACTCTCTCCATCCTATGCTCATGCTCCTGCGTTACTAACCATCCTTCAACCTCAATATGGTGCTCATATCATTTTAAGTAAACGTTGATTAGATAGCTTTTGACAATGATGAGTGAGGAGAAAGGAATACTTGCAGAACTTCTGACGCTTAAGTCAATATGTGCATGAGAAGATTGTTGCAATTTTTCTATTTATTTAAAAGGTGGATGACCTCTGCTAAAATATGGGGGAGTAATTGTGAGAATTTTCTGTGTATTCTTCTCTTTGTAGGAGACCATATATATAATACACTCTGCTTTGGAGGCCAAGTCAAACTATAACTCCTAATTTTATTTACAGTAGGAAATTAGAAATAAAACAAGGAAACAAATTAATCAACTCACGCTCACGCCAACACTCCCCCTCAAGTTGGTGCATAGATGTCACCAATGCCCAACTTGTCTAGTGATTTGTGGAATGCTCTACTAGAAACTGTCTTTGTCAATATATCTGCTGATTAATCCTTTGATTTAACAAATGGAAATTGAATCTCCTTTGCCTTGAGCTTTTTCTTGATAAAATGTCGATCAACTTTAACATGCTTTGTGTGATCATGTTGAACTAGATTATGTGCAATACCTATTGCATCCTTGTTATCACTAGGGATGGGCATCGAGACTTGAAAATTCGAACACCAAGCCTCACCAAACTGAAAAAATTGGAAAAAAAATCGTATTGACTAAAAAGTCAACAAATTGGCAATGAATCGGACTGGACTGGTTCAAACCGATTTCGGCCGATTTCACACCTTACTAAACTAGACCGGACAGGCTATTCATTTTTCTATTTTTTAAAATTTATTTAAGTCCAATGCTAAATTTCTAATACCATAACTAATATTTCCCCAAACCCAACTTCAAAGCACCTCTCTTTTTTAGGCCCAATCATCTATCTTAGCATAAAATTGGGCCATTTATGAATTTTTAAGCCCGAATATAAAATTTTAGTTGGAATTTGTAAAAAAAAAAATTGAAAAAAAAAATCAGAAACTACACCAAAACTAGTTTAAACTAGACCAGCTAGTTTCATAATTGTTTTCACCAAAATCGGACCTAACCACACTGGTTGAATAGTACTGGTTCTGGTTCCAATATGAGGTGAAAATCGGACAGGACAAGACCACGCCCACCCCTACTTATAAAAAAATAAGTTCATCCCATACGCAGGTACATAATGAAGTTCTGTAAGGAACTTTACTAATCGAAGGAGTTCACAAATTTCTTTGGTCATCCCTATAAACTCAGCTTCCGCACTAGACAGAGTAACCACTTTCTGCTTCTTATTTCTCTAAGTAACCAAAGTACCTCACAAAGGTGAAATAACCTCATGTAGATCTATTGTGAGTAATACTTCATGTCCGATCTGCATCTATATACCCATCAATATTCAAATTATCATTCTTAGAGAACATAAGCCCTTTCCCTTGAGCCAATTTCAAATATCGAAGAATTCGAAGTACCGCATTCATATGATCTTCACTTGGACAACGCATGAACTAACTGAAAACACTAACAGAATAAGCAATGTCTGGTTGAGTATATGACAAGTAAATTAATCTTCCAACTAACCTTTGATATCTTTCTTTGTTACTGAGTACTTGATTTTGATACTTTCCAAGGTCATGATTCTAAACAATTGGAGTGTCAGCATGCTTGCAATCAAGCATCCCTGTTTTTTCCAGTAGGTCCAAAACATACTTCATTTAAAAAAAAAAAAAAAAAAAAAAAAAAAAAAAAAACTATACTTTGATTGGGCCATGTCAATACCTAAAAAATACTTGAGTCCACCAAGATTCTTCATTTCAAACTCAGTTGCCAAATACTTTTGGACTATAAATTTCCTCTATGTCATTCCCATTAATTATCACATCATCAACATAAATTATTATTTAATCTCAAGATTCTTCATTTCAAACTCATAGATTAATAACACTACATTGCGATATTCTGATCATACACTCAAATATACCGTGGTAATAATAATAGTCCGGGGTGTACTTTGTATTTCTTAGCAAAATAAACAATAAAAAATGATAGTTTAGCTAGCTTGACTTCCCAGGCAGTCTAGAAAACTCAAGCTCCAGGATCAGCTACTTCAATCACTCAACACTAGGCCCTTTCTGTCCAAGCAACACCAAATTAACTTCAACAATTAGTTAATTAGTAGTTGCCTATAACTTGAGATTAGAAGCATCAAGAATATTTGATGATGTTTGCAAATATCACATTGGATCATCAAACTACAAATCTCTAGCTAGCCATCAGCGCAGTCTAGCCAAGTGGAAAATGGCATTGATGTATAAATAAGTGATTTCATGATCGAATTTCCATGACATCTTAGTGATGTGTGTGTGAGAAATCTCACTCTCCTTGTAAGTTAGACTTTAAAAAAATACATATCAATCTGTACTTCCGAAAAGCTTATGCTTTGCTTGATTTGTAACTAAAAGAAGGAAACAGAAATATCACACACTATATTCATGATTGATTAAAAATGGGGTTGGTTGGTGTGCTTTTAGCTTTTTGCACATAACGAGTCTTGCACGACTGAGTTGGAAATGAATCACACGCTAAAGAGAAGTAAAAGAAAGAAGGCTTACTTTTTAAGTTGAAGAAAAACCAAGTGGTGGTCGCAGATAAGAAATTCTTTATATATACAAGCCACAAAAATTCAACATTGCTGCCTCAAAAGCCACATTTAGATTTTCTTCTGCTAATATAGCTAGCGAGGCCTCACTATGTCATCTCAAAGGGTGCAATTGGATATTCAGGACCATCATGTAAGTCTTATATATGCTGTAGGTTTTTTTATGGTCTCGCTGGATCCTGGATGCATGCAATTGTTACTATGTATGACACCCATGCTTTGAAGTTTTGAAACCCTAGTTCAAGATTCATACAAGTAATTGCCCATAGCTTCTATCCGTAAAAGACCACGCAATCGAAGGAAGTGTTTTTGGTTGTAATATAAAGTGTTTTCATGAATTCATCCAGAATCACACTCAAACATGCTCTTATTATTAAAAGCGAAGTGAACGAATTCTTTTTGGTCTTTTTACGAGAGGCTTATCAAGATGGAAAACAAAAATTGAGATTATGAATAACTATCACATATGCCCCTAGCACATATGAAAAAGTTTTAATGGTTAAAAATGTATTGGTTTCATAAGTGTACTGTTTAACCTTTATTGCCATGTACATAGGTAGTTATGGATAATGGCATACTCCAAGTTACCTTGTCAAAACCAGATGGAATTGTTACCAGAATACAATATAATGGCATCGACAATTTGCTTGAAGTTCTTAATGAAGAAGTTAACAGAGGGTAGGGTACCTATGCTTCTCCTCGTAACTATTTGCAATTCTTCGTTCTTTCGTTTTTATGTCAATGTTGAAGGAGAGAATAAATAAGAGTTCACTATTCTGATGGTTTGAACTTTTAAAGGTATTGGGACCTTGTATGGAGTGAAGCTGGAAGTGTGGGCACAACAGGAACGTTTGATGTGTACGTCAAACTACTCTACTTTTAATCATTTGAGTATAGTGATTGACATTGGTTGGACAGGATGAGGTGGCTAAATGCACTATAAGTGGCGCTAATAGCTAATAGCGACAATTATTATTGGTTTCATTTAGCCACCTCATTTTGTAATATTCTTTATCGTGATATGTCATATTCTAAGTTGTTTTTTCATCAAAATTTTGAATTATTTACTATAACAAGGTGTTTTCTTAATTAGTATATTTTGTTTGTATTATCCAATCAAGAATTACTAATATGCAGGATTAAGGGTACAAAATTCAAGGTTATTGTGGAAAGCGATGAACAAGTAGAGGTCTCGTTCACGAGAAAGTGGAATCCCTCCCAAAAGGGCAAGCTTGTCCCTCTAAACATAGACAAAAGGTTGGAAGGCCATATATTTTCCTTTTAACAAGAAGAAAAATAAGCAAGAATCAAACTTTTTGTGAAATGAGAATAAAGGAAGCTGTAATTAGTCGACACTCCAAAATAGTCGTCTTACACTTTTCTCAGTACAGTTTCTCTTTTGCAAAATAATGAGGAGTGCATAAGGACTATTTTGAAGTGCAAATAACACATCCCAAGTATTTTACGATTATTGTTAACATTTTTTTGTTGCGATCAACACTAACAAGACTTAGAACATGATTTTTTTCAGGTTTATTATGCTTTGTAATTCGTCAGGCTTCTACTCCTACGCCATCTATGATCACTTAAAAGAATGGCCTCCTTTCAACCTTCCCCAGACCAGAATTGTGTTCAAGCTCAGAAAAGAAAAGTAACCAAACCTCTCTTCTTCTTCTTCATTGGTTTCCATCTTTGTGTCAACTTAATTAGGGATTAATTATATGTTTTATTTTTTGTGCGTTGATCATTATTAGGTTTCAATACATGGCCATAGCAGATAACAGGCAAAGATACATGCCCCTTCCCGATGACCGATTGCCGGAGAGAAGTAAAGTCTTAGACGTACCTGAGGCAGTCCTTCTTGTCAATCCGATAGAGCCAGAATTCAAGGGAGAGGTAATTAATGCACCTTTCACGACAGCACAAATATATTCTCATACCCTCTCTGTCAAGTGAAAATACTCATTTTGCATGAAAAGGTTCAAAACGAAGGATATTTGGAATTTTTAATTGGACTTCATCATAAGATGTTAATTTCTTATAAGAATCATATATAGATTTGATAATCTAAGAAAAGTAGAGCTATGCCAAGAGAAACACTTACATGAAACAAGAATAACACTATTTTGTTATTTCCGGCCAATCATAGTATGCCACGCATGACAACTTTTTCACGTGGCAGATTGTGATTGGCAGGGGATAGCAAAAGAGTGTTATCCCCATTTCATATAAGTTTTTTTGGCCAGTGGGCTATAATTCAGTTTTGGTTGAGTTTTTCCACCTCCACTCATGTGGCATGGGCAGAGATTCGAAACCTCCAGGCACTCAACGAATATTTGTGTAAAACTCCCTCCCCCTCTCCAATTGCTTGTAATTTTTTTTTAAGTCAAGAAAAACCTTCTTCTTTTTTTCGGCAAAAGAAAGAACTCATATTTCAAATCCCTCATTTTCTTCAATAACAAAATATTTATGTGGATTTTATGAATTCTATAAGAATATATTTCTAAAGTCCAATTAATAAATTTTAAGTCCATTACCATATTTATATCTTCTAATCCAGATGATACTATTTTTTATTATTTATGGTTTTGTGAAATAATTGGCATGCTGCATGCAACTTAAAATTTTGATATATTTTCTGTATATTTGGAAATTAAAACATTTATTCTTTTGGTATAATAAGGATCACAAATATATTTTCAATCTTATAAAATTGAAATATTTATCATTTTAAAATGAAAACTTTGCAAAAATTCAAAAAAGCTTATAATTACAATTAGAATAACAAAATTTTGTGGCTCCTAAATACAATTGTAGGTGGATGACAAATACGAATACTCAAGCGAGAATCAAAACCTGCGGGTCCACGGTTGGATTTGTATGGACCCGCCCGTGGGGTTCTGGCAAATAACTCCCAGTGATGAGTTCCGATCTGGTGGACCCCTCAAACAGAATCTCACCTCCCATGTTGGGCCCACTTGTCTTGCTGTGAGTAAAATTAACTTCTTTTTACCGTAATCATATTCAAAACCAATAATCCTAGCGCATCAACTCATAACTTTTCAGAAGTTCGAAATGATGTGGCAATAATTTATTTGTTTATATATATTTTTTAGCAGTAAAATTTCATGTATTTATAATCCTTAAGCAACTTTCATATTATGTGACTTATCAGTTGGTATATGAAAATGTTGCGATACGAGCTAATACTCGTAATTGTGCTTTAATTTTTTGTTCAGTTGAAGTTCATGAAATTTGATATTATAATAGGTAATGATTTTCACACTCTCATTTTCTCATTATGCACTTATTCCCTCGGTTTTGCCCCTTGATTCACTTTTTATTTATTCAATCCTAAGGTTAGAAAAAACTATCTTATTAGGATCATTTATGTTACACTTCATTTTTTTTTTCTTTTACAAATAAATTATCTTGAATCGTACTAATCTGTGGAAAATTTCTTTTCTCCTCATTTTGATTTATCCGTGATACTGATCAAAATGAAAAAAAATAAAAAATCAGATGTTTCTTAGTGCTCACTATTCGGGAGAGGACCTGGTGCTGAAGCTGAAACCAGATGAGCCATGGAAGAAAGTCTTTGGCCCTGTTTTTATCTATCTTAATTCTGTTACGTCCAATGCAAATGATGATCCATCACCACCACTCTGGGAGGATGCAAAAAACCAGGTTTAATTTTTAAAACAAAAACCCCCCTCTACAAGTATTTATATTAAACAAATAATTTCCCCTTTTTATGGACAATGTATTTTACTTTTGGAGTACTCCAGATGATGACAGAAGTGCAAAAATGGCCTTACGATTTCCCTGCTTCCAGTGAGTTTCCACCGTCGGATCAACGGGGTCATGTTAGTGGTAGAATACAGGTTCGAGATAGGTACTTAACCAAATCAACTTTTTCTCTGTATTTTTCTGCCGTATGTCCAAACCTTGTAAAATTGAATTGTTTGCTTCTACTTGCGTCTTGTTGTTGAAGAATGTAGAATTGACGTGAAATTGAGGTTTATTATGTGGTGATTCCACGTAAATTAGCGTGTTAAAAATTACAAAATCACAAATCAGAAACATGATAAGAAATATAGCAAATGATTTTGTGACTATTAATTTCGAAACATTCTGTGATAAAACCACATAATTGTCGTACTTTGCACCCAAATTAGTTTGTTAGTATTAGAGCGGACTTGATTACTCAATACGAGATATTCACGTCTTGAATTTCCACTACATTATTGTCTAAAAACCATACATGTCTAGGTACGTTAGTGAAGATTGCATTCCGGGAAAGGGTGCTTATGTAGGCTTGGCACCACCAGGAGATGCTGGATCCTTTCAAAGAGATTGCAAGGTGATATTATTTTGTCCATTTTATTACCAAGCAAGAAGTACATTAATTCCACTAACCCAGAAAACCAAAAAACAAAACAAAGCAAGTCCCAATTGTGCATAAAATAGATCATTTAGGCAAATCTTCTTCATTTTTAGTGTTTGCATTGTGGCAGGGCTACCAGTTCTGGACTAGGGCAGATGAGCATGGCTATTACTCTATAAAGAATATACGTGAGGGCCAATATAATCTTTATGCATGGGTTCCTGGTTTCATTGGAGATTATCGATATGATGCAGCCATTAACATAACCGCAGGTTCATCTATTATTTTTCTTCCTTTTTAATTGTTTCCTCTTCAAGATTATTATCAATATGATTAACACATTAATGCGTTTTAATTAAGCAGGTTGTGATATTGACGTGGGTGAGCTTGTATATGAGCCTCCAAGAGATGGACCAACATTGTGGGAAATTGGCATCCCTGATCGTTCTGCAGCTGAATTCTATGTTCCTGATCCTAATCCAAACTATATCAATAAACTTTATGTCAACCATCCTGACAGGTTACCTTTGACCTCCGTTATATATATGAGCTCTCTCTCTCTCTCTCTCTCTCTCTCCCCGCCAATTCTTTGACCAATTTATTTCGGATTGATCAAAATTAACATGGGTGCTAGAAATATATAAAGTATATGTTTACACATGCTTATATTGCTAGAGGGTGAATATTCGCAGTTTGACAACATAAGCACCATTTGATGTAGAAAAACAAAATGACAAGAGGACATTTTTCTCATCTACAAATGTGTAGACATGTTCCACTACATTATAAGATCTTGATCATTTTCTTGCATTTGCAGGTTTAGGCAGTATGGGTTATGGGAAAGATATGCAGATTTATATCCTGATCAAGACTTAATTTACACTATTGGCACCAGTGACTATGCTAAAGATTGGTTCTTCGCTCAGGTTACCAGGTGCACTTCTTCGTCCTTCCTTGAACTTACTTTTCCAATGTGCCAATTTTTGGGTGAGTTTGATTCTATTTGACACAGTTTTCATAAATAGGAAGAAAGATGATGACACATATGAAGGCACTACATGGCAGATCAAGTTTCAACTAGACAATGTCAATCAGAGTGGAACCTTCAAACTTCAAATCTCCCTCGCTACAGCAAATATCGCAGAACTACAGGTAAAATGCCTAATTACCCTTCTTTGTTTCGGCACTAGTCAATATATCAAAAGCCTAATCTGATTCCTTGGTTTTTTTTTTTTTCTGCTTTTCCATTGAAGATTCGGATAAATGACCCGAAAGCAGACCCTCCTCTGTTTACAACTGGAGTGATTGGAAAGGACAACACAATTCTAAGGCATGGAATTCATGGCCTCTACTGGCTGTATAGCATAGACATACCAGCCACATTGCTTGTGGAAGGAAACAATACACTGTTTCTAACACAACCAATCAGCAACAGCCCTTTGGCAGCTTTCCATGGACTCATGTATGACTATATTCGTTTAGAAGGTCCACCATCTTCTACTTCCACTAGAGGTGTCAAACCAGCCAATATGGCACCAAACACTAACAGAATAAGCAATGTCTGATTGAGTATATGACAAGTAAATTAATTTTCCAACTAATCTTTGATATCTTTCTTTGTTAGTGAGTACCTGATTTCGATACTTTCCAAGGTCATGATTCTAAACAATTGGAGTGTCAGCATGCTTGCAATTAGGCATCCCTGTTTTTTCCAGTATGTCCAAAACATACTTCATTTGAGGAAAAAAAAGAAAAAACTATACCTTGCTTTGATCGGGCCACGTCAATACCTAAAAAATACTTGAGTCCATCAAGATTCTTCATTTCAAACTCAGTTGCCAAATACTTCTAGAGTCTAGAAATTTCCTCTCTGTCATCAGCTGACTTTCAAATCGTGGATTCGCCATTGCAAGTAACTTGTATAAGACTAATTACAACTAGTGGAAATAATTTATCCAAAGTGATTCTCTAATTTTTCCTTGTGTATAAATCTTTTGCAAACTTTTGATAATTGGGGTTGTGGTAATAATAATAGTCCGGGGTGTACTTTGTATTTCTTAGCGAAATAAACAATAAAAAATGATAGTTTAGCTAGCTTGACTTCCCAGGCAGTCTAGAAAACTCAAGCTCCAGGATCAGCTCCTTCAATCACTCAACACTAGGCCCGTTGTCCAAAGCAACATTAAATTAACTTCAACAATGAAGTTAACTAGTAGTTGCCTATAACTTGAGATTAGACGCATCAAGAATATTTGGTGATGTTTGCAAATATCACATTGGAACATCAAACTACAAATACAGCACAGTCTAGCCAAGTGGAAAATGACATTGATGTATAAATAAGTGATTTCATGTTCGAATCCCCATGACATCTTAGTGATGTGTGTGAGAGAAATCTCACTCTCCTTGTAGGTTAGACTCAAAAAAATAAAAAATATCAATCTGTACTTCCGAAAAGCTTAGGCTTTGCTTCATTTGTATAACTAAAAGAAGGAACAGAAATATCACACGCTATTCATGATTGATTAAAAATGGGGTTGGTTGGTGTGCTTTTAGCTTTTGCACATAACGAGTCTTGCACGACTGAGTTGGAAATGAATCACACGCCAAAGAGAAGTAAAAGAAAGAAGGCTTACTTTTTAAGTTGAAGAAAAACCAAGTGGTAGCAGATAAGAAATTATTTATGTATAAAAGCCACAAAAATTCAACATTGCTGCCTCAAAAGCCACATTTAGATTTTCTTCTGCTAATATAGCTAGCGAGGCCTCACTATGTCATCTCAAAGGGTGCAATTGGATATTCAGGACAATAATGTAAGTCTTATATATGCTCCAGGTTTTTTTTATGGTCTCGCTGGATCCTGGTTGTATGTAATTGTTATTATGTATGACACCCATGTGCTTTGAAGTTTGGAAACCCTAAAATGTAGTTCAAGATTAATACAAGTAATTGCCCATAGCTTCTATCCCTAAAAGACCACGCAATCGAAGGAAGTGTTTTTGGTTGTAATAAAGTGTTTTCATGAATTCTTCCAAAACCACACTCAAACATGCTCTTATCACATATGCAAAATGTTTATTTTATTTATAATGACCCTAGCACATCCTTTTTTTACTTTTGTTTTTAAAATACAAGCGATAGTCACACCTCATCCCATCACAGTTGTTACATGCCTTTTCCAATTTATTTATTTTACCCTAATAAGCTTTTTTTTTGGCAATATTAGTGTAATTATTGTTATATATATATATATGTGTGTGTGTGTGTGTGTCCAAATTAACTAGAATAATAAAGAAAAAGTGTCCATGGTTAAAAATGTTATTGGTTTCATTAAGTGTGTTTAACCTTTTTTGCCATGTACATAGGTGGTTATGGATAATGGGATACTCCAAGTTACCTTGTCAAAACCAGATGGAATTGTTACCAGAATACAATACAATGGCATCGACAATTTGCTTGAAGTTCTTAGTGACGAAGTTGACAGAGGGTAGGGTACCTATACTTCTCCTCGTAACTACTTGCAATTCTTCTTTCTTGCGTCTTTTTTTCAATGTTGAAGGAAAAAAATAGATGTTAGAAGTTCACACTATTCTGGTCATTTGAACTTTTAAAGGTATTGGGACCTTGTATGGAGTGAAGCTGGAAGTGTGGGCACAACAGGAACGTTTGATGTGTACGTCAAACTACTCTACTTTTAATCATTTGAGTATAGTGATTGACATTGGTTGGACAGGATGAGGTGGCTAAATGCACTATAAGTGGCGCTAATAGCTAACAGCCACTTCATTTTGTAGTATTCTTTATCGCGATATGTCAGATTCTAAGATGTCTTTTCATCAAAATTTTGAATTATTTACTATAACAATATTATGGTGTTTTCTTAATTAGTATATTTTGTTTGTATTATCCAATCAAGAATTACTAATATGCAGGATTAAGGGTACAGAATTCGAGGTTATAGTGGAAAGCGAGGAACAAGTAGAGGTCTCGTTCACAAGAAAGTGGAATCCCTCCCAAGAGGGCAAGCTTGTCCCTCTAAACATAGACAAAAGGTTGGAAAGTCCATATATTTTCTTTTTAACAAGAAGAAAATAAGCAAGAATCAAACTTTTTGTGAAAAGAGAATAAAGGAAGCTGTAATTGGCCGACACTCCAAAATAGTCATCTTACACTTTTCTCAGTACAGTTTCTCTTTTGCAAAATAATGAGGAGTGCATAAGGATTATTTTGAAATGCTAATAACACATCCCAAGTATTTTACGATTATTGTTAACATTTTTTTGTTGCGATCGACACTAACAAGACTTAGAACATGATTTTTCTTTCAGGTTTATTATGCTTCGTAATTCTTCAGGCTTCTACTCCTACGCCATCTATGATCACTTAAAAGAATGGCCTCCTTTCAACCTTCCCCAGACCAGAATTGTGTTCAAGCTCAGAAAAGAAAAGTCAAACCAAACCTCTCTTCTTCATTGTTTTCTATCTTTGTTGTGTCAGGTTAATCAGGGACTAATTATAAGTTTTTATTTTTTGTGGGTGATCATTAGGTTTCAATACATGGCCATAGCAGATAACAGGCAAAGATACATGCCCCTTCCTGATGACCGATTGCAGGAGAGAAGTAAAGTCTTAGACGTACCTGAGGCAGTCCTTCTTGTCAATCCGATAGAGCCAGAATTCAAGGGAGAGGTAATTAATGCACCTTTCAAGACAGCACAAATATGTTCTCATACCCTATTTGTAAAAGTTAAAATACTCATTACAATTAGATGAAAAGGTTTAAAACGAGAGGGATATTTGGAATTTTTAATTGGACTTCATAAGATGTTAATTTCTTAAGAATCATACATAGATTTGATAATATAAGAAAAGTAGAGCTATGTCAGTGGGGAGATACACTTACATGAAACAAGGATAACACTATTTTGCTATTTCCGGCCAGTCACGATATGCCACACGTGATAACTTTTTCACGTGACAACTTGTGATTGGCCGAAGATAGCAAAACAATGCTATCTCCATTTCATACAAGTTTTTTTTGGCTAGTGGGGTATAATTCAGTTGGTTGAGTTTTTCCACCTCCACTAGTCATGTGGCATGGGCAGAGGTTCGAAATCTCTAGGCACCCAATGAATATTTGTGTGAACCCCCCTCCCCGCTCTCCAGTTGCTTGTACCCAAAAAAAAAGAGTCAAGAAAAACCTTTTTTTTTGGGCAAAAGAAAAAATTGATATTTCAAATCCTTCATTTTCTTCAATAACAAAATATTTATGTGGATTTTATGAATTATATAAGAAATTAATATTTCTAAAGTCCAATTAATAAATTTTATGTCCATTACCAAATTTTATATCTTCTAATCCAAATGATACTATTTTTTTATGTTTTTTTTATATAAAAATAATTGACATGATGTATGCAGCATGCAACTTAAAAATTTGATAATTTTGTGTATATTTGGAAATTAAAACATTTATTCTTTTGGCCAAAAAATGAAAACTTTTCACAAATTCATAAAAGCTTAGAATTACAATTAGAATAACAAAATGTTGTGGCTCCTAAATACAATTGTAGGTGGATGACAAATACGAATACTCAAGCGAGAACCAAAACCTGCAGGTCCACGGTTGGATTTGTATGGACCCGCCCGTGGGGTTCTGGCAAATAACTCCCAGTGATGAGTTCCGATCTGGTGGACCCCTCAAACAGAATCTGACCTCCCATGTTGGCCCCTATTGTCTTGCTGTGAGTAAAATTAACTTCCTTTTACCATAATCATATTCAAAACCAATAATCCTAGGGAATCAACTCATAACTTTTCAGAAGTTAATTTCATATATTTACAATCTTTAAGCAACTGTCATATTATGTGTTAGCATTAAAATGTTGCGATACGAGTTGATACTCGTAATTCTGCTTTAGTTTTTTGTTCAGTTGAAGTTCATGAAATTTGATATTATAATAGGCAACGATTTTTACGCTCTCATTTTCTCATTATGCACTCATTCCCTCGGGTTTGCTCCTTGATTCACTTTTTATTTATTCAATCCTAAGGTTAGAAAAAACTATCTTAGGATCATTTATGTTACACTTCATTTTTTTCTTTTACAAATAAACTATCTTGAATCGTACTAACCTGTGGAAAATTTCTTTTCTCCTCATTTTGATTTATCCGTGATACTGATCAAAATGAAAAAAAATAAAAAAATCAGATGTTTCTTAGTGCTCACTATTCGGGAGAGGACCTGGTGCTGAAGCTGAAACCAGACGAGCCATGGAAGAAAGTTTTTGGCCCTGTTTTTATCTATCTTAATTCTGTTACGTCCAATGCAAATGATGATCCATCACCACCACTCTGGGAGGATGCAAAACACCAGGTTTAATTTTAAAAACCCCCCTCTACAAGTATTTCTATTAAACAAATAATTTCCCATTTTTATGGAGAATGTATTTTACTTTTGGAGTACTCCAGATGATGACAGAAGTGCAAAAATGGCCTTACGATTTCCCTGCTTCCAGTGAGTTTCCACCGTCGGATCAACGGGGTAATGTTAGTGGTAGAATACAGGTTCGAGATAGGTACTTAACCAAATCAACTTTTTCTCTGTATTTTTCTGCCGTATGTCCAAACCTTGTAAAATTGAATTGTTTGCTTCTACTTGCGTCTTGTTGTTGAAGAATGTAGAATTGACGTGAAATTGAGGTTTATTATGTGGTGATTCCACGTAAATTAGCGTGTTAAAAATTACAAAATCACAAATCAGAAACATGATAAGAAATATAGCAAATGATTTTGTGACTATTAATTTCGAAACATTCTGTGATAAAACCACATAATTGTCGTACTTTGCACCCAAATTAGTTTGTTAGTATTAGAGCAGACTTGATTACTCAATGCGAGATATTCACGTCTTGAATTTCCACAACATTATTGTCTAAAACCATAAATGTCTAGGTACGTTAGTGAAGATTGCATTCCGGGAAAGGGTGCTTATGTGGGCTTGGCACCACCAGGAGATGCTGGATCCTTTCAAAGAGATTGCAAGGTGATATTATTTTGTCCATTTTATTACCAAGCAAGAAGTACATTAATTCCACTAACCCAGAAAACCAAAAAACAAAACAAAGCAAGCCCCATTGTGCATAAAATAGATCATTTAGGCAAATCTTCTTCATTTTTAGTGTTTGCATTGTGGCAGGGCTACCAGTTCTGGACTAGGGCAGATGAGCATGGCTATTACTCTATAAAGAATATACGTGAGGGCCAATATAATCTTTATGCATGGGTTCCTGGTTTCATTGGAGATTATCGATATGATGCAGCCATTAACATAACCGCAGGTCCATCTATTATTTTTCTTCCTTTCTAATTGTTTCCTCTTCAAGATTATTATCAATATGATTAACAAATTAATGCGTTTTAATTAAGCAGGTTGTGATATTGACGTGGGTGAGCTTGTATATGAGCCTCCAAGAGATGGACCAACATTGTGGGAAATTGGCATCCCTGATCGTTCTGCAGCGGAATTCTATGTTCCTGATCCTAATCCAAACTATATCAATAAACTTTATGTCAACCATCCTGACAGGTTACCTTTGACCTCCGTTATATATATGAGCTCTCTCTCTCTCTCTCTCTCTCTCTCTCTCCCCCAATTCTTTGACCAATTTATTTCGGATTGATCAAAATTAACATGGGTGCTAGAAATATATAATGCTTATATGTTTACACATGATGTAGAAAAACAAAATGACAAGAGGACATTTTTATCATCTACAAATGTGTAGACATGTTCCACTACATTATAAGATCTTGATCATTTTCTTGCATTTGCAGGTTTAGGCAGTATGGGTTATGGGAAAGATATGCAGATTATATCCTGATCAAGACTTAATTTACACTATTGGCACCAGTGACTATGCTAAAGATTGGTTCTTCGCTCAGGTTACCAGGTGCACTTCTTCGTCCTTCCTTGACCTTACTTTTCCAATGTGCCCAATTTTTGGGTGAGTTTGATTCTATTTGACACAGTTTTCATAAATAGGAAGAAAGATGATGACACATATGAAGGCACTACATGGCAGATCAAGTTTCAACTAGACAATGTCAATCAGAGTGGAACCTTCAAACTTCAAATCTCCCTCGCTACAGCGAATATCGCAGAATTACAGGTAGGGTGGTAAATGCCTAGTTACCCTTCTTTGTTTCGGCACTATCAAAAGCCTAATCTGATTCTTTGGTTCTTTTTTATTTATTTATTTCTGTTTTCCATTGAAGATTCGGATAAATGACCCGCAAGCAGACCCTCCTCTGTTTACAACAGGAGTGATTGGAAAGGACAACACAATTCTAAGGCATGGAATTCATGGCCTCTACTGGCTGTATAGCATAGACATACCAGCCACATTGCTTGTGGAAGGAAACAATACACTGTTTCTAACACAACCAATCAGCAACAGCCCTTTGGCCGCTTTCCATGGACTCATGTATGACTATATTCGTTTAGAAGGTCCACCCTCTTCTACTTCAACTAGAGGTGTCAAACCAGCCAATATGGCACCAAACACACCATTGGATTAGTGTCATTCTCTCCGAATCCAATCCAATCCCAACCGCCAAAAATTTGTTGAATCAAATATGTGAATGTTACGAGTTTAATTCATTGTTGGGATGTGAAGTTGTGAACTAACAATTTGTTTCTAAATTCAGAGAGAATTGATATCAGAATAGCGAAATCAAACAATATATATATATATATATATAAACTAGTTGTGAGAGCATTAATTTAATTACACAGATTTGTTGTTGCTGAGTTTCTTTTTGGTTTCCTCAGCTGCATCGGCAGCTTCAACTTGCATTTTGCTTGTGCGAAGCTCTGCTTCCGTTGCTTCTTGCTCGTTTCTTGCCGTCAACTTCTTAGCCTGACCAACGAAGAAGGCCTTAAGATTGCGAAAACCCTCTTGCAAAGAAACATAGAAAAATAAGCAATCTTTCTTCATGCGAGACATCATGCCTGTGTTTGATGAGCTTGACGATGCTTTCATCCCTTCCATTTCCTTTGCTTTCAGAAATTGGATTTGACCACCAAAACAAAACTAAAGTAGTGGAATTTTGGACAGGATATATAAATATCTTATGCAGTTCCGGGTTGAACACGTTTTGTGAGCTGTGCAGAGTCACATGGTACGTGGCAGCTAAACGGCACATCCACGTTTTAGGTTCGCAGAGACTAGAAAAGTGGTGCTTGCTTGGTGAAATGAGAATTGATGGGCTGGGTTGAGTTTGCATGGGTGTTAGGCTTTTCTATTTGTTGTGGGCTTGAGGCTAAGAGCATCTCTAATTTACATGTTTTTTGTTCTAATGAGGGATGTAAATTTATATTTTCATGTATTAATTTGTTTTCGTTCTAATTTATTTTGTGTTAGCTTTAGTTTTTTTCCCAAACAAATTCTAAAAGATTTAAAGTTCAATATGACGTATGAAATAAAGGGATAAATTGATTATGTGATATTTCTAAATTCTAGGTTCGCACAACGACTTTTTGCTGTACTTTTCACTCTTATTTGCTTAAGTTCTTGAGGGATGTGCAACATATGTTTAATTTACTGTCAATGATACTGAATACGTCCAGAGATACTATCTTGTTGATGAGATGTACCCAAGATGGGTAAATATCATCCAAATTATTCTCAACCTCATGATATGCTAAATTTTTTATTTAATGTATGACATTATTTTAGTAATATTTGAGATTGTTTGAGTACTCTTTTCCTTGATAAATATGTTGATAGTGGGTGTAATTGCCCAAAAATAAATACAAATATTTGAATCCAAAAAATAATTGGAAGAATTCAGTTCAATGTGCAAATAGAAGTTCCTATCTCTGCACGCGCTTCCGTACCTGTGAGAGGCTTTTTAAAAAAAATTTATTGAGAATTAAAAAAAATAATGGATAGTTGTGTTCCATAAAAATATGATCCATTATCTGATTTTCCTTTTAATTTTAATTTTTTTAAATATGAAAAATTGTGAATTTACCATATTATCCTCATGTAATTAATAATTTCAATTCTTAATATTTACATTAACCAAAGACATTTTCTGGCATTTTGAATGTTCCACCGTTCTTTGTTTTTTGTTTTATATATATAGATTATTATTATTATTATTTTAATTTTAAGAACAAAAGAAACCGAGAGAAGGGTATATCAGTAATTTGAACCAGTCCCCATTCCGTCGCGACTATATATACCCCTGAGCTACAAAAGCTAGGTATAAAAAGCCCCAAATTTCTGCGCTCACAAGGCTCGCGAAGAACCAACGTTCACAGAGAGCGAACCTTTCATAACACAAACCCGAAAATCTCCAACAGCGTCGCCACCAATCCGTAACTTCAATTCTCTCTCGATTTCAACTCCTCAGTTGATTTCTTCTTATCATATCTTACACCGATTCAATCTGGAACGCTGAAATTTCGTTTCTTTGTGTGAATGTTGTTACAGATCGAAGAACATGGCGACGTTTGAGCTCTACAGGAGGTCGACGATCGGAATGTGTTTGACTGAGACTTTGGATGAGATGGTTCAGAACGGTACTCTCAGTCCCGAGCTCGCCATTCAGGTTCTCGTTCAGTTCGACAAGGTACTGTCTTTGCTTTCGTTTTCTTATTTTCCGTTTAGTTATTATGCATTTGTTTATTTAACTATTATTATTATTATAATGATTTACCTTTCTGATGGTTTTGTGGGTTGCCGTAGTCAATGACTGAAGCTTTGGAAACCCAAGTGAAGAGCAAGGTCAGCATCAAGGTAACTTTCTTTCTTTCACTTTTGCATTTCTGGTTTTTCATGAAGTGAGGTCTTGGGATTTGTGTAGATTGATGGGTTTATTGTGCTGCCCTAGATCTTTCAGACTGTAAATGTGGGTGCTTATGGAAGCCGAGTGAATAATGATTATGTAGTTGAGTGAATTTGTCTTAGAGCAGTTAGTTTGATGTAGTAGTGAATTGATTTTTCCGTGTATTATGTATTGTCATCTGTTTCCTTGTTCATATTTACAAAGTGCTTCTTTGGCTGGTTTATTAGTATTGTGTAGGTTGTAACTAGATTTTTTATTGCCCTACATGTGCTCGTATTTGAATCGGAGTACACAATAGTCATTGAGGGCATGGCCTTTTCTCTTTTCTTTTTGGTTTTTGAGCTTTTTGGTTTCTTTGACAAGGTAAGGGTATCACGTACTAATTAATTGAGTGGATTTTTGCAATGTTTATGGGCATGTGTAATGAATAAAGTGGGCAGATTTTTAGCATGCTTATGGGCGTCAATTGTTGAGCACTTTCAGGATATCCCTTATTGTTTAACTCATCTTGAATGGCTGGGAGTTGCAGATTAGTTGTAATGGTTCTCAGATAATATTCTGTATTCTTTGTCGGACATTGATGAACAAGAGGACATCTTGTTGGTATTTTCGTGTACTTTTTTCTCATCCTTCATGTTTCATAAACAAAGTTAGTTTCAATGCCGAAATTTAATATATGACTTGCTCCTTCAAATCTTAAAGGGACATGGCCAATCCCCAATCAGAAGATTTTTCAAAACTGGAGTTGAATAAAACTATTTAGAAGTTCCTTTACTCAATGGAATTTTAATATTCTTGCAATCCATAAATAAATTCATAACTAAGATCATCAACCAAGCGCTCTGTTTCCTAGATGCAAGGCCTAAACCTTATGATGTAAATTCATATTTGAATTTTGAACTTCACGATGTCTTCAGAATTCTTTAAGATAACAGAAACCTGCAAAGCAATAAATTTAGGGACATTCATGATTATTTGGGACTCTTCTTTCGGAGGTCCTTAAACGGCATCTCGAGTCTCTATTTAAGTCAAGGGGGCTTCTTTCTTTGTTTGTACTTACAACATAACAAGTCCACCATAATCTTTTTTCTCCATATAATAAATATGTGACTAAATGAATATCATGTAAGTGAAAAAACAAAAACAAAATAAAACCTCTTTCCTTTGTTCGTATTTTTCTTCCATTGTTTCTTTTATTTGAATTACTTCCATTAGCTCAAAAAAAACGTCTTTTTATCTTATGTTATGCAAACTGACTATGCTTGTAGGCATACACCTTAACATGAAATGCGATAAGTAAATGTGGGCCCTGGGTGAATGCTTACGTGTGCCTAGATAGAGTTATGTAACATAAATGACGTCTTGGTGGTCTAGGCATATAGTATGGTCAAAGTTGTGTGCACACATACTTTTAAATCTAGCATTGAATGATGATTCCATTTACGTAATGTGCTACCAAACTTTCATTTCTTACTGTCAGATAATTAATATTCTAATAGATCTAGTTTATCTAATAAATGTACGACATGAAGGTATGTCCCTGTGTCAATTAGGTTCCTTTTTTGGAAGTATTGGGTCATCAGTAACTGGTCCCGCTTCTGGCTACGAAACCTTGAAGTTAGTGGTATGAAAGGGCTAATCTGTATTCTAGAAAACGAGGTTCATATTTTCCTTCAAGTAATTGTGCCAATGGTTACTGATCCAACTATTAGCCTATGAAAGCTTTACATTGACAGTATAAAATCAATTTCTGAACGGAAGTTTGTTAGCGTGAAAGCTATTGAGTTCCTACCCTTAGGGAGCCTGTCAGTATATATAGGACTTGGCTCTTAAAGAGATGATAGCAAGAATCGTGCAATCTCCTTGCCTGCTAACGTGTCATATTTATTTAAAGATATTAACTTGTCAGCTATCTTCTGTTGAAAATTCTGTCAAATTATGTCTTGGTAGTTTTCCAGTAGTAGAATCTGATCTGGTTGCAAGTCCTTTATCTAGTCTTTTCATTTTTTTAGATCTGACTTTATATCAGGACGTGGCATGACATATGCACAAATATCTGGTCAACAGATTTGATATGCCAAAGTTATTAGTGGATAGAAAATTTTGAAGGGGCTTACTTTGAGGAAGTATGATATATGCACAAAAAGATTTAAGCAGGTGTTCTAGGTTCATCTTTTTTTTTTCCCTGTCAGTGTTGTTACTGTCTTTTTTGTTTGCAGTTTAGTATCTCATGCAACAAAATTTTCTAGTTAAAGAAAAAAATGTACCCCGACCAAAAATTGCAGTCTTCTGTCAACTAGTTCTCATCTGCACGACATAATTCCTTCCTGATGTAATTGCGATGAATCTCTACTCAGATGCTTTGTTGCCTGTGGACTTCTGTTCTTGTAGTATCTCATATTTCTATCATGATGCACAAATAAATACCAGTTCCAGACAGAGTTAAGACGGATGTGAAATCTCAACTTTTTCTGACAAAATTTCATTGTCTCCTGTTACAGGGACATCTGCACACCTACAGATTCTGCGACAATGTTTGGACCTTCATCTTACAGGATGCTGTGTTCAAGAACGAGGATAGCTCGGAAAATGTTGGCCGTGTTAAAATAGTGGCATGTGACTCAAAGCTGCTCACACAATGAGATGTCAGACTAATGGTGGTAAAGTTAAATAAGAACTTTGTAACCTGTTGCTACGGAGGGTGAGGAGAAGGTGGCAGTTAATCTGGTTAGTCGCAGGAACTGGAAAACTGTAGGAGATTGAACATAAAATTGTAAAGCCCTCTATCTTGACGCTTATAGTTATTTGTTGTTACATTGAGGATGGTGTGTGCTTGTTCATAGATCTTCGTTCAATGTTCTATTGTTGTTTTGAGAAGATGAAACAAGTTGGAGATGAAGACGTTCGATGCTTGTATTATGGACTGTCTATTCACAAGTACTGAAACTATGCTTATTTCATCAAGCATTTCGAATGCCCGAATGTGTAGCATCTGTTCCTTGTATTATCTTCAGAGGTCAAAGTTACCTTTTGTTTAATTGATTAGAAAAATGAGTGTTGTGAGCAATTGTGCAAAGTTCTGTTGTGTTTCTATTTATTATTTTCTCTTTTCCAAATCTGCACAATTTTTGTTTCTCGTTTCTCTTTCAGTCGTAGATGTCATGCGTTTCATAATAAGAAAGCCTCACTTCTACTTATTTTCTTTCAACTTTTGATATCATTCATTGACATGCTGGGTTATTCTAGGGTGGTGAATCATCATTGAGAGCTTAGACTTGAGGTTTTTTAATCTCGGATTGGTTAATAGCTTTGACCTTAAGTTTTACCCTACAATTGACCTTAATTGGTGGAATTGTTGTTAGTTGAAATTTACTTTTGGAAATTGTCTAGCATGTCCCAAATACACGTGACAAATTATGTCCAACTATTTTACCAAAAAAAACATAGATAAATTGTAATTAGATTATAGGCTAAATGAGGAAAGATAACGTGTCGTTATCGCGTTTTATTGATGAACACTTGCCTAATTCATAAACTAACGCATTATTTATAGTATCAACCCGTCATCAGCCCAACTCGATAAAATCTAATCCGAACATTTAAATTTTTTCGTGCGTGATCATGTCATGTAATTGTGTTTTCCATTATTTTGCCAGATATACCCTTTACATGCAGAACACTACTCGCTAGTCACGCTGCAACTGCATATGTCGGAGGAAACGACACCGTTTAGAGGCCCACGCCGAAGCGCGCCAAGTTGAACGTCGTTCAGCTCAAACTCTGCAAAACAATTTGAATCGTCAAAAGATGGTGCTTCAGAATCAAATCAACGGCTTTTTTTCTCAGTGGGGAGCTCAGAATCAGCGATCGTTTTCAATGCCGCTCTGTCTTCAAATCTGCCACTCACAGCTACTTTCAACTTCAGCATCCAATTCTCTGCCCCCTTTTATTATCCTCCACAAACCCAATTCGAAATACCCACAAAAACAAACCAAACTCTCCTCAATTTCTCGGGTTTTCGAAGGCTCGTTGATTGAACCTCAGCCGCCATGGCAGCCTCCAGTGCATCGCAGTCCCCTGTTCCTCGGCTCCATCATTTTGAGCTCGTTGAACGCATGAAGCTTCAGGTAATTAGTCAAAACTATCAAAAGGAAGGTGTTTTCTTTTATTGTCTCTGATGTCATGGTCTTGTTGTGTAGATTAATGTCTCTGGGTCTTCTAAAGGACGCAATGTTAGGCTTGAATTTCAGCTCAGCAACTGTGCCAACAGTTGGATTCTTCACTGGGGCTGTCTTTTCCGTGGAAATATGTAAATCCCCAATGAATCCCCAATTATTTATTTATTTATTTATTTAATTTCTTCCTGTTGTGATCTCATATGCAATTTTGATGACCATCTACAGGAACTGGTTCATTCCCAATGATCGTTCTTCGGGTTCACAAGCTTACAAGCAAGGCTCATTGCAGACACCATTCACCAAGGTCCTTCAAAACCAATTTCTCTATATAAAATAAACAGAAAGTTTTACACCACGTCTAATAGATTTTTTTTTTTTTTTTTTTTTTTTTTTTTTTTTTGTTTTTTTTTGCAAACACTTGAATTTAAATGCTCTAATCATGCTGTCCATGCATGTCAAATTTCAATTCAGTTCAGCATCTCTGTTCATTTTATCTATACCTGTCCATATTAGATTTTATATTTTTGTTGTACATTTTATGAATTGAACCTTATTAGTTGGATGGTTATCTACATACGGCGGATTGGCTTGAGTTTGGTAAACGTTGTTATGTGCACGAATAAAGAGTTTTATCCAATGGCAAGATCAACGAAAAGTAATCCTATAAAGTAATAAAGTGATGTTAAGAATTGCCACTTTTGAACTTTTGTTGGTGGATTTTATCCTATATGTTCATGCTAATTGCAGAAAGGAGAATTGTATTTGTTAACCATTGAGTTGCGGGACCCCAACCTACATGCTATTGAATTTGTTCTTAAAGATGGTAGTCGTGAGAGATGGTTGGTTTCTATCTCCCTTTTCATTTTGATTTTTGCTTCATCCAGCCATATTCATGCTTGCACAGTAATCAAATGTTGACATGTGTTTGCTAGGTTGAAACTGAATCATGGGAACTTCCGGATAGAAATTCCTGAGACTGATCCAACTACTTTAATGCCCCCTATACCAAAAGAGCTGATTGAACGGAATGCATGTTTAGCTTGGGAAAGCAAGGGCAGGCCCGTGAGCTCGCCACAACAAGAAAAGGTAGTTCCACTTTTATATTATATAAGCTTTTTTCTGTTAAATCAGAAATGTTCTTGCCTTGCTGAACGTTAACTAAAGTTTATGCATTTTTATATACTATTACAATGCATCTGTATATGGATTCTCCATGAATTGACAGGCTCCAACATGTGTTTTAGTATGGAAATTACTGAAGTTGTACCATGGTTAGGGATCATTTTCCCCCTCTTTTCAGTCATATTTTATTTTCTATTTTGCATTTCTCATGTAGCAAGATTATGAAGATGCTTTAAGAGATCTACAAAGTCAGATGTCGAAAGGAATATCCTTGAATGAGTTGCAGTGTAGTTTTTCAAACCCTAGTTCCAAAAGAATGGTTGATAATAGAGAGCAACTGAGGAGTGGAATGTCATACTCTTACAAAAGGAAGCATAATGTTGAGCAGTGGTTGCAAAAGCATTCCACAGGATCTGCCAAAAACGCTAGTATGCCAAATTCAGCTCTGATGGATCTTGTAGACAAATCTATGGGAGGAGACGATGTGGTTTCACGGATAAGTTATCATGTTGGAAACTATGAGATAGTGGTTAGTTTTCTTCTATTTCACTATTTTACATCAAAGAGAATAAATTCTGTAATGGAAGCTCCGTAACTGTTTGCCATGTTTAACATTAAAGTAGAATTGTCAATGAATTGCATCAGGTAGCATGGTTACAATTGAATTAGCTCTGTTTGGTTTGTTAGAAATTTTGATATCATGGACCCTTATGAAAGTCAAGTTATTTGATTTATTGATTGTTTGATTAACATGGATGTTTTTCGATCAAATATCACTATGGTTCTGGTCCTTGCATGTTTGCAACCATCTTATATTTTTGGGGTTCTGAGTAGGACCCACATGGAGCCTGTGTAACCCAGTTACATGGAGGATTGGAGTTGCTGAAGTCCCAACAATCAGTTATAAGGAATACTTTCCAGAGGCGAAAAGGAGAAAAAGTAAAACTTCTTTTTGACTTTTCATTCTATCTTTGATTGTTTATAGGTCCTTTCAAAAATGGTTAGGGGTGACTATCACATCTTCATTGCTATGAATATGAGAGGTGCTATAGTGCTTCACTGGGGTGTTTCAAAATTGTCCCCTGGGGAATGGTTGGTGAGTATTTGTTTTCTGACTTTGGAGAATGAAATTTAATGGACAAGTAAACTGTTCATATGTTTCTGGGTATGAGTGGTACTTCACCTTAAAGCCAGCTTTTGTCATTCTTGCAGGCTCCACCACCAGAGATATTGCCTAAAAAATCAAATTTGGTTCCTGGAGCATGTCAAACTTATTTTACTGATATATCAACTGGAAAGGGGTCCTTTCAGGTATGCAAATCAACGGATGCTGAATTCTGTGATTTTGATTTTAACTGTCTTTTCATTTTCAACTAAAACATTGCCTTAACGACTCTACCTTCAACCAAAAACAAAAAGGTTGTAGATATTAATCTGCAGCAAAGCAATTTGCTTGGTATCCAATTTGTGATATGGTCTGGTGGGTCTTCCTGGATAAAAAATAACGGAACAAACTTCTTCGTTGGCGTGACACCAGTGATTTCTAGTGGAAAGGTAATGTGTTTCATATTGGGTATTATTACTCCTTTTTCCAACTCTTGCCAATTAACCGTACTAATAGCAGTTGTATCTCATGGTGGCATTGGTTTCTTGCGTGCATGAATATATGCACAAGCTGATCATGCAAGTTTGCTATATTTTATATAATTTAGACATGAGCTGCCAATCACTGGGATATCATTTGTGGATTATGCCTTATTGATGATCCTCCTAGTTTCAAAGATTCTCATGTATATGCCATGCCTCCTCCAGAGTCGAGACAATTAATAGAGCCAAAGACATTATGATATTCAATATTTCCTCCATCCCTGTTTCAAAGATTATTAGCTTTTCCTCTTCAAAATGAATTTACTTTTTCTATATCTGTTCTGTACGGATTTTTTTTCCAAAAAAATAAAATATTGCTGTCATATGAAAATTTCTCTTCCAACTATGGGCGAGACATAGCCTAGCCTAGTTGGTACACTTCTCCTTTGAAGAAGAGGTTCGAAGTTCAATCCTCCTCCCCCAACTTTGGTTAGTTTTAATTAATTTTTTTTTTCCAAGTAATGGTTGCAGAAATCTAATTTTTACTATGTCATTCACAATGCACTAAGCAGACTTTAGATTTATGATGTGTCCATGGTGAAGACTGATACATACCTTGTATGCAGGCCAGCGGAGATGGTGTCGGAATTTTCAAATGGTTACTTGATGAAATATCTCGAAGAGAAAAGGAGGCTGAGAGGTCATTGATGCACAGGTGATGCCAATATATGGTATCTGTATATTTCAATTTAAGTTATAACTAATATGCATGGAAAAGCTGGGCATTTTCATTGGGCCACTTATGAGTTTCTTTGTATAGTTACATATATGGACATAAGAATAGTGTCTTATGATGATAATGTAAAGTCGTTCTTATATGAAGCTAGGAAAATTGCCTTCACCTTTGTTCAATTCATCTTTTGAACATTATACTGATTTGACACAGATTCAACATTGCAACGGAACTCACAGAACGGTGCAAAAATGAAGGGGAGTTTGGGCTTGTTGGTATATTGGTATGGTTGAGGTTCATGTCATGCAGGCATCTCACATGGAACAAGAATTACAATGTGAAACCTCGGTAATTTGCCTTGTACTGTACCTTCAATTAATAACTTTCTTGACGAAAAAGAGCTCCACATGGTCTGGTGATCGTCCCATGTCACATCTTTTTTCTTTTCTTTTTTTGAATTCTCTGGGAAGAAGTAATAAAGGATTTGTGAGACATGCAGTTCGCATTTTTACCTTCTGTATTTGAATACTTATTTTGACCTCTCCTTCCATCATTTTTAATGACCCATCTGCTGCATTTATCGTAGCAGGGACCTCATATTTGCTTCTCTCTTTGGTTTCATTCTTTTGTTTTTTTGTTTTTTGTTTTTTTTGTTTTCTTTCTGAATAGCAAAAATAATCCAATGAATTGGAACTGACAATGAAGGACCAGAAGACATGATTAGGACTTTTACTAGGCAGTTTTTCACTTGTGTTTTTTTTATTTTCCCCACTTGTCCTGCCTGGAAAGTATGTCCTGCACACATTGCAAACTTTATCAATCTTTTGCTTCTTGTTTGTGTTGTAGTTGTAGATACTTCTTTTTTGTCTATGTGATTACACTAAGTTTTTAAATGACCATGCGAGTATGGCATATATCTTCAACCAGAGACATGCCCTGGCTTAAAAGGTCTTATTTCCCTTATATTTGCAATATACCTGCAGTGAAATTAGTGAAGCTCAGGATAGGTTTACCAATCTACTACAAAGAATATATTTAAACCAGCCAAATGATCGGGAAATTGTGAGACTACTAATGACACATGTTGGTCGTGGAGGTCAGGGAGATGTTGGACAGAGAATTCGCGATGAAATACTTGTCATTCAGGTATTTAAAATGTATTGAGTGCATAAAAATGTGTATATATGGCTCCTGTTGCAGGAGATTTGTTTATAATGTGCACATGTTCTACCATCAGAGAAATAATGATTGCAAGGGTGGCATGATGGAGGAATGGCACCAAAAGTTGCACAATAATAGTAGCCCAGATGATGTGATAATTTGCGAGGTATTTTAATTTGTGGATTTGTTTTTCAGCATTTGCACCATCTGACCCAGACCTAATTGGGCACCAACATGGTTTTAGGTTATTGGTTCAACTGGCGTGCCACATGTAGTGTGTAATGTAATTGCAAAATGTTCAAATGATCCTCGGATGCACATGTTTATATATTCCTCCCTTTTTGTAACAGGCACTCTTAAATTACATAAAGTCTGGTTTTAGAGTTGATGTTTATTGGAAAGCATTAAATACAAATGGTCTCACAAAAGAGAAGCTTGCAAGTTATGACCGACCAATTGTGTCCGAGCCTCATTTCAGGGCTGATACTAAGGAGGGACTCATCCATGATCTCACAGCATACTTGAAGACATTAAAGGTAAGAATGCAATCTAAACAGGAGCAATCATATTTTACTGATGCTGTCGACCTGAGCTTCAGTTCACATTTTTCCGTACTAAGTAGTTAACTAGTTGGAAGTTTAGCAGACAACATGCATATCATATACCCTCTGGTCGATTGTTGTTACAGATATAGCAACAGTGCGATCATACTGAGTAAAGGAGTTATTTCTTACTAAAACTTGAATGCCTGAAATTTTATATATAAAATTCAACCTGGTGGAAATTTATTTACGAAACACAATTTCAAATCTACTAGATGTCAAAGTTGTACAATTACATGACTATATCCTTTTTCAGATTTTAATCTTACTTTTCATATTAATGGATATTTCGCCACATACACATGTAAGCCTTAGAAAAATATCAGTTGATAGAATGATTTTGTTTATCATTAGTGTCTGGATCTAATATATGCCAATTGAAATATTTTATTATTATTATTTTTTTTTGTGGTCTGGTGTAGGTGTCACTGAGTTGACTTAACCACCTGTTGATTTCTTACAGATGTGAATTCAAAAACCTTCTAGGATCAATTCCACCTTATAAGTCAAAGTTTTATTTAAACTTGATGTTAAGCTTTGGAATAAGGTTGACCCATAAAGTGACATGTTGCAGTACAATTTTGGCATGTGGGACCTTCCAACCTTAATCTCAAAATGAAAGAGAGCAGAATAGATAGATGAAATGAAATGGATAGGTCTGATAATCTGATTACAGTCTATTAGATTATTCACTTTAGTAGCATTTGATTATGTCGGAATGCAATGGAGAGGTCTTTGTAGTTTTAGCATTCTTCAAATCAACCATACTTCAAGTTTTCATTTTCTAAGTCTTACTTGCCGTTATATTTTGTTACTCTATCCCATGACTTATATGAGACTTCTCATGTCTTTTTCAACTTCTTATTCCTTATGTCACCGTGCCCACAGGCTGTTCATTTAGGTGCTGACCTCGAATCAGCTATTGAAGTTTTGGTTCCCTCAAATAAGGTAATGTTCATGAATCCTATTTGAAGATCACTGACTAGAAAACTTCCGGTTTCTCCACCGTTGAATGTGTGTTCTTTTGGCAAATAACTGATTCACCTTTTACTTTTGATCATCAGGCTCATGATTTCACAAGCACTGGATTTAGTTATGTTTGTGATTTGTCACCTAAGTTGCAGGTAACTTCTTATTTTTGTATGAAATTTTTAATGCAACACTATTGGCTTTTCCCATGTGAGTGATAAAGATCTCTCTTATTGTGCTGTCAAATAATAGGAGTGCCTGAAATTTGTCAAAGTACATCTTGGTGATGAAGATATTGTTCGACTGATGGAGGTCATGTTATATTATAAATTTTCAAATTTTGATGCCTCCATATAGGAATATTGCTATAACTTCACTTTAATTTAGTCCCATTGCTTTTCTTAGAAAAACATGCCTTAATATTTTGGTCATTTTTTTCCAGTATTTACGTTGAGTGATACAAAGTTGTACCTTGCAGTTGGCAGGTTATCAGCCCAGTTGATGTGTGTGGCATTGTACTTTGGGTTAATGAGCTCTGAAGTATTCTGAACAAAGTCTATAAAAAGCCAACCATTTTAATTGCAACTAGAGTAATGGGAGAAGAGCTCATTATGGCTAGCAGTTCCTCTTCCTCCCTGCCACCTGTGCTCGAGAATTTGCCCGAAGCACTACGGCGTCAAAAATGCTCGACTATATATATTGTTGCAGTGTTAATGCAGTTGGTATCATTCATCCTCAACCATATTCATATCAGTTTGAGCCTAAAGGTTTTTTTCGCCTCTCTCTTCCTTACCTAAATTCATTATGGCTAGCAGTTCCTCTTCCTCCCCGTCACCTGTGCTCTCTCACCCCAATATCTCCATTCTGGTTCTCATTCTAGGATTCCTGTAATGGACCTCTCAAAATCATACCCTAAACAGCTCATTGTAAGGGCTTGTGAGGAGTTTGGGTTCTTCAAGATCATCAACAATGGTGTTCCAATGGAATTCATTTCCAGGCTGGAATGGCCATCAAATTCTTCTCCTTACCACTTTATGAGAAAGAAAAAGCGGGCGGGCCTTATCGATATTTGGTATCATCAGAAATTGCTCAAACAAAGAGAATAAATAAATTGAAAATTCAAGATAGTGGAATTAATTTGTCAAGATATATAATCATTCAAAGCGCAACTGCAATTCAAAAAAACTAAAAAGAGACAAGACATTTTAATCAATTCAAAGAAAATTCCAATGTTCTTGTTACCATATCCTAATGTATTAGCATGCCCTGCTTTTTCCTTCTCAGAAAGTGGCAAAGAGAAGGATTTGACGGCCTCAGATTCCAACATGGTAATGAATTCCATTCCATGGTTGATGATCTTGAAGAAGCAAAACTCCTCACAAGCCCTGACAATGAGCTGTTTAGAGTATGGTTTTGAGAGGTCTCTTACAGGAATCCCAGAATGAGAAATTAGAGTTGAGATATTGGGATGAGAGAGCACAGGCGGCGAAGAGGAAGTGGAACTGCTAGCCATAATGAGTTTAGGTATGGAAGAGAGAGGCGAAAAAAACTTTAGGCTCAAACTAATATGAATATGGTTGAGGATGAATGATGCCAATTGCATTAACACTGCAACAATATATATAGTCGAGCATTTTTGACGCCGTAGTGCTTTGGGCAAATTCTTGCGCATGAGGTCAGCAATAATTTTTTTAAAGAAGTCAAGCATTTTTTATGCCGTAGTGCTTCGAACCCCTCCCAAACCACATGCAACAAAGCCAAGCTAACATTATCATTTTGTGACATGCACGTTATGATCTACTAAATTTTCAAATTTTGATGCCTCCATATAAGAATATCATTGTGAAGTTCGAAATTATCTTTTCAGAAGTTACTGGAATCTCGTATTGAGCTTCGTCCTGTTCTGATTGCCAACCACAGAAGACTAAAAGATATACTCTTCCTTGATCTTGCTTTGGATTCATCTGTCAGAACAACTATGGAAAGGGGACTAAAAAATCTGAATTTTGGACACTTACCAGTAAGTGGTGACTATGCTTTCTAAGTACAGTGTCTACTTATCTCTTAGAAAATTTAATGTCATTTGGATATTATTTATGCAACACAAAAATTTTCTGTTCCATGCAACTATAAGCAGGAGATTATGTTCTTCATTTCATTGGTGCTTGAAAATGTATGCTTGTCGACAGTTAACAATGAAGACCTCATTTACTGCACCAAGGTATATCTGTCTTTGAGTATGGATTCCAATCTTTTTCTGGTTGACATCATCATTTAGAAAAGGAAAAGATTAAGAAAAAAAAGAAAGATCTTGTAGCTTAAGGTTTTGCTTCTCTCATATATTTCAACTGCTGGAGTGGAAAACAATCATTTAGATTTAGATCTTTCTTTGTCTTTTCATTTTCAATGTTGAATGGAGTTCCTTTCTCTGACTCTTGGTGTTACGTTGCTGTCATAGGACTGGTACCATATCTGTGAATTATACAAACCCGACGATGGTCAGTGGGCATTACAAACAAAGGCTATTCTTGATCGATTACAATTAGTACTTGCTGATAGGTCTCAGTGTTACCAGAATAAGATCCAGCCTAGTGCGAAATATCTTGGAAATCTGCTTGGTGTTCAGAAATCGGCGGTATGTTATTGGGGTTTGACTTTGGCATCCATAGTAGACAACCAGTTAGGCTTTTATTTCAAGTATTTTTCCTAAAGTATTTTTCCTGATGTCAGATTGATACTTTCTCTGAGGAGTTAATTAGGGCTGGATCAGCAGCTATTCTGTCTGCTCTCATTAATCGTTTTTACCCCATTCTGAGAAAAGTGGCAAACTTAGGCTGGTAAGATTAAATTGAAGATTACTTCATGCTAAAGTGTAAAAGTCAGTCTATGAATCTGAGTTTATTGCTATAACTTCACTTTACTTATAGTCCCTTTCCTTTCCTTTGAAAAACATGCCTTAATATTTTGGGCAATTTTTTCCAGTATTTATGTTGAGTGTTACAAAGTTGTACCTTGCAGTTGGCAGGTTATCAGCCCAGTTGATGTGTGTGGCGTTGTACTTTGCGTTAATGAGCTCCGTAGTATTCAGAACAAAGTCTATAGAAAGCCAACCATTTTAATTGCAACTAGAGTAACGGGAGAAGAGGAGATTCCAGATGGAGTTGTTGCCGTTCTGACACCTGATATACCAGATGTTCTATCACATGTCTCTATAAGAGCAAGAAATGAAAAGGCATATAACTTTTGATTCTTAATCATGAATTCCCAAATAACAAAACTGTAAAGCATAATTTGATAAGAGATAAAAAACAAATTCTTACTTTGTAAACCAACACATTATACTTGACTAGAGTATCGTGCTGCAGGTATGCTTTGCGACATGCTTTGATCCTAATATTCTCAGAGATCTGAAGTCGAAGGAAGGTAAATCAATATCAATACTAGTGAAGTCGGCAAATATTATTATCAGGTTGGTAACTGAAGTGGTTGTTTATTTTTTTTTGAGAAGAAACGAAATTTATTACTCAAAAGAACACGGAGGTGGAAAAGGCAACCACAACCGAAGAAACAAAAACAACGCAGAGAGAAACAAACAGCACCAAACCCTCCCAAAACTAACAGGGAGGAACAAAACCGAAAAACCACAGAACAACACACCCCCCCAACCCTCAGTTAACCGCAGCTGCCATATCCCTCATAATAGTGGAATAAGAGTAGTCTTTAAAATCTTTTGTAACAGAAGCCCACAAAGCTGCCCAGTACTTAACTCTATCCCAAAGCTCACTCACTCCCACTCCCTTATAGTCTTCAAAAATTCTCCTATTACGCTCCATCCAAATGTTCCAGAATACAGAGTGGACCAAACAGCCCCATAAAGTTGAAGCGCGCTTCCCCGTTCCCCAAACCACAAAGTCAGAACAAAGGAAATCAGAGCACCCTTTCGGAATCACTCAAACAGTCCCAACCTCCCTCCACAAGAGCCCCCAAAGGCTTAAGGAAAAAGGGCAATGTAAGAAAAGGTGGTCCACATTCTCCTCGCAACGCTTACACAAAACACACTATTGAGGAGACAAATACATAAATGGTCTCTTCCTTTGGACAAGATCCGAAGTGTTAACTTTCCCAAGCGCCACCAACCAAACAAAGACTTTGACCTTAGGGGGAGACTTAGCCTTCCACACAAGAGAGAAAGGAGGAAAGGTCACAACCCTCCCCTTGTTGCGCAGACAGGACTGAAAGGACTTGCAAGTGAAAGATCCCGACTCCTCAAGATCCCACCTTCTCCTATCTCTTTTAGAAGCACACAATCTGAAGCCTTCCAGAATTTCCAGCAACTTAATCACCTCGACAGTCTCCCTTTCATTCAGATTTCTCCTAAACCCAAAATCCCAATTATGAGGAAAAACCTGAGAATCAACAAAACAGTCAATGCTTAAGGAATGCTTTGAAGACAGCGCAAACAAGTGCGGAAAAGAGTCCTTCAACAACCCCTCCCTCACCCAACTATCCTCCCAAAACCTGACCCTATTCCCATTTCCCACCTTGAAACTGCAGCACTGTAAAAAAGTTTGATAACCCGCTGAAATGTCCTTCCAAGGGTTAAGAGAGGTAACAGTAGTAGCGGGATTAGCTTCCCACCCATTAGTTGTTTATGTGTTAGGATTTTTGTGCCTCTTTACTTTCCAAATTCACTGTTTTCGTTTTATTTGCAGAGACATCAGTAGCTCCAATTTTTCTTTCAAATCCTTTGGTACTCAGTCCAAACATCAAGGATTAACGTTAAGAAAAAAGGCTTTCTGCGGTAAATATGCCATTTCAGTTGAGGAGTTCACTAGTGAGGTGGTATGCCCTTGGAATAACTTCTAATCCATCTAAATTTCTGTTTGTTCTTTCATGTTTCAGCTATAGTAGGCTATTTAATAAACATCTGAAGAGATTATGTTATGTTTTTGATTGATTGTGTCCCAGTGAGAAGCCATTTCAAGTTATATGTAGATGAAAACACTAAAGAGGCGTCATAATTGAGTCATGCACTTGCAAATTTATTACCTTTAATAACAGTTAACCAACTTTGTTAATTTATTTTCTAAATGTAGTCCAAGGAAGTAGAATGCAAAATGGAGTGTTATACAAATCTCTTTATTCTCCTATTTTTCCCATTTGGTCAGTTAATCTTTTTATTTTTGCAACTGTTCATACTAATGAAATCTGAGAGTTACATTCCACACTCTTCTTTTCTTGGATATATTTGAAATTTCAAGTAACTTCTGATGAAGCTTGAATAGGGTTTATACAAGAATTCATGTTATCTGATGATTTTCTATTGCATAGGTTGGCGCAAAATCATGCAATTTAAATTTTTTGAGAGGAAAGGTGCCAACATGGATTAAAATTCCAATGTCAGTAGCCATACCATTTGGAGCCTTTGAGAAAGTCCTATCAGAAGATTTTAATAAGGTATTGTTCACAAAATTGACTTACTGATCAATTTATTAATAAGGAACGAGTTTTATCATGGCATCATGTGGACGAAGTGCGTGTGTCTCTGAAAATATTGATCTTAGTATGTCTCATATGAACACACGCCAGCTTGATGACATTGTTCACAATTTTAATGTATCTACAGCTTTTTCATTGTCAAATGAAAAGGAAAAATAAAATAAAACAAATGCAGGCTTTAATATCTCATTCTTTTGCAGGATATAGCATATAAGATTTCTTCATTTTACAAATGCGTAAAGGGTGGGGACCTCTCAAAACTACAATCAATACAAGAAACCATTCTACGAATGAATGCTCCTATTTCTTTGGTACTTAAACCATCTTCAAATTTAGCATTGATAACTTAGTTGGCATTCCTACGTACTTTTACAGTGGCCTGTTGTCTTGCTGAACTGCTGCCTTTCAAATTCATGGGAGTTACTAACTTTGAAATCTAACTATAGAATGTAAAGCTATACTGCGATTTTCCAGATATCATTTCCGTGGATAAAACTTGGCATTAATTATTTTCCTCATGGTCCTTCAATCAGGGTTCAGAGAATATGCCAAATGTTATAAGAGAAATGGAAGAGTGATATGAGTTTCATCTTCCTATATCTTTTACTCATCCTGCTATGAACTAATCGTCACCAATGTGTAGTCCTAAATGCCAAGGACTTGAGAAGTTACGTATTGAACCACTTTAACCTCATTTCTTGATTAGCCTCTGGATCCTGAGTCAGCAAGTAATTTGATGCTCTCAGTGCCTTGTGAAAACAGCTATGGACCCTGACCCTTGACTAAATTTGCAACCTTGTTGCTTGTTGTTCAGATCCTAAACGTATCATTTCATCGTTCTTGCATGTATATACTAAAGCTGCTCTCTCTTAGGAAAATAGATGTTTGCCATAACCTTTATATTTAAGTGGGTGGATTATACATATAGTTATAATTTTTTTTTTAACTAAAAGATTATATGTTAGTTTGTTACTGAGAATTTAATTTGAATCACACTTCAACTGCATTGTTCACACTTTTTCTTTGTATCTTTTGATAGACCCATGAGCTTAAGAGCAAAATGAGAAGTTCAGGGATACCTTGGCCTGGTGATGAAGGTGATGAGAGGTGGAATCATGCTTGGCAAGCAATAAAGAAGGTATCAATGTCAATCATGTACTTTTTTCTGGTCCATCCAGTTTACTAGCTTTGATCTTTTGCAGTTGTGAATCTTAATGTGTTCATCAGGAAATTTCAAGTCTGTCTATCCATTCCTTTGGATTATTCTGTTTGCATAAAATAGTGTCGTACTTTCTATTAACATGTGCAGGATCTACTATTTCAAAAACCAAAGAGGGACTTGTTGGTTTTCTATAATTGCAATCACAATATTCACAAGTATTCCTAGGCTTTTATAATTTATACATATATGATTTTAGAAAACTACTGAGTAGATTAGAAGGTATTCTAGAAATGCATTTGTGCAGAACTACCAGATAGTAGTGACATGATAGCCATCTCAAATTTGACTTTTGGTGCAATCTATCAAGACATAATATTTTTCCATATTCATAACAGGTTTGGGCTTCAAAGTGGAATGAAAGAGCCTTTATTAGTTGCAGGAAAGCTAACTTAGATCATGAAAATATATGCATGGCTGTATTGGTTCAAGAAATTATCTGTGCTGATTATGCTTTTGTAATTCACACAAAGAATCCCTTATCAGGGGATACCTCAGAGATCTATACAGAGGTAGGCCTTGTCTGTGAGTTTAAAATACTGGATTTCTAAGTCAATAAAATATTGTCTCATTCTTTCTTCATGCAAATTCAGATAGTTAAGGGCTTGGGTGAGACTTTGGTGGGTGCATATCCTGGACGTGCCATGAGCTTCATTACCAAAAAATCTAATCTAAGTTCTCCAATTGTAAGGCCAACTATTATTTTATGACATGACAATATTTGCTTCATTTATTTAGTTAAACCTACGAGATCAATCTCAAAACTGGCTTTCCTCCAATTTATAGGAGAGAAGTTGTTTACGTGGTAGATTTCATGAACCTTTACATCTCAAAAATGAATCTGACTTTCAGGTTATTGGTTATCCAAGCAAGCCAATAGGATTATACAGTAAGAAGTCTATCATATTCAGATCAGACTCAAACGCTGAGGACCTGGAAGGATATGCTGGTGCTGGGCTTTATGACAGGTTTGTCCTGAAGCTGAATTATTATTTTTGAATACAAACAATAGTCCAAACTAGAAGGGGGAGGGGGGTTTCACACACACACGCTCGAGCACTACAAAGGTGCCATGGGGATATGAACCTGAGACCTTTGGTCTGCAAGTCAAGGCTCTTTTCCATTGAGCTAAGACCCCGTTGGCAAACGACAAAGAGCAGCATTTTCATACTCCTGCAGTAATGTGTCTGTGAACTTGTTGCAGTGTAATCATGGACAAAGAGGAGAAAATTGTGTTGGATTACTCCAGAGACCGGATGATTATTGATAGAGCCTTCCAAATCTCGCTCTTCTCAAGAATTGCAGAGGTGGGAAAGATAGTAGAAGGACTTTATGGCCGTCCTCAGGACATTGAAGGTGTGGTAAAAGATGGAGTGATCTATGTGGTTCAGTCAAGGCCACAAATCTAGCGCAAGCAAGCACTTGATGTCACAGTTTTATTTTATTTATGCTAAAACTAATGCATTTTCGATATAGATGAATGGTACTAATAATATGGAATTGATGTTCATTGGAATTTTTAGTCTATGTCCGGTGTTGAAACAATATCTCGTCCTTTGTCAAACAAGACAATTCAAAGATTCTACTTGTGATTCTCCAAAGTATCTCAATACCAAAGTCATTACTGTTTTAAGAGCTGATTAGTGATTGTGATCAATGATTGGACACAGAGAAACCACCATCATAGAATTTAAAAAGATGGAACTTAAACTATTTCCGTTTGTCTAATGTAAAAGCATAATGAAATTTTAAAATGGTATTTTACGTTCTTTATAGAGGCATGAACCTATAAATGAGTGGTGGTGGTGATGGGTTTGCTAAGGTGGGAGGGCAATGATTGTGATTGTGATATTGGTGGAGGCAGGGGCTGGGGCGGCGGCGGCGGTGATGGTGGGGAAGGGTAGCAGTATTGCAATACATCTCAGAAACCACTGCATTTCTGTGCTAGCAATGGGTACCAGGACAGCCCATGAAGCCTTATTCTTCGTCCTCATCATCCTCAAAACGTTGGATGCACGATGTGTTCTTGAGCTTCAGAGGTGATGACACACGCAAAGGCTTCACAGGCCACCTCTACATGACAATGGAAGAGTCTGGGATCAACGCATTTATTGACAACCAGCTAAGAAGAGGGGAAGAAATAACAGCGGAATTGGTGCAGGCAATCCAAGGGTCCAGGATCCCCATCATCGCCTTCTCAATGAGATATGCTGATTCCAGCTGGTAAAGATAATGGACTGTAGGAGAACACTTGGGCAAATAGTTTTGCCAATATTCTATGATGTTGATCCTTCGGATGTCAGGAAACCGACTGGTATTTTGCAAAAGCATTTCAGAAACACGAAGAGCGATTTCAAAAAGATACAGATCATAAGGTAGTGAGGTGGAGAGCTGCTCTTACTGAAGCTTCAAACTTGTCTGGCTGGGATCTTAGAAACGCTTTGGATGGGTATGACTTCTGGCCATAGCCCTTTCTGTTTTCCCTTTTTCTTTTTCATTTGTCCTTTTCATATAATTGCCAACATCACATGTATTGGTTTTCTTGAGCCTCTGTTAATCAAGTGTCATTAACCAAAAAATAGGACGATCATAAATAAGCTTAAACTGTTAGGATTTGGGGCAATAATACTGATGACGCCGGGCTTTGAGTAGTTGGATTAGGAGGAGTTTTGAGCTGGCAATATATCAACTTACTGATGAGATGAGCTCTGTTGTATTACTGCATGAAGGCATGAGGCAACTTGGCTTCCATGTCTCATGTATATTGAGGATGATATTTCACATTTTTGATATTATGGGTTCAATTCAACTTATTTTGCAGGCATGAGGCAAAGTTAATCCGGAAAATTATCAAGGACATCACTATGCTGCTGAACACATCTTAAACGGGAAGCCGAGAGACACAAAAATCATGAAAAAATAACCAAGAAATAGGAACAAGAGTTAGGGAAGGTAACATAAACACTACTGAAAAAAAGGCTCAAAAGACACTGAGCCCTATCAGTCCATTTTGCTTCCTTCAGCTATTGAAGAAAGTGCCTATTGTAGTATTAGGGAATGTTATACATCAGTGTCTTTTGAGCCTTAGGGATTGTTAACTAAGATCTACATGCATATAGAATACTAATTAATAAACTATGTATTTGTTGGAAAAATAAGGAATTTAATTGCTATATTTAAAGAAAATCCAAATTTATTCATGCTATTAAATACACAATTTAATGCAAAAAATCATCCAAATGATATAGAAAGAAAAGTTTAGAAAAAGAGTCTAGCTAGAATTTCGTTCGATCTTCTTAAGACAAAATTGTCCCTCACTGGTGCTTCAAGGTTCTAATGACAAACGTCTCCTAGCATACAACGACCTCCTTCTTATGGTAGTAGCACTCCAAACCACAAGAATAAAGAAACTCTCTCTTAAGCTACTCTTAAAATTCTAAGAAACTAACGTGAAAAAATGCTCTGGAAAACTAGATATCCATGAATTGATTGAACACAAAATAATGTAGTGGGCTTCTCTATTTACAGATGACGAAGAGCCATTTCCCAAAGTATGTGACTTATCTGAAAAGGCAAGCGATGCATCTCTTCACTTAAAAAATGAACTTTGTTTTAAACTTGGATAGTCATACCTTTTTTATTTTAATTTCCATTTAATAACAGAAGGATTCAATAAAATTTCTAATAGTATTAATTAATATAAAGGCTATAAAAACTACAAGGCGAAATTAGGCCTAGTCAGGAACCAATAGTTCAGATTAATAGCTAGCTTTATTAAATGGTAACACTTCAACAACGACAAAAATAGCAATTTTTTTTTTCCTTTTTAGAAGTTTTAACTTCTAGGATTTTGTTAATGTGGGTCACGCTAACAAGGACCAAAATAGATTAGAAAATAAAAATAAAAAACCTTTTCGAGGTGCACTGCATGACATCTCCATGCTAGCTAGCTAGAGCTCTTCAATCTTCATATATGGATGTAAATAATAGGTCGGTTTGAAATTGGAATGATCAGCATAAATGAACTAGTCAGTGAAGTTTTCAAGGGTAGTTTCGTTAACCCTGTAATGGTTTAGAGTGAATTCAAGCAAATCTGACCATGTGAAATCCGGGAACTTTCTTGTGCCCCCCTCACTTTTGCACACAAGTTCCTCTACGGGCTTCACCACCTTGTCAGCTCTAGGACACATAAGAAGACCAAAGACCTCCTCTCCTTGTGGCTGTTCACAGCAGCCCTGTGCAAGCAACTCCAGTATATGCCATTCGATAATGCCTGCAAGATTAATTAATACTCATAATTAGCACTAATTATAATTAATTATTAGTCAAATAAACTATTAATTAATATTCAGCACATGCATGCACGCATGCGTTTGTACATACATATATATAGCAACTTGATGGATGACAGTACTCTAATGTATCAAAAAAAATAAAACAAAGTAAGCAAAGCTGTTACATCCAATGCCGATGAACTTGCTACGAGCAAGAGAGAAGAGGAACGGTGAAATTGTTAATTTGGTTGAATAGGCTTTTGCCATTTTGATTTTAACAGTCTACCGCCACGGATGTGTTGGATGCGTAATTGGCCATCCAAAGATATGCTCTAGTTTAGACTTCAACATTTAATCTGATTAGAAATGGTTTGGGAGGTGTGTACTTAACTTGTGGTACAAGTAATGACGAAATAAGTGTTCAAGTAACAGCCTCCTCACTATGCTAACATCCCCACACATTGTATTGGCAATCTGTCCTTATGGTTTGGGGAAGTTGTGCTTCTTAAGCTGATCTTGATGTGGCTGTTGCTAGGGGTGGAACTGACCCGATCTGAAGGAACTTAAACCCGTTTGACATGCCCCGGTATGGCCTAAAATGGAACCGCCACCAAGCCGGCTATGTTCGACAACCGGTGCTTTTGGTCTCGGTTGGTTCCGGTCGGATACCGCCACCATCAGTCTTGAATTTTTTTTAGTTGCAAAGGCAAGTTAGAGAGAGAGAGAGAGAGAGAGAGAGAATAATTAGACCGACTTATAAAGTCAAATACATACTATTGAACCGACTTATTAATTTAATTCATTCATTCGTTTTTTATGTGTCCTCCTATTTTAAAATCTCATAATTAGACCGACTTATAAAGCCAAATACATGTTATTGAACCGTTCTATGTTTAAACTCTTTCAATCAATTAAAGAGGTGGACGTGGCTCTCAAGAAGCTGATGGTGGCCGACTCTTTGTGATACCAGACTCTGTAAATATGAACCGTTCTATGCTTAAACACATCCAGCCAATTGTTGTCTATGTTTTATACCAGAAACCTTACAACCCAATTAAGCAGGGTTGGCATAGTTAACAACTCCCATATATACTTCTTTTCTTTTTTTTAAGAGGATGGGTGATAGAGAGTTTCCAAAACAGAAAATTTTGATAGTTAAAAATCACTTATTACTTTATTTTCTCCATTTTCAGCTTTCCAGAGCACTTATTGATTTTCAACGGAAATACGACTTTTTGGTGGAGTTTTTACACAAGGTCATAAAATGGGGGCTGTCCTAAAATTGGAGCCTTGTGAAAGGACACACATTGAGCACCCCCAAAGCCCGTTGGGATGACAAAAATTCCAATTGGGTCCTAAAAAAGGAAATTTCGAGAATAGTGGGTAGGTGTCGGATATTTTGTTCTAAATCTGAGTCGGAGATAGGGGTTAGGGCAGGAATGTTATTATGATCAAAATATTAAAGCATATGTACAAAATGGCTAAGTTGAAGCAATGGAATATTAAGTTTTTCATTTAACCATTCTTTAGTTTTTTTAAAAATAAAAATAAAAATAAAAATACAAGCGACAGTCTAAACAACTTTAAATTAATCTCATCTAAGATGAGGGGGACTCGAACTTGAGTGAAGGGAGTGCTGGCTGAAAACTCTGAAAATATGAAAAATATCAGTTGATAGAAAGATATGCTTAGTTGATTCCCCTGCCACTTTACATACCACACACCAATGAGGGGCTAATAAAGAGAGAAAAGTGCATGGAAAATTCATTTGATTCCATTGAAGAGATTTAGAAAAACACAGTTCAACCTTTCATCATCGTAAAAGAATATTGATCTAAAGTGTAGTATAGAAAAATAAAACGTGAAAAAGTAGAGAAAATGTGATAAGTCGATCCATGTGCAAAGCAAAACCATTCAAATTAGATAGTCATGTTTTGTGTTATATTTGATGCTTATAGTTTTTACAGCTAGAAAAATATTAGGAATGACAAGAATTTCGATTGGGTCCTCTAAGGGAAATTTTGGAAATATTTGGAATGACTAGAAAAATATTTGGAAATTTTGGAATGACAACACTAATCCTTCGAAGTTATTTATAGTCCATTTGCTCCAACGGATACAACCACGGCTAAGAATCACGGCTAAGAATCACGGCTAAAAATCCATCTGAAAGAAATGAGTCCTATTTGGAGGCACTAAAAAATAAGCCCAAATATCTCTAGCCTTGCAGTACAAGAAGCATCTACTGTCAGCTGCCTTCTCTCTAGATCTGCTCATTGGAGAGAATGTTCTCATTGCATCTACTGTCAACTTCCACAAAGCCCTTAACAGCTGCAAGACCAAGTACATACAAAAAAAAATGGACCCCCAAGAAAAAAAAGAGTACAAGTCAAGACCAGCTTCTCTTCATTTTTACATTTTGGTCCTCCAACTTGAATATTGGCTCCAATAGTCTACTTCACTTAATCTCGTACCATTGGTCGCACCACCACCAACGAAGTCCAAAGCGAAGGTGTCAATTCCCAACACTGCAGCCACTCCCACTTCTCCCTGTCCTCAAACTTCATCCTTAAATCCCCTTTTGTTGTACACAAGGAGGGGGAAGGGTGAGTTAGGTAGTTCACTGGGTTACTGCTTATTATTGATCTAGAGTCACGATTGGACTCGGGAAGAGGAACCAGGTTCAATTTGTGGAGTAATGCAACAACTTTGATAGGTAAGATGGTGCAAAGTAGAAACTACATGAAATGATTGTTTTTCCCATAAATTTAACGAAAAATGTAAGAGACTATGATGATTGGAACAACAATCAATTACTTTGTTTTACACATGAAAAGAAAACGAAGTTGACATAGTTCTAAGAATTTTTTGAGAAATGGTTCTAATAAACTTTTGAGAAATGGCTCTAAGAATTATTAACGACCAAGTGAACAAGAAAAAGCATTTGGTCATGAGAGAGAGAGAGAGAAATTATGCTTTCATTTTATTTTCCAGTATTTATATATATTTGAATCTATGTACAGATTTATGGAAATTCACCTAGCTCAAGTAAAAATTTAGGAGCCTCTATTCTTCAACTCAAACTACAAACTATACAAACAGCCGGTTGAGGCAAAAGGAATTATATCCTAAGTCAAAGGAGTTTAAGGCGTAAGAGGCAGTAGCTCCAATCCACAGTGCTCTAAGTTAATCACTTCTCCTACACCAATGCAAATCAAAATCAATATCAAGGAACGCATGCTTCTTTGGAAGATTAATACAGCATCTGAACTCTTTCTTTCTTCACCATGAGTGATCACCTGAGTCAGAATTTATAATTATCTAAGTTCTGCTCCATGCTCGACTGGGAATGAAATGGACCCCAACCTGTACTCTCAAAACTGCCTTCAAGGAATATCTTTGGAGGCCATAATGCTTCCCTCATTAAAATCCTCGTAGGGTGAGGATTCACCACTGGAAGAATCACTCTCGAATGCAGTGGTCTCCCTCGGAGATGATGGAAGTGAATCTCTCTGTTGGGAGGACGAACCTTGTACAGACAAAAGAAAACAAGTTTCAGTCTCAATGTCAAAAAAATTCAACATACGTATCCAACAAATTTCAGAAAAAATGGAGGTTGGATGGGGAACTATAGGATCACCAAGTACCCCTTAATAGTCTCTAATTAAATGACATCCCTGAGAAAGAACATGACATCCTCTATGGCTTTTCTAGGTCCTTGAAGAACCACCAAAAAAAAAAGTCAAAAACAAATGTGATAAGGTGATTGATCATTTTTAAAAAGTGAACAAGTCCACAAACCTTTTCTTGAACGGAACTTTTTTGTGTGGCGCCTGATAAGTCTCTTAGCTTTTGTTATAGTAAGCTGCCTAGCAAATGGAGAGAACTCTACATCGCTTTCACTCCAATCTCCTTGGAAATCATTCTCTGCTTCACCCCTCATGGTCCGCAGGACGAACGCCTTGGCCTTGCGTCGTTGAGTATTGAAAAGGCCTCTAATGGAAGTGACAAATCCATCACCTGCTCCATCACTAGGACGCTTGAGAAAGGTTATTGGATGCTGGTCAGGTTGTCCTGGCTGACCTTCATTGTCGCTGAAATTAAGGTCACTATCGGGAACACCAGATCCACTGGGTTCCCTCTGACTATTAGCCTTGTCTTTGAACTTCTTACCCTATAAAAATGGACACAGAGAATTGAGAACCGGGGTTGAACAGGAAAAAGGTAAGTGACATAGCAACTCTTCCAACAGACAGATTCAAACAGTAAAAAATCCTAAGCTTACTCAACACAAATGTTATCTTAGTATAAGCAAGCTGCTTAACGAAGATCTGAATAAAAAACATGTTAGAGATCTATAACTGATAATGTTTAATTCCTCCATCATGTTTAAATCATTGAAGGTCAAGTTTTAATAGCAGAGATATTTCCAACCGTTAGGAAGAAATCAAACCAAATCATGGTGTTGGGGGGGTGGAAAGAGAAAGGGGGGGTTGAGGGAAGAGGTAAGGAACAATCAGAGTACATTTGCATGCATAATCGATAAGGGTAAATATAGAAAGGTGTAAATGCAGACCTGCATTCCTGTCACAGACTTCAAGACTCCCCAAATGATATGTTTCTTAACCCGTGAAAAGAGTCTGCGCCAAGTACCAGTGAACTCAACACGGTGAAATGTATCCATTAGCAACTTAAGATCATTTACAACAAATCTCGATCCTTCATAAGTAACACATAGCTCAACCTGTAAAAATATTATATTAAGCATTTGACTAGAAAAAGTAAATTGGTACAATATGAGATGATGAAACCGAAATAACCTGGCTTATCTTGATATTGTGGAACTCCATCATCTTCCGAGGCCTGGATCTTTTCTCTTCCTGTGACTTTGCCACCTTCTTTTCTTCATGGGATGACCTGCCAGATTTGATAGCTTTGGGTTCTTTGAATTTATTCTTTGACGACTCATCTGGTTCACCAGAACCAAGTGGCCCAGTAATGCTCTGTAAGACAAGTTCTGTAGCAACTGATTCTGCCACAGTCTCTTCCCATGATCTGTCAAAGGAAGATGTTCTTCTCAATTCTCGGGTTGGACTACTAACAATTGTTGCTTTTAGGTTTTGCAATTTTGATTCCTGCAGAAAGGAATCAGGTCAAAGAAAAAGATCATGAAAAATGTAGTGTTTTCTCTGCGATCATGTCCAAGAAAATAAGATATAAATAAATAAATTCTCTATATCCATTCTAATATAAAATCAAAAGCTCACTTAAATGTAGCCATGCAATACAAAATAACCATCCACTAACTGATATAAAGATAATCTAGAAAACAACACAGCTACCCATCATGCAATCCATGTGTGAGGAAACACTAGTAAGGATATGGTCATGGATATCTTTCCTGAACATACAACTAACAAAAGCATCTAAAATATATTGCTCCAAGAAAGAAATGAAAGAAGAGTCCATGGGAATCTCACTTGCACAGAATCTGCATGAACAGAGGATTGACTGGTAGGAGGGGCAAAGGCACTTGATTTGGATGCGGCCTCAGACTCTTTAATTGTCTGACTGCTTGAAGCATAAGTGTCCTGGATTAAAGAGCCTTTCTTCACGCGTTTTGCACCAGCGGTTGTTGAAACCTTCCAAACTTCCTGCATGTCACAATTGGACAAACCAATTGTTTTAGTATTGATGACAAATTCCTTATACCTTGACAGAAGCAGTCAAATTTCAAATGATTAACATTTCCAACGGACCTGCCGTCTCTGTGAATCTTGTTCTTCTTCTGGGAATAAATATCCCCACATCATTCTGTACATTGTCTCTGTTAAATGGATCTTGAGAGGGTAAATCTCTACCTACAGTTTTAAAAAAGAGCTTGTTTAGCAAACAATTATTACTTCACTGAGGCAATATCAACAAATTCAATTATGTAGCCTCTTTATTTTCAAACAAAAAGTTTATTTTAGACAAGCAAGATTCCCTTCCATGTTGCGCATACATGTTCATAAATTAGTATCACTGGTCAAATACAGATACATGGTAAGCTGTTGTAAGCTGTCTTCCTGCATATGAACATCAGTGTTACGAACCCTTGTCTTCTTCTATTAGTTTTAGTGTAATTCTAATGAAAAATAGTAGCATAATTAAGTCGAGCTTTCAACTGGAAACGTTCTCAGAAAGCCTGCTTTCAAACAATTCATCCTTTGCCCTCTCTTTAGTCTCCATAGAAACTCATTCCAGTCCTAGGGTTGGTAGTCACATGTGTAAGAAAAATGAAGACTCCAAGGATTAATTTGGAGGACACCGCTGCAAAATAGCTATTTTTGTTGGAATCAGCTAGGTTATGACTAGAATTTTGGGTATTTGAACATGCCTGGTTGCCCATGTTTAAGCCCATAGAATCCCAGAATTTAAAGAAAATAAATTGCATTGCATGTTAAGTTTTGTTAATCCATTGTTTCCAAAAGCTTGAGTTGTCTTGTTAGGATATGGTCAACTATTGTTTTTATATTCTAATATTTCTCATACCAAGTTCCTAAACTCTTGGTTGTAATCTGCCAGGTTATGACAACAATTTAAATATTTGACTACCTGGCTGCCAATATATAAGCCTTTAGAGCCCCACAGTTGCTCATGATTACATATTACTTAAAAGAAAAGCAGAATTTCATGTTAAGTTGTTAGCCCACTCTAACCCCCCGTTTAGAAAAACTTCAATTACAATTCCTTTTTTAGAAAAGTTAAAATTTTATTGCAGAAGACAATAAAAGCAGAGGTGGTCAAGAAGGCCACAACAGACAAACAGAAAAACAACATAGTGTGCAAAGCAGACCTCTAAGACGCCTATGAACTAACTAAAAGGAGAAGTGTGAGATTTGAAAACTTGGCTTTTTGTGGGAGCATCTATGACAGCCACCATCCAGAGCAACTAAAAATAGGCAACAACAAAAATAGGGGAGTAGAGTGACCATTCTGGGAGGTGGCAACAGAAGCACTCATTATATTCTGTAGAGAAACTTTACGGAAAATGTAAAACTAAACAATTTAGAGAGAGAGAGAGAGAGAGAGAGAGAGAGAGAGAGAGAGAGTTTAAAAAAAACCTATAACCTGAAAAAGTTCAAGAGGAGAATTTCCATCCTTGGGAGCTCCCTGCTTTGCATCCACGCGAAGCATAACTTTCCTGTAGCCAAAACCGTACATCTTACAATTTTTGAATGATAAAAGTAAACATTTTAGAAAGTAGCTAATTACTCATAGTTATATTTGTCTCCTCCCACTAAAACTGTGATGAGTGAAAGCACAGGAAAAATATTCAACTAGAAAAGAAAAAACATTAATGTTGGTTGTATGGATCGACTTACAAATGATAATCAAGCAAATTCATTCAACTGAACCAAACGAAAAGACAATTGAAGGCATGGAGACAAGAAAAAAAATTCCACAGTGAGAACCAAAGAGAGTGCCTCTATGGCATGATGACCTGCTAAAACACATACATATATATATATATAGGGAGCTGTCATTGGCACTCCAAAAAAGTTATCCTACACTCCTTTGTAAAAACATAAGGGAGGAGTGCCAATAACGGTTTCCTATTACATATAAATATGATTATTACTAGAGTATTTTTGCATGATCTGATCTGAGTAACAGCTTTCAAAACATTTTATTCAACTGTAGCACAGGTGAAAGGAGCAACACAATAATGCTATATGGTGGTTCACACTATACAAAGAAAAGCTAGAGAATGTTATTCTGGGGAAGGAATAACTGTGATAAAAGCACAGTTATTTAACATAGGATCTAAATATGGAACAAACAAAAAAAGGTGCATACTTTCCCCATTCAGGAGGAGGATTCCATGCTGATAAAAGCATATCTGACTTGGCATTTGCCAGGCAGTTTCTGACAACAAAATTTTTCGTTGTAAACTGAGCAACGCCAACATCCTTGTAATCCCGGTCAAAGTCATAAATCTATAAGGAGAAAAATGAAAATCTTATCAGCCTTATTCTTGAGAAATGAATGCTATCGAAACTACAATCAAAATATACATAGGATGCATTTATGAAAGTTAACTAAAGTCAAGAAGCAACAGGAGTATCAGACCCAGCCAAGACTGGAGCATGCTTGTCAAACACCATGTAACATCATAGGTAGATTTTCATATACTTTCTTTATGAGAAACAATATTATATCAAATAACTTAGACTCACAATACATAACTTAGTGAACCAGAGGTCCACCAACAAAATGATACAACCCTCAAAAGAAAATCCAAAATAAATCTCTTAACATTGTAATCAAACCCAAAATTATCCTAAAGGAGCTCCCTAGCATGGATATTGTCCCCAACTTAACTACCTAGGTCAAATACCTTTGGTGGGATTACACTCAACAGACCCATTCAGATGTGCAGTCAAAAGCCGTTGGTACTATTAGTAGATTATTGTGGTACTTCTCCAATGTGGGATTATGCCCATCCACGTCCACGGCTTGTATCAAGCCCCACAACCCAACAATCTCCACCTTGGCGAGCCCCAAGCCAAGATGTGGGATTATGCTCGTCCACATCTATGACTTGTGCCGAGCCACACAACCCCAACAAACATATTACAATTCCATAGAATTCTTGCCTTCCTTCTGCCACCAAAACACATACTTTTTCACAAATAATATTTCATGGTCAATGGAATAACCCAATTAAACCCTGCCTCCCAGACTAACCGCAACCACAGCCTCAAATCATATGGATGATGTAAGGACAAGTTCGTTCAAAATTCCACTCTTATTGCACAAGCATAACTATTCAAATGGCCATTTAAAAAATTTGAGAAAAAAAAACCCTGAGATATGAAGCTATAATATTGGTCATACAAAGCTTTTAAAGCGCAAATTTTAGGAGTAAAGTAGTCACCAGTCAGTCACCACTCAATCTTTCACTAAAAGACAAAAGTATATTTCATTTCTTATGATCTTAAGATGCTCAGTGCTCACCATGTCATTGATCTCAGCCTCCGCAAACGATTTACCATCAACAAGCATGCTCCAAACCACTTTGTTAATTTGCAAAGAAATGCGCATAGCATATGATGGACTTTTGTTCTTCTCCTTTTCCATCAGCCGTAGCTGTGCAGCCTTATGTAGAGCCATTCTTAAAGATGCATATGATGCTTTCCTTGATTTTTTTGAATTAACAAGCTCTCTTTTTAGTCCTTGCACCTGGAAGGAGAAAACGATATTGTCCATTATCTGATTAAGTACTGAGGGACCAAAGACTAGAATAGCCATACAAGTACAAACAATATACAGAGAGAGAGAGAGAGAGAGAGAGAGAGAGGAGAGAGAGAGAGAGAGACACGTCGAGAAAGCTTCTTTGTGAAAGAACAAAGTCTAGTGTCTGAAACTACACTACTTATATCCACTCGAAATGAAAATTTTGAGTAGGATACTTGTACTTGGTGTTTATTAGTATGGAATCGTGGAAGTTCATCGTTAGACTACCATCAAGTGCAGGAAAGTAGATTCACAAGTATGTTAAATGGGATCAATATTGTAAATTTCCATTTCATACTACAAAATGAAACGACATAAAGGGGAACCAGTGCAGAAAGAGCCACTCCAATCTTCAGTGAAATCTTCAAGTAGACTGTCAGACTATGCACATGAAACTCAATTTCAAGATGGAATAGTAAACACAATGTTAAAAAGCGTGGTCTGTTAGGAGAATAGTAAACACAATGTTTGCAAACTTGTGAACAACACAAAACTGAACATCAAAGAAGGAAAAATGTGTAAAGGTAAGGATCCCTGCAAAGGCGGGGCCATTAACCCCATGCAGAAGAAGATATGGGATTAAAAACAAAGGATATCCCACTTGCTCATAACGAGTAAGTTGAATAACTCCAAAAAAAATAAAAAGGGAATTCAAATGACTATTGGGTAGTTATAAATAGAAAATACATTTCAGTAGAACTGTAATGTAGAAGTGCTATTCTTATTTTTCAAAAAGAGAACACTATTCCATGCCAAGTATTTATCAGAAAGTATAATAAGTTAGATTTTTCATTTACTTTAGAAGTTTAACAGTTAAATGTAATTTAGGTAGGCCTGACATGGCTACACAGGCAAGAAAAATTAACTTAGAGAACTCTTAACATATTATGAACCTTGGCATTACTACCAAAATTTAAATAGTAAAATTGCTACCTGATTAGCAACCCAATCAGCAAATAAGAGAGAGAGAGAGAGCAACACTACAATCCTATCATAACACATACTATAATGAGTCCAGAACTAGCTCTATAGTTTCATTCATCACTTTATTGTTATAGTTATTTTGCCTATCTACACACATAAAACAAATACGACTAGAGAAAAAAATAATAATGATAAAACCCACAAAAATGTAATACTTTCATCGACTATCACAAAATTTCAGCAGGTTCTGTAAAACGTTTGTTTCTCACCAGAGTGGATCTTGTACAATTTATCATCCACAAGTCCCCTTCCTTTTCTGGATATAGGTCTCCAGTGGTATCACACCGAAGAGACAATTTCCGTATATCACCAAGAATCAATTTCTGCTCCCGCTCTTTCTGCTCAAGGTCCACTTTTGCAAGCTCTACCTCTTCAACACCATCGGGAACCACCTCATCTGCCTCTTCCTCCACATCTTCATCATCTTCAGCAGGAAGTGACAGACTACTTTTTCGAGGCCTGAATTGCACGTATAGTAAATCAATTTGAATAGTTCCACGACAAATGCATCACAGACAACCTTTCCACTGGCAGTTTCACATTTAATTTGAGAATTTTATATGACAAACAGTTCATTGCATCAGACAATCAATATACCAATTTTGCAAAGTAAACCATACTTATCAATATTCAGGCAAAAACATAAACCCTTATCAATATCAATTAGACCAAATGCCCCAAAACTTTAAGCTGTTAAGAAACTAGATAATATTCTCTTTCAAAAAAAACCAACCTCTTCAATACTCCATTTTTGTTTACTAATACCTGAATGACAAGCATCTAAGCATTTAGGGAAATTATTTTTGGTTTGATTTATCTAGATTGGGGGGAATTCATGATATAATATTAATGTTTGTAAGTCATTAGTTAGACCCATAGATGGATATATATTTTTTCTGCTTTTTCCCTTCAAAAACAAAACAGCACTTTCTAATTGCTAACAACAATCAAATTACAGAAAAGTGAAAGAGAAGCCCACTGCAAAGGAAACAGTGAAAACCAAAGCAAAAGCACAATAGTTCTTTGGAATTCTGTTTTTGTTCTGGTGTTTTCCCCTAGGATTGAGGTGTTGGTGCAGTTTGCATATTTACTTTTCTTTTAGAAGTGGATTCCTTGGGTTCACTTTTGTTGTACTGTTTATTTTTTACTAAAGTTTGATGTTTCTTATAAATAAATAAAAAGTACAATAACTCCCTAACTTAAACTTCTCAAAATGAAATGAAGAAATCTTATGCAATTTTCTAGAATTATTGTCCATCTTTCTTTTTGTATTTTTCTATTACATTTACTGTTTCTTAATCAAAATAAAATGAAGAGATCTTATGCCAATATGCCACAAGATACAGATACAAATTCCTAATATGATGAAATTCCAAAAGAAGATAAATCAAATTAAGAAGAAATAGGATGCAAATCCTCACTTGGGAAGCCGTGCAAAGAGAAGATTTGTCAACACATCCAGCATAACCTGAAACTGGCGAGAGGTCATTGTTGCCGTAATATTATGGGAATTGAAAGTCAGCTCTTTCAAGGGCTTCACCTGCAAGAGAAAGATTCAAAGGCAAGCCAAATTCTTAATGCAGAATAAATGTGAACATTCACATATTAGGCTAGGATAATAGCCTCAATATTTAAAGAAAGATCACATGCATATTTTTTAGAAACAGACTATAATTGCCACTAGGCAAAAAACCACAAAGACCAACAGAATGGTTGAGAAAGCCAGAAACACGCATATGAATGTTTAAACTGTAGGCACACACCTGGATGAATATGTATTTAAGCATATATCAACATACGCAATATGTGGGTAGAATTTAACACTGGAATCTATACAAACTATCCAGTAATTATAAAGGGCCAAATCACCTTTAACTCTGGAGTTCCACCTTTGTGCCTTGTGTACCTGAAGTACATATCACAGGGCATAAATACTCTCTCAAGTAATGCACCAGTACGTTTTACTTTTGGAGAGCTTCTACGAATTTTTGGAAGCCACTGCAATCCAGCCCCTGGATCAACATCAGTTGGTGCAACATGAGCTTGAACATGCTCCAACATTACAGAAAACTCCATGCGTTTCCATGTCATTTCAGGTTCACATTCAGGAATATTTACTTTCCCAGTACCAAGTGCTTGCTCAATCACCTCATAGCCAACATGAAGGACAGAATGAAATGACCGGGCCAAAACCCGGCCACTAACAGCAGCAAGCAGAAATCTTCCCTGTTTAGCAAAAAGAACAGTTACCCTCAGATGTCACTACATTATTTTTATTTCTATTTTCTCTTCTTCTTTTTTCGCAAAGTTAAAAAAATTGAAGAGTGCATAATGCATAAACACATGTCTCATATGGCTTGGACGTCCCAAATTTGTACATAAGTTTTGCCAATGAAGTTCACAAACAAAATTTTCTAATTTGTAATGGCATTCTGAGAACAACAAAATATTAGCAATATCTTTCTCTTTTGAAACTATTTTTTTATTATGTTTGATGGATACCAAGTCTGATTTAAACATTTTTTTTATAAATAAAGACAGTAATTAAGAACAACCAAATAAGTGATGAAAATTCAGTGGTATATATAGAGCATCACTATGCACCTAAAAGAAAAAGAACCAGGCAGAAAAACATTAACTTCCCATCAAAACTACTTCCAAAAACACAAGCAATATAAAATGAAGAACAAAAACCATTTACAGAAGGCACTGGAAAAACTACTTTAAAAATGCAAGGCCATACAATATTAAAGGCTGATGACTAAGCAGCCTGCCCTCCTACAAGCCATTACTGTGTTGTACAGATTATAATTATTGGTCACGTATCCAACAAAAGATTATGATTTGTTGTCTTTTGAGTTCAGTTTCCCTTTTGTTGTTTGATCGAGGATAATTTTCCTTTTGATTATCAAGACAAACGTTTCTATTTAAAAAACAAAAAACAAAAAAACAAAAGATTATGATTTAAGCATATTATGTATAAGTAAAAGAAAGATTATGTGCCTTATAAGATACAACAAAAACTGAACAAAAGTAAGAATATGAATGCAAATGTAACGAGATGGACATAGTCCACTTAAGTATAGAACAGAGCATAACGATATCTGATTACTGCAAATAGTTTCTTCAAGGATATGGCTCTAAGTATCAGGGTGGATTTCAAGAACAATTAGATATAGAACAATGTGCTCAACCCAATTTAGTTGGGTAGAAATCTACATTGAGTGAGGAAAATTTACGGACCAGAATTTCAAGTGCCCTAGCCATGAAATTTGGACATCCCTACATTGCATGATTCACATTATCTAAGACTTCAACGGTTGTTGTAGAATTGGTCAAGTCAAAAACACAGCAGTGTATCCGTAAAGTATTTGATTCCATCATATAATAGACTACCAGTCCCAACCAAACAATTATGGATAACATGCATCCATCACTAAGAAATCTCAAAGGAATATTAGGTCGTACTGCAAAGTTTCTAAACAACTTACATTGGCATCTTCTGAATGAAGATTAAATTGAGGCTCAATAACATTCACCATGAAATGCCGAGTCCCATCCTCCTCAGAATCACTTGTGTCTCTATTCTTTGCTGCAATCATAGGAAACAAATGCCTCTTAGCAGAACTCAATATTATGCAATAACATCAGCAAACAATATTTCTTTAACGTTGATGACATTCATCACTACATAGCTAACAATAATTCTTTTTTCAACTTCTTTTTATTTAAAGTCTTGTTTACTATAAAAACCACAGCATACCCAGATCAAAATTAGGCTTCTAAAACACCACTTAGTTTAATTAACACAATTTCATATTGGATGTAAAAACTGCAGAGAAATTTCATGAGGTGCTCAAAAATTACCAACTGCAACAGATGATGATGAGTTCCCAACTGAAACAGATGATGATGAGTTCCCAGATGCAACAGATGACGAGTTCCCAACTGCAGCAGATGATGAGTTCTCAGTGGCAGATGATGAGTTCTCCAATTTAACTGGATGTGATGGAGATAAAAGTGAACCAGAGGTCTCTGCATGCTCGACAGTAGAAGAAGTAACCCCATGGCTGGTAGTAGGGGGCTTAGAGCTACCATCTTGTTGCCTTTCACCTCCACTATGTGCCTGGTGCTCCTCATGTAATTTCCTTTGTGCATATTGCCTAGAAGGAGAAGGTTTTGGTGGCTGAAATGCTTTGGATAAACCACCAACAAAGGACCAAACAGCATCTCTATTCTCAATAGTCCACAAAAGCTTGAGACCATAAACAAATATACGCTGACAATTGTCAGCTATTACCACATTGTATCCATCATCATCACTATGATCAGATCGTGTATGCTCATCACTCTCACTCCCGTTTTCAAACTCAGACCTCACATATGTCATCTCTAGATCTCTTCTTCCAGCCTCTTGCCAGGCTAATAACCTAGATGGGTCAGCTTTTGGGGCCTGCCTTCTGATTGTGAAATAATCAGATGACAATAGAAATCCATCATCACGATGCTTCTCTGTGCAGCTACTCACATTGTTACTTTTTTCATTGGGAACTCTATCCGCAGATGCAGATTGTGAATTTTTTATTGTCATTTGAACTACCTTTGCAACACTAGTGCTTTCTTCTTTATTTAAAAATGCCTTAGGCATATGAAGGTCGAAACACTGGTAAACAAGATCAAGGGGGTCACGCTTGCATTCAAAAGTATACTTTTGCTTACCACGACTATAACACATTTCACATTTCAGCTTTGTCATCTTGAATGTCAGTCCTTTAGCTGGATCATCATCATCTAGCGGCATGTGCTTTATACAAGTAGGTGCAGCATCAATCCGGAGCATAAATTCAGTCATCACTCTGTCCAACGACAAGTTACCAGATCTAGGAATTCTTGGAACTCCAAAACGAGGCCAGCGAGCAAAGGACCGCAATTTGTGAGGAGGGAGATAATTCATGTTCCAAAATTTTATCAACCATGCTAGATCATGAGCACCAACATTCACTGTCGGTGAAAGAATGGGAACATTGTCATCTTTATGAGGAGGACCATAAACAGTTCCATCTACATCAGTACTACCTGCCTCAGTAGAATAGAGGCCTTGTTTCTCACGTGAGGGAGAGGGTCTAAGAGAAAAAGTCCAGCGAAGGGACAGAGAGGTTGATCTGAATGGATCAAAAACCTTTTCACGAGCTCTTCCTTCAACAGGAAAAGCAAATAAATAATGATTCATGGGATTGCCAGATTCACATTCCCAACCTATCGTAACTTCAACTGTAAAGGCTGGAGCTTCTAGCAATGCACCGGATATACCTTTAGGAAGTTTTAAACCACGACTATTTGCCAAACTCTCTAAACTGCTTAAGAAAATCTTAAAATCATTTGCAGAAACATAAACACGGCCATCTGACTGCTGAATCTCCATAGAACCAGTTATTACTTGAAGTTTGTCAAGCTTTTCATAAGGATCAGTAGTCGCAAGAATATTAAATATTGTTTCAGAAAATAATAAGTTGATGTTCCCATGAATATAATTCCTCATATCATCCCACCATGGTAAGTTCTTTTCCTTTTTGGGGGGAATGGGTGGTGGATTGGGGTTCCTAACACATAGATTAGCCCTGCGAAGAGCCACAGTAAAAGCATAACTCACATCAGCAAAAGCGGGTTCATATCCCACTCCAAAGGACACTTCTGCTTTCTGAAAATGTACGGACAAATCTGTAAATGTTTTCATGGGTGGAGTTGTGCCACTAGCAGAACGAAGCAAGTTCACCTTTCTCCATCTCCCAATATAAACTTCTTTGTGTATTTGAGGCTGAAAACTTGTTGCCTGATCCAAGGAAATAATATGGAATTATACAGCATACATGCATAAGCTTCCATGTCATGACATGAAAGAACCATATGAAGATGTAATTGTTGAATCATGATATACAAACAAAGGAAGTTGGATACACTGTCAACTAACATTATCCAGGGTCAAATCACAGAAGACTCAAGAATGGTTTCCTTTTTAATAGGAAACAGAACCTATGAATCATAATATTGAAAACAAGTGACAGATATTCAGCTCCTCTTGATGGATGATGCTGCTATCAAGGCCCAAGATTATTTATGATTAGATTTTGCTCTTTTTAGGCCTTGGCCTTCATTATTAAAAAAAAATAGAAATTCAAAATTGTTAAATTTTAGAGAGACGAGCCAATGCCCCACTACTAGCAACACCGATATTATCCCCAACTTAACCACTTACAAAGCCCAATAGATGTGGGGTTTTATCACAAAAGGCTTGGTTTATATTAGTAGTAGAACCACTTATTATATATTATAATTTATTTAGTCAAGTTTCCGATGTGAGACTTTATATTCTTGAACACGCCCCCTCACGTGGAACCACCACATAATGGGCCACACGTGGAGTTCAGTCCAGACCGGAATCTATCATTCAAGCCCAACATGTGAGCAACACGTATCGGGTAAGGAGTAAGGGTAAACATTCAAGCCAACATGTGCACACCATATATTGGGTAACGGTAAAAATTTAGGCCAAACATGTGAACACCACATATTAGGTAAGGGCAAGGGTAAAGGCCAAGTAATTCTGGCCTAGTCAATCAACCAACTCTGATACCATATTAAATTTCAGAGAAACGGTCTAATGGCCCACTACTAGCAACACTAATATTGTCCCTACAAAGTCCAAAAGGTGAAAGGCCTCAGTTATATTAGTAGTGGAACCACTCATTATTTATTGTAATTTATTTAGTCAAGTTTCCGATGTGGGACTTTATATTCTTCAGCAAAAATTAAAATAATCAAACTAATTAAAAATAATAAAAATGAAAGAATAAAAAGGTGAACGATGCAAACAATGCAGACAAGCAGTCCACAAAAGATAACAGCCGCAGCCTACGTGTGCAAAACAAAATAGCTGCACTACATGAATAAACAACACCTACTTTTAACCGAATCATTAAGAAATATCACGACATCCCTATTGATGCATTTAGATCCATGATCTATGTTGATATCCTACTTCTGAAATAATATTTGCATTCACACTAATACACAAGTTCCAAAACAGTAAAAACATGGCATACTTGTAAAGCAATACCAGCTCATAGTGCATACTTTCAAGTGTGCAAAAACATTTCCACTGAAATTCGTATAGGAAAAAAGGGATTTCCAAACTGGATTAAAAAATAAAATAGTGTACACATACCAGCCAATACTTATTAAGAAAAACCAAGAAACATCTATCACAAATCAAGCAGCAATATGCAACTAAAAGAGCAGGCTGAACCTGGTCTTCTAAAACCCGTGGGCCACCATGTTTTGTATGTCTGTGTGCATGCACATAGCCACAGATGCAAGTAATTATGTCACCAAATATCCAAATGGAGACACATTACGATTATTTTAACTAATTTGAAAAGCAATCTTTCTAGAACCTAAACGATATAACTTATGTCATAATTCATAAGGTGGTCTATTCCACATTGATATTTTAGGCAATATTTTAATTGAACGAAATACACTGGGGAAAACTTTACTGACTGCTTCGAGATAACTACTTGAAAGGTGAGATATAGGCACATAAGCTAGGAATTAAAACTTTGTGTCTAATAATCACTAATCGGCAATCACAACTGATGAATTGATATTTGAACCAGAATAACCTATTTGTGTGTCATTGTGTGGGTGTGTAGGTGTGATATATTTTAGCCCAAAGGATTGAACCTCCCAGCATATTAATAGAGCGGGAGAGCTGGAGAATTTGTTTAATCCTCGAGCTATTTTATCAACCTATCTAACCAAAGTTCAAGTTTTGCAGCACAGACGTTCATCAGATCAAAAAATTCCATCTATTCAAGCAGCATTTTAAGATTTTCTTTCTTTTATATATTTTATTTTTCCCCTAAACATGGCACCTGAAAAGTAAACTTACATACGCTAAACATAAAAACTTAGAAGAATGGCAGTAAAGGGAATGCCATGTTGCAACATACCTGTTGTGCTAGCACAAGACGGCCTTCACATTTAACGGAAGTACCACACAAAAGAGGAGATGCATAGTCACGTAGCTGCACGACAACAGAGCCTGCATGCACGAGAAGATTACTCCCATACAGTCGAGAAAATGGTATATCATTGTCACGACAAACAGGATCCAGCGTCTTTATAACCTCTATCATCCCATCATCTCCACCATCAATCCTTGTCAAGCTTACATCCAAATCTCTTGCTGTTATGGAAAGAAGAGAATTTCTGGAAGTACTTGGCTTAAAACCAGCCTGAAACCCTTCCCTACAGGCACCTGAACCTTCTGATGGTGCTAGATTCTGGCATGCCTTGTAATATGATCTGAATGATTGTTTATAGATTTCTCCTTGCATCTTGCTAACTGCGGAAGGATCTTGGACGTCAATCTCAACTCCATTAAGAAAAGTCTTTCTTTCTTGAGTAGAATCAATTGTTTCAGTGGTTTTAGGAAACTGATTGACTTTGGAAACAAATTCATCAAGAAATTTCAACCTAACAGCTAACTCAGATGCCTCATTCTTCATCAGCTGATAGTGTTCATCCAGCCAGCCTTGCAGTGGTTCTTCTTCAATATCAGCAGTTATCTTTCGTATGCAGAACTTTAGACAGCCAAACTTTATTGAACTAGGCTTCTTAGGTTTTGAGGTATCCTTCTTCACGGGAAAGATAACACTAGTTCTAGCAGCAATTACAAGCTTCAAAGCGCGCAACATTTCTTCAACAGAATCATCAATAGCGCGCAATTGTAACCTGTATGGCAAGCAAATATGAACATCAAGGCCTTGAATTACCCAATCCCACGTTGTAGATATAGGTACTTTTGCATCAGATGGACATGAGGCACTAGGAATACGTGAAATTTGCATCCGGCTACTCTTGAATACTCTGGACCCATTGAAACAAAGCATAAGCCCTTCAAGAAGTACTCCTATACGGGCATTCTCAGAAAAAATTGATTGTACCTGAACCATTGCATCAACCCCATCCCCAACCTCGGCATAAATAGACAACATTTCCACATCGACAGCAAAAATAGATTCCTTTTTCTTGTGCTTTTCTAAATTTACTGGTTCTGCAAAGGCTTCTTTCTTCTGTTCAGAACCTCTCATGACATCTTCCATATGTTCATTACCATGTCCCTGAAGCTTCTGATTATGTACAAGTAACTTCAATTGTAGCACAAGTTCAACTAGTGATAATTGTACATCAGGCTCCCACCTAACCGTAATATCAGTAGCACTGAAAAGAGAGCAGACAGCAACCTCCTTAAGACCACCAGAACGCCGTACAAATTTAGCATTCTGCATGTCAAACAATGCCACTTTCATTTCCGGCTTATGTTCCTCCAAGTGGTCCTGATAGACAGATCTCGCTCTTTCAAGTTCAATCTGTGTGGACTGTTTCTCCTTGTTCACACACAAACTTAAATGGAAGATGTCAAGAGAAATGGAGTACCTCAAGTTCTTGTGCTTATCAGATATTGTGGACATTACATCTGCAACCCGGGTTGTTCCATCATCTGAGGTACTTATTACAACTCGACCACCCTGTGATCCATAATTTACACGCTTGGGATCTGCAACAACAGTATTTTCTAAACCCGCCTCACCACAATATTTCACAGAACACCTTTCAAGATTTAATTTCAACAGCCGAGTCCCTTTCCCTGATGACTTGGAGGAACGCCCCCGGCTTTGTGATGTTCTTCTTTCAGAAGAAGACATATTTTTCAAAAGTGCTTGAAAGGACATGGCAGTTGATATAAGCGACTCAACACGCTTGAATGTGAAAAAGACACCCATACCAGTCACATCAACAGATAAAACCAATTTACTTTTAGGACCATCTTCTTCAGATGATTCCATGTCCTTTTTGCCCCAATCTAGACTAACCTTTGCAACATTAATTAAAGAACCTGAATTCAATTCTACACCAAAAAGGCTCTCTTTCAAGCATTCTTGGTATTCATCTGCCATGTGCAAATTTAGTTCACCAAGTTCCATATGTACAGTAGTTCCTGTATTTGAAATGTTATTTGCAAATACATGCGATGATTGAGAGCAACCCTGCACCAGAAAATCAAGCATTATGACGTACGTTCATAATTTTATTTTTGAACTAAGAAAAATATTAACAGGAAAAAGAATACACTATGGATGGCATATAAAGAAGTTGTAACAGTAAGAGCTAGAGGTATACAATGACTACTTCACAGGACAGCGAAAGAGAGTAAAATCAACCAAAACCAACATCTATCACCTACATATATATATGCAAATGTTTTACATTCTGATATACGGCTAAACATAGATCCCATAACAAGTGTGTTTGGACGCAAGTAGTGCTAGTATGGAATATGGATGACCAACTGAGAAGTTTTGTAAACCCCACTTTTACTTATTTCAAAAAAAACATTTGTAACAAAAACTACTGTGGATTTTCTAAATGATGAATGGATAATTTGATATCCCTTGACTTATGAGCTCCCTCATGTACATAAAGTGGTACTGAGCAAGGACAAGAAGGGTTGCAAAACACTACAACCCCAATTCACTCAATACACCCCCCATCTCATACAGCTATTAAGTACTAGCACGTGATATTCTCTTTACAAGGTTGCTTACATGCACAGCAAACTTTCCCTGAGGTTTTTTTAACTATTTTGGCATAATTGATAAAAATATATACACATGAAAAAACTAAAAGAAAAAAGATAAAAAGATAAATAAATAAAAAAGTATCAGTTGGTTCAGTGTAACCTAAAAAATATGATAGAGCTAAAAGAAAATCATGTCACTTACATGATACAAAGGCAAACCACTGATACTATAAAGCACAATAGTCATCTCAGGAGCTGAAACAGTACACGTCCACATGATGGCTTTAGTATCAGTTGGTGGTGGCTTCTCAAGAGTTGAAGTTTCCTCCCGAAGCACCATTCTTTTCTTTTTTGAAAAATGGAGGCGCAACCACGGCTTTAATCTATTCATTATAACATTGCATTGAGTGCCTCCCAGCTTTACATCAATTTCAGCTCTAATAGGCGAGGTTGGCTGCAAAGTGAAATGTCCAAAGTCAATAAAATGATCCACCGTGTCATAAATGCAGTGCCTATTCGATATCTTCCCACTTTATCTGCATTTCAAAATGCATAATATGGCCACTATATATGTTATATGCATAAATTTTACATAGCCATGAGCCACCATTGCAGTAAAACACCAGATTTATTAGGAGGCAAGAACCTAGATATTTAAGAGTTAGATGTGTATGAAGGAACCCTCATCTATCATACCAAGAGCTGTGTCAACTTGTTAACTTTAAATCTTATCCCTAGCAAGCATAGTAACCCACTTCTTCATGTTGTGTTGATTCATCTGGCAACATTTCAACCAAAAGGTATCAAGATGGCTTCCATGTGCTGGTCAAATCAGGAAATATTGGTCAAAACCCTAATTCACTCTTTGGTTCACATGCTCTTGATCTGGTTTTCATTATGTTTTCTCAATCTTTATAGTATGGAAAATTTCAGATTTGAATGAACTCTAGCAGTGGATCATGAGTCTTATTGTGTTCGTAGTTGCTTTTAGGAACAGTGTTTTCTGGTCTTTAAAGGTTACTTCCTCAATTTCTTTCCTTATCTCCATCATCTTAATGCCATGCAAAAAATTGGATTGAACTTATCAAAGGACTATTAATGCATATAAACAGCCGCAATCCATCTGTGACAAACCACAATCAAATAATCTTAGTATAGTGCTAAAATCAATGATACACCAATAAATCCAGTATCAAGCTACCTGTAAATGTTTATATGTTTAATCTGACAATATATACCCACAACATATAATATGACTCTAAAAAATATGCAGAGGGAAGAATATCAACTTTTAAGAGACAATGTTGCACAATTTTAATTGACAATACTTACCTGTATTGGAATGTAAAATAATGAGGCAACATCAACTTTCAGTATCTCCAAAACAGAAGTGCCAGCTTCTCTAAGCAGCTGAAAAATAATTTAGAAAATCTTCATTAAAAAGAGGCCAAGATGATGACAAACTTTATAAAATAAAACACGAAAAGCACTTTAACAACATCAATAGTTGCATCCATACATGAATCTCACTGAAATCCAATTGAACATCAAGGCGTGTAGTTTCCCCCACATCTTCACTTGATTGTGATTTGATGCTTTTTAATTGGATGCCCATGATGTTATTCTCAACAGATAGATCATATTCCCGATGTACAAATCTCACGTCCAATTTTGGTAAACTGAAGGAAACCTATTAAAGAAATATAATATTATCTTCCATAAGAAACGCAAATTTCAATATATAAAAACTTACACAAGTGGATGAACGAGATGTTGTGTGACAAAAGCACATAAACAAGAAAAAGGAAAGATGCTCTATTACATGTCAATCTAGACGATTAATGGGGTTGACATGGAAATCAATTGCTAACATCATAACATTCAGTGCATTCTAGGTAAGAGGTACATGGTAGGAGAAGCAAGAGAAAACGTTGTATAAAGAAGTAACATGAAAAGAAATGGCACCATTAGAATCCAATGTCAAGGAAATACCGCAGCGATAATACAAACAAAAATTGAATCAATTTTTAAAAAGATAAATAGGCTTCTCATCCAGTGTCCTGCTTTCAGTCCCAAGTGGGAAAGATTCTTGTGTTCAGGTTTGACCAGATTTTTTAAATAAGCTACACATAAAATGTTCATGACTCCTCTGCCATTTATGATTCTTCTGCACGGGAAAGGAAATACTCAAGAGTAAACTGTAGAAAAATATGACATGAAGCATTCACTATGAGACACCAATTTAGCCTTGTTCCTGAGTCTCAATAATGTATACTAGATTACTATTCTCACATCACCATTTGGGCTTTCCTCTGAGTGCTAAGGACTAAAGAGCAACATGGGAATTGGCTAGGTGTTAGTCCAAATTGGAAAGAAAAGGAAAGAAACATATACATGAAACAAAATCACCAAAAATCCAATAGAGCATATTCTAAGTTCTAACCACCTATCTTGTCCACAGAGTTGAATATAATTTTACACTAGTTCAGCCTGCTTAATTTGAGGCCAATGCACTCTAAAATATAATAAATGGAATAAGATATTCAAAAGCAAATGTTCAATTAAAACAGAACAATAACACCATATTAAATCAACTGAAGCAACCAAGACAGTTACCATTTTTGTAAGTGATAAAAATGACACAAGATATATACATACAGAAATTCAGATCTATCTTCTTTTCATACCCAGAAATCCCCCAAACCCACTTGGCAAACTAGGAATCGAAATTCGGGACCCTGCCAAACCCTACAATCTTTGCGAGGCAGGAAACCCTAGAAAATAGCCCCGATAGGTGCCTTGAGGAATCGAATCCCAGACCAAGTGGGAGGCAAACCATAGCCCTGACCACTCAACTAAAGCCTCGTTGGTAAAGCAATCCAAATCTATCAATCATTACTAATTTAAACACTAAATCAAATGAATTTGAATTCACATCTCAAGAAGCTTAATTCAATCCAACTCAAGGTTTTGGAACTGGCTTTTGGCATCAGCATCCTCCGAATTCACAAATTGTTCTTTCTACCTTCTAAAATTGGACTGGTAAGCTGTTATCTCTTCAGGATGTTGTGTTACGCTTAGCTGTACTTTGGTTTGCTTCTTCGTAGAGAGTTCTTGGGCTATACTTTGGAGCTTACTCTCCTAGCCTTGTTTGAGTGTGTTATGTTATATCAGACTACTTGTTCACATTATCTGTACTAGTTCTTTACCTATCTACAGATATAATTTGATTCCTATCATCAAAAAGAGAAAGAAACAGAAAACATAATTTGGTTTAGTGTAGTCTATAACTTAATTTTCTGAGGCCATCAAAACCAGACCAAAAGAATGAAATTCAAGAAAGGTTATCAGGTTCCATCTTGAAATTTACAGAATTCCACCTGCTTACATTACTATGATACTGTGCTACATGACTCTAGTTTCCTCGCATCCAATAACAGACAGAAGTATAAATACTTATTGCAGAAAATTGTACACATATCTGATTCTTGTACAAATGCTCATATAAGATAGTCCCGCACCTAATTCTTATAAAATGTGATAATAAAGCTTGATGTCAAATAATGTCTTTGATGCTTCTAGTGCAATTAGGTTGCATCCTTTGTGTCTTTGCAATTTCATATTTTTATAGGAAAGTTTTTATTAACAAAATAGAAAGAAAAATAATCTACAAGATGGACAAGGTGGCCATGAAAACCAACCCTACAATCATAAGTTGCAAAAAAATTAAATTACCTTCACTAAAAGGAATATCCCAAAAAAACTTTAACAAAGACGAGCACAGAAAACATCTAATTTTGTTTCAGTAGAATCTTAACAAAAAGTGTTTGGCATGGTAAGAATAAAGAAAAAAACAAAAAAAAACAAAGGGAAGGGTAAAGAGAAAGGGAGATCATGTTGACAGCCATCTTAATTCACAAACCTTTTCTGGACATAAAGAGGTGTATTTTGAGAGTGTAGCAATCATTTGTTGTTTTTTGTGTGGCTTTTTTGAAGCAACAGAATCAATAGTCGACCCTATAGCCGTATCAGGTTGAGAAGAAGTGTGTGATGAACTTTTGCTTTTCGAAAGCAGCTCCTCATTAAGGTTCACAGAAATCTCTCCACAGGCAACGTCCACATTCTTGATAATTACACCAACTTCCCTACGTCCAAATCAAGCAAATAAAAAATATTAGCTAATTAACCATCCTTGTCATTGGCAAATTTACAACAAGAATTTTAATGATAAAAAATGTAGTCAATCCCATTATGGGAGGATCCGAGAAGAGACAGCACAATGTAACATAAGACTGAAAGTCTTGATGATCAACAAATTATATTAGGGTGACATTTGAAAACAATAAACTACGCTTTGGCTGCAAGGCGTAGGTTTGCATATGTGGAAAGAAATATATTTCTCTAAAGAGAATACCTATCATGACCAAATTCACAAGAGAGGGCGAAATCTTCACAGATAAAAAGTGCAGACGACCTGTCCATCATGGAAGATGATGACTGGCTTGCAGAAAGGGATCCTCCAGTGCAAAAATTGGATAACTGGTCACAACTAACCCGTGGTTCACTCCTCTGAACAACAATAGGTGATATCTGTAGCTTAACAATAAGATTTTGCTTGGATTGGCCATCTTTAGATATGTCCACTTTCAGTTCCTTAACCTCAACAGATGCTTTGGGCATCTGTAACATTTCAAGAGACAAGTACAATGACCAAAATCAAGCCATAGCACAAAAAGATACAACTGAAAAATGAAATAAAAAGCCTACCAGTTAACAAACAAATGAAGTATAGAGTTTTGAACTTAATTCTTTTCAATCCTAAAATTTATACACACTGTATAATCATTATTTCTTGTTGATGGCACATTGCAGATAATGGTTGTTCAAAATCTTAGAATTATAATTTTGGGCCAACTACATGAAACCTCCAAAACGATAGGATCGATTTCAAGTTGGTACACAATCTTTAGAGGTTGGACAAACTAGTAGAAAAACTTAAATAATACCTACATATTGACCCTTCCATCAACCAATCTCAAACCAAGTCTATTGAATTCTTATGTCGCAAAAGGTCTCATTTTTTATGATTATCTGGACTCCAAATGTGTGCCATGTGCATCCACAAATGCCACGTGAAACACAAAACAACAAAAATGTAGTAACCTTTCAAAAATTAAATAATGAAAATGAAATTAAAGAATAACATTTTTTAAAACAAAAATTAACAATATGAAAGAAACAAAACCTCCCTTTGTTGAACACTCTCTCTTTCCACCACCACCACCTCCTTTCTCTCTCTATCTCCACCTCGATCACTCCCTTTTTGTCTTTTCCTCTGTCAAAAAGACCCTCACACCAAAATCTTCAACCAAGACAGAAAACTCTCTCTGCCCAAAACAAGACATCCATCCACCATCTCCTCCCTTTTTCATAGCTATGGTGAACGAAAACCAAATATGCTTCTTCCTCTCTTCCAAGAGCGAAAGACCAGAAATATGAGGGAGGTGACTTAGTCCAAAATAACATATGCTGCACATTATGTTTAGATCTTTCAGCAACAAAGAGGACAATAAATATTTGAAAAAGATCCACTGCAACTGTAGTTCTCAGACGTAAGTCATCGGGGGTCCTCTAATGACAACGCCAACACCATGGAATTCAATAAGGTCTGCTATACAAAACCCAAGTGTCTGCCAGAAAATTGTTTACACTCAACCACAGAACCGAACGCTACGGTCATTCTCATATGCTGGCTAATAGACCTCAACTGAAGACACCACTGGCTCCTGGAAGAGCCGATAATTAAACCCCACGCAAAGGGCAATAAGGAGTTTGTGAATGGCTAAAGGCTTGACCATTGAGGTTTCAGAGTAGTTGTTCTAGAACTCGAAGGGTGTGCCCAGGAGGAGGTACAACACGCCATTTTGGTCAAAAACACAAAACTCTGTCGCAGGAGATGACACTGACATAGGAGATGGTGCAGGTGGTGAGGAAAAGAGAGTGAGGGACTGGTTGACAGAACGGTGACTATGTAGATTTTCTTTAAGTTTGTATTCTTTCTCCAACCTCTAAAGATCTTGTACCAACTTGAAATCGACCCTATAGTTTAAGGGGTTTTACGTAGTTGACCCTATATTTTTTTATTTTAAAAAAGATGGTGTTGCCTATTCTTTCCATCTATTTCAATTACTTAACCTTAAACCGAATTTATGTTTCAAATGGTGGCTATGAATATTCTTCAAAAAAAAATTCTCATGGAAAAACTTCTATGCACTAAGAAAGAATAATGCAAGCAGAACGTATTTCTTCCAAAAAAAGGGAAGAAGAAAAAAAGCACTAGTTCAAATTCTTTATACCTTCAAAACCAAATCTGTGATGGAAACCGACAAATATCTTGCAATATTAGCCACAACCATCATCCACTTTCCTCGGCCTGACTTACGGGGTCTTCGAGATGGATCCCTTCGAGATTTAGCCTTTGGCGTACTTCTATTTGAAGGCCTCATTACAACTTCTAAGTCACATATTAACACTTGCAGCTTAGGGTCTTTAGAAATAAAACCAAATAGTTTGACCAGGGACTGACGTAAGCTGAGTTTAATTTCACCGACAGAAACAGATTCAACAGCACCCTGCAAAATTATCAAAGTTGTAAAAAGACGAATATCATCATTGTATAGACACTAATCTTCTGACAGAACAAAATTTATACCCATTAACAATCATAGACAGTAGATGCCAAACAGTATCTGGGGGCACCAGGGAGAGTAAGAGCAACAGAGCACTCTAGAGAGATTTATCACAAAAACTCAATTAACCACAAGCACATACACATGCTTTTCAAACAACATCTTAGCTCTGTTTCAAAACCTCAAAACCATTGGGGGGAAAAAGATAATAAAGCCCCTTCCCATTTGGACCAAAGCCTCAATAAGCAAATGCATTTAAAATAAGTATGGAATGAAGCACCCAAGAGACCAGAATCCTCATTAAAAGTCAAAGTAGGATAATTTTTATTTTATTTTTTAATGCAAACTTTTGTATTAGTAATCAAGAGGATTAGTTATCCTCGATCAATACCATATTGAATTAATTAAAGTGAAGCAGTCCACTTAAATCATTATAAGATACCATTTAGCATGCCAATTATTGAGTTCTATCTCATGAGAAACATGAATAGTAATTTAGTAGCATGAATTAGGCACATTATGTCACAAAATTACTAACACTAGATTTAACATGATAATTTGCATTTAGTATATGACATTACTAATTACACCATACAAGCATTCCCTTATTGGTAATTCTAGTGATGCTCCACTAGTGTGGGCCTCACAATACTTTTCTGAGCTCAACTTGAAATAAGGAACAAGGAAAACCTCTTTACTTCAAAGTCATAATAACAAAATAAACCCAGCCACTGAAGCAAAAGAGAAAACCTTTTTAAACTCCACCACGAGATCCCTTATACATTTCCACCCTCCAAACCGAAATCTGATAGATGCTCCCACTACACGGCTCAAAATCCAAGCCAGCAACCTTGAAGCAAAACTGCAAAACAGCTTAGTAGAGAAACTTGGAAACCAAAACCAATCTAAATAATTTCAGCCCCCACAGGGATAATAATGAAAAAGTTTACGAGGATAATAACAATTTGAACCCAGAAAATAACTCATTTAAATAACTGATGCTATTGACGGTTTTAAATTTCAAGCTAGTTAGGGTGGTGCCCGTATTGTTCAAACTAATAGAACTACACATACAAGGACACGCATTGTCTTCATTGGTTTCCAGGACTGCTAAAATTGTTCCAAATTTGCAATTTCCCCTATATCAAGCACTCGAGGATGATGGTTTTAATTTTCAAAATTAACAAAACACCCAATTTATTCAACAAAATCTGACCACAGACCACACTTAGTCTTACAAATGGGAAGAAGCACAATCTCATTTCAAATACCACAGCCATTGCCATTAGCATCAAAAACTGAATTGCACCCAACAAAGTTCATTACCAAAAGAGAGAACTGATTAAGCCACGTTTGACGCATACACATACATGCATTCACAATTTCACATAAACACACACACACACACACACACATATATATGATAGGAAAGAGGGACGTACATGAAGAAGAGCCACAATGTGATGCAAATGACCAAGAAAAAGAAGAGGAAATTGACGGGCGAAGCTGCCATTGCTGTCTGCCGAGAATGTGACTTGCAGTGATGAGATTTTAGGGACTTGCAGAGAATCGAAAAATTGAAAGCATTCTGTGCTCATAATTTGTTCATGTCATAAAACCCTAGGAAATTAAAAGGAAGACAGAGACTGTGAGCCAATCAGACTGAGTCTTCTTCCTAACCGTAGCGATCGGAGGGCTGGCAATTCTTATATCAAAGAGAGAGACAGAGAGAGAAGAACAGAAGAAGCAGATCCGATCCGTGAGGTAGAGCGAGAGAGAGAGAGAGAGTAGCGTGGCGTGGGACGGGTGGGGATCCGGTGCGGCGACTGTACGGACAAGTGCGCGCGTGTTTGCGTTTGTTGAGGAGTAAATGGGAAACGTGTCCTTTGGAGGTTGGGAGGGATCAAATTAGTCAACGCTGCGTTTGGAGCATCACAGTTGGAAAACTTTGTAAGTGGCGGTTGAATTACCCGCGACGAATGCTTTGAAACGGAAAACTAAAAACTTAAAAACAAAATTGTAATAAATAAAAAATATAAACCAAAATATCAAGGGTGGGATTATGCTGAAAATATTGGGTTTTTTTAGCTTACTTGGCTATTAATTGATTGATCTTTTGTGTGTGTGTGAGAGAGAGAGATCCAATTTCATTCAGCTTGTCATGTTTCATCGAATTAAATTTAGAAGTATATCAATAAATATACACATTACATTACCACTTTCATAATAAACATTTACATATAATTTGGCAAAAAGTCATTTTTATCCTTCTAGTTTGCCGGTTTACCACTTTTGTTTATGTAGTTTCAATTTTGTCAAATTTAACCTTGTAGTTTTCAATTCAAAGAAATTGAAGAAAGCATTTCACTTTCTGTCAAATCTCTCCCAATTTCGTTAAGTATTGACTATACTGCACTCATGTGGAAGGGTATTTTGGTCTACTCAAGCCAAATTCCTTCCAATTCACCGAAATTTACCAATAATAAAACTCTTTTAAGAGCACCAATGATTTATAATGTGGGATCAGTAGTCATTTCTTATAAATCAGTACGGAGGAGGGATTCGAGATAGAAGTTACCAACATAGTTGGGCACGGCAGATGGACTTTTGTTGGTGGGCTGAAAATATAAGTCCTACGGTCTTATACCTAGAAATATTAGTTGAGGTTTGCCCAGCCCAATACCTCATTTTGGTTCACCCACGCCAAGACGGCGGCTCATATTAACTCTGCTCCACCCACAGTGCAGTGTTGATGGAGGAGACTTGTGTCGGTGAAAATCATGTGCCAACACCCAGTACAGGAGACTTATCTGGTCCCTCAAATGGTTACAACTTATGCTTTCTCAAGTCCATTGTTGATTGTTTTGGTTTGGATGTAAACAACTGGGCAAGTTAAAAGTACTAGGACTTGGTTGGTGTACTTGGTAGCATGCAGTGTACAGGACTAATGACTGAATGTTCTTTTCAGTTCCCAAAGAATGCAACGGTTCATATTAATAGCCAGCTTTATTAAAGGGTAACACTCCAACAACAACGAAAATAACATTTTTTTTTTCCTTTTTAGAAGTTTTAACTTCTAGGATTTTGTTAATGTGGGTCATGCCAACAAGGACCGAAATAGATTAGAAAATAAAAATTAAAAACTTTTTCTTGGTGCACTCCATGGCATCTCCATGCTAGCTAGCTAGAGCTCTTCAATCTTCATAGACAGATGTAAATTATCATTGGGACTTTTTGAAATGGGTCGGTTTGAAATTGGAACGATCAGCAGAAAGGAACCAGTCGGTGAAGTTTTCGAGGGTAGTTTCGTTAACCCTGTAATGGTTTTGAGTGAATTCAAGCAAATCTGACCATGTGAAATCTGGAAACTTTCTTGTGCCTCCCTCACTTTTGCGCACAAGTTCCTCTGCGGGCTTCACCACCTTGTCAGCTCTAGGACACATAAAGAAGACCAAGGACCTCCTCTCCTTGTGGCTGTTCACAGCAGCCCTGTGCAAGCAACTCCTGTATATGCCATTCGATAATGCCTGCAAGATTAATTAATACTCATAATTAGCACTAATTATAATTAATTATTAGTCAATTAATATTCAGTACATGCATGCACGCATGCATTTGTATACATACATATATATCACCTTGATCCATGACAATACTCTAATTAATTAAGCTTAATTCATTTTTGAATGAATGAATGAATGAATTAAATTAATTATAAAAGGGAAAGGGTTAGGATTAGAGTATACGTTACGTACCGCAAAGACATCGCCAATGTTGATGACTAGGGCACCAAGAACAGGACGAACCTTGTGCCATTTGTCGTCAACAAACACATCAAGCCCTCCAACCAGGTCTTGGTGAAGAATGGTCAGGGCATTAGGATCACAATGAGGTCCAGTTCCAAGAGAAAGATTTGGCTCTTGGCAAGTTGGATATAAGTTGGTTCTCATGATAGACACAGCATCTTCAAAGAACTCTCTGTAGAGCATCCGATCCACTCCCAACCCGATTGCCAAGAGTTCCATAATTGAAAGAGACAAAGAGTGCATTGCTTCACTGTATTTTTGATACACCAACCTACGTACAAAAGGAAGCCCAAAAATTAATTAAGAGTACGTAACTATAATAACATGTAATACGTACATACATATAACATTACTCATGTGTCTTACTTACCCTGTTTGTTCGAAATCTTTTCTTATGGTGAATTTGAAGTAATCGGCTACAGTTTTTTCTGGACCGTTCTGGAAAGCAAAAGAAAAAGTTTCCTTCCATGGCAAATTGGACGAAAATCGATCCATATGGGCACCCGAATAGCCGTAAGGGCTACCAGGACGCCTCTGTACCTTTATTTTCTCCTCAATGGGAAGATTGAAGAAATCATCCACATGATCATAAGCGAGTTGGATGAGATCTGCATCAACCCTATGGTTGGTCACTTGGAAAAAGCCGTGGCTCAAGCAAGAAGACCTAATGAGCTTGGCAGCATTCTCAGTTGCCACAACATCACCATTGAAGAAGCCCTCAAGATCCACTACTGGCGCATTCAGCTCTTCTTGAGCAGAAGCCGCGTCCTCCTCAGGCCATTTGAAATTAGCAGGCACATGGGATTGTTTTTGCAGGTAATTTGAGTCAATAAAACGGGAACCATCCTTTGCTGTAGGAGGAGGAGAGGACAAGAGAACAGAGGGACTTGAAGCCATATTGGACAAGTTTCTTTTTTGTTTTTGGCTTAAGATTGAGAGAGACACGGACAATTGAGAATAGGTCGAGGTATGCAGGGAATTTATATACAATCCACATGGGGTGTGGGAAGACAACTCTATATCAAGGGAAATGTAATTCAGATCAATTTTTAGTAGTAATTATTCTTTTTGGGTATGTGCCGAGCATGTTTGGATAAAATGATTTAAAATGAAAGAATTTCATTGCTTTCCATACAAATACAATTAACTTGTTTGGAAAAAATAATAATGCAGTTAACTTGTATTGTGGGTTTTTTCTATGTACATACTATGTATAGTAATTTTCTCAATCTTACCAAACAAACGAAATAATTACTATACACATGGCAATTGCTTTTGGCCATGTGGGGAGTTCTGTTCATTGTATAGAATTCATTTAAAACAAATTTGGATGTGTCTTTACATAGTATTATTTTCAAATAAAGTTTCATTAATTAGTATCTACTCCTTGTAATGTGGATATGTACAACGTATTTGAAATAACTATATACAATGCATCACATCTGATACCGATGAACTTGCTACGAGCAAGAGAGAAGAGGAACGGTGAAATTGTTAATTTGGTTGAATAGGCTTTTGCCATTTTGATTTTAATAGTATACCGCCATGGACGTGCTGGATACGTAATTGGCCATCCAAAGATATGCTATAGTCTAGACTTCAACATTTAATTTGATTAGAAATGGTTTGGGAGGTGTGTATTTAACTGTGTTACAAGTAATGATGAAATAATTTTTCAAGAGTTTGAGTGTTCTTTTTAATGAATTCTGAACACTTCTATACACTAATTTTGCAATTCCGTCCACTTTGAGTTCTTCATTTTTTTCATGCTGAATCCAACCATATAAAGAACATAAAATTTGGATTAAGGGTTTGAAAGTTATAGGTTAAAAACGAGAAATATGTCAAAATTGGAAAACAGAGAAAGTTCATGAATTCTTCTTTGACCTAAACGTGGTAAACGGGTGATACTGTAGTGATAACGTAGGGATACAGTGGTGATATAGGAGTGATACAACAATTTTTATTTGTTTTCTTTTATTTTCTTGCTTGTTTTGTTATTATTATTTTAGTAATTTTAAGTTTTTATTGTTTCTTTAATATATATATATATTTTTTAAATTAAAATTTTAATTTTAATTGGTCATATGAGCCGACTTTTGGTAATCCTAGTGAGGAACCTCTATCTATACAGTGATGGGGATGAGGGATGATAATCGGATGGTGAGTGATGCCATGACACTGCAAGTGCAAAGTGCGTCATCTGTTGCAAGTGTGGGGCATCGCCTCATTGTGAAATCCCATGAGATGCAGGTGCTAAGAGCTCAGTTGGTGGCAGAGCGGAGTTTGGTTGAACATTATCAACGTGTTATAAGGAGTTTGAAGAGGGAGAGGGCAAAGATGGCGGAGGCTAATCAACTTCAGCTTGAAATATTACTGGAAGAGAATCAAAAGCTATCAAAGACGGTAAATTTTTACTCTCAAGACATGCAAAAGCAATTGGAGGCCCTAGAGCGACCGGGTAAACGCAAACAACGAGATCACGACACAAGTGTTGCTCAAGTTAAGGGTGTGATCTTTGGGAGCTCAAGTGATGAGCGACAAGAAGCTGTGCGTGAAAACCCAAGATAAGAGGTCCAGAAGGCCAAACTAAAGGCTTTTATTGTGAAATCAGGAAGCGCGCCATGATGTGTTTTTTTTTGTTCTTTGGGTATTTTTTTATATTATTTAATTTAATTTTTATTATAATTAATATAGTCCCATGTTTCCTCCTTTTAAAAAAAATGTGAAATAAATAAATAAAATTTATTTTTTTATTTTAACGACACTAAAAAAGATACTAACTGATCACACAACTTAAAAACAGAGACTAACTTATAAGAAAATAACTAAACAAAAAACAAAAGAAAACAAAAACAAAAACAAAGAAGTCACAAATTGTAAACTTTAAATATTATAAAAAAACAAACTTAAATTTTTATTTATGTTAAACTTTTTTTTATATATAAATTTTAATTTATTTTATGGACACACAAATATACAAGCAACTCAAGGATGACCAGTTAAGGGCCTCTGAAAACACTGCCATGAGTTCCAGGAAGATTGGAGAGGTCACAATGTTCTCTCTTAAAACCCAAACCTGCTTAGACACCGAATGTGTTGCCTAAAGAACTCCTAGACACTGTATTGACAGAGGTTCCTCACTAGGGTTACCAAAAGTCAGCTCTTATGACCAATTAAATTTTTTTTTAAATTTAATTTTTTTAAAATATATTAAAGAAACAAAAACTTAAAATTACTAAAATAATAATAACAAAACAAGCAAAGAGAAAATAAAAGAAAACAAAATAAAAATTGTTGTATCACTCTGTTCACCCGTTTTGTGATCACTGCTGTGGTGGAAGGGCAAAGTTCCCCACTGCCTTGTGAACCATTGACTGGTCAGCAAGTCAGCTTTCTTTGGTGTATGAGCGTGCCACTGCTAGCAATGAAGATTCTAGCAGACTTATTCTAGAATAGATAACTTGCGCCCTAAGTTACTGATTTCCATAAACAAGCGATTGTTAATTTGGGTGAGGAATATCTCCCACGTAAGTTCTTTTCTTGCCTCAGACTGGTGAGGACTTTAATAATTTATCTCAGTATAAAGAGGTTGTTTTGGCCAGAATGATTGATAAAATTTAAGCTGTCTTAGGCAGAACTGCCTTTTACAAAACTATAAACATAAATATCCGAGCTAGAAAGAAGAAAGGACAGTTGGAACTCCATTTCTGCCTGGATAGAGGGTTCTGATCTGGGCTGGACTGGACTGTTAACAACTTCTGCTGCTAAGCTTCAGCTGTAGATCGATACTAAAGGTTAATTTTGGCAGAGCTTTAATACACTTCAAGCTTTTGTTAGGCTTCTGAGTGGGCAGAATTGCGGCTTCTTTAGTCTGTAAGGGCAGAAGTGGTTGTTCTAGAGGACTTCAGTGGGCTAGAGACTGCACTGTAAAATTTGTTGAGGTTTTCATGTTTGGGAAAAGCTCAAGCTCTACCTGTCTTGGTTTTTTGCTGAACCAAATTTGTAACGAGAGAAATCACGTTTTGAATGACTTATTTTCTAAGTCTGAACCTTGGGAATTCTGATCTAAAGCTGGTTTTCACTTGGAATTCAAGTGAGCTTCTGGTTGATTTTGAGTTGTTTGTTTGATTGATGACTTGAGTGTTGGATTGATTGTTGTTGAATTGAGAGTCCTTTTGCCCTGTTCACTCCTTCTTGTATTTATAAAAGATGTTATCTGGAGTAGGGCAATTCTTTTTAAATAATGGGCGGCAATTTCTTAAAAAAGATCTTTCATTTTTAATTGTAAAGAAATGGGGTTTTGATCAATTTCTGGTAGATAAGCTCTCAATAGTCAGTTCTTAAGATCACTTCCCTGTTTTTCTTGAAAAAAAACCTAATCTCCTTTCCCAATTTTAACTGCCCCTTGTGAGATTTCAACCGTGATGGTTAGTTTGATTTCCCAGATGAACAACTCTCTGTCCTTCTGCTTATCTTTTTTTTTGAAAATATGGTCTGCGTATCTCTTGAAAGGATGGTGCCTTCTTGGTAGTCACGTGGGTTCTGAAAACAGGTCTCTTCCTTTTTTTCTTTTAATCATGCTGGGCCCATTCTGATTTGTCTGGAGCCTAAAGGTAACTGCTTTTCTTTTGGGGCCCAAGTTTTCTTGCACATTTTGATGAGTCTTGGGCCGGCCTATCTGGATTTTGGGCTTTGCCTTCCGTTTTGCAAAAGCCCAAACTGCTTGAGTCCTGTGGCTTTTATTCTGGGCTTTCTCCGTGTTGGGCTGGGCGCGTTTAATTTAGGCCCAAACACAATCCTGTATCACCGTATCCCCACGTTATCACAACGGTATCACCTGTTTATCACGTTTAGGCCAGAGATGAATTTGTGAACTTTCTCTATTTTCCAATTTCGACCTATTTCCTATTTTTGACCTATAACTTTCAAACCATTAATCTAAATTTTATGTTCTTTATATGGTTGGATTCAACATGCAAAAATGACGAACTCATTGCGGACGGAATTGCAAAATTAGTGTACAGAAGTGTACATAATTAATTAAAAAGAACACTCAAAGTCTTGAACAATTATTTCGTCATTACTTGTAACACAGTTAAGTACACACCTCCCAAACCATTTCTAATCAGATTAAATGTTGAAGTCTAAACTAGAGCATATCTTTGGATGGCCAATTATGCATCCAACACATCCGCGGTAGACTGTTAAAACCCAAATGGCAAAAGCCTATTTAACCAAATTAACAATTTCACTTTTCCTCTTCTCTCTTGCTCGTAGCAACTTCATCGATATCGGATGTGACAGTTTTGCTTGCCTTGTTTTATTTTTTTTGATACATTGTATATAGTTATTTCAAATACATTGTACATATCCAAATTACAAGGAAACTTTATTTTTCCGATACCGATGAAGTTGCTAAGAGCAAGAGAGAAGAGGAAAAGTGAAATTGTTAATTTGGTTAAATAGGCTTTTGCCATTTGGGTTTTAACAATCTACCACGGACGTGCTGGATGCATAATTGGCCATCCAAAGATATGCTCTAGTTTAGACTTCAACATTTAATCTGATTAGAAATTTTTTGGGAGGTGTGTACTTAACTGTGTTACAAGTAATGACGAAATAATTGTTCAAGACTTTGAGTGTTCTTTTCAATTAATTATGTACACTTCTGTACACTAATTTTGCAATTCCGTCCGCAATGAGTTCGTCATTTTTGCATGTTGAATCCAACCATATAAAGAACATAAAATTTAGATTAATGGTTTGAAAGTTATAGGTTAAAAATAGGAAATAGGTCGAAATTGGAAAATAGAGAAAGTTCACAAATTCATTTATGGCCTAAACGTGATAAACAGGTGATACCGTTGTGATAACGTGGGGATACGATGATACAGGAGTGATACAACAATTTTTATTTTGTTTTCTTTTATTTTCTATTTGCTTGTTTTGTTATTATTATTTTAGTAATTTTAAGTTTTTGTTTCTTTAATATATTTTTAAAAAAATTTAATTGGTCATAAGAGCTGACTTTTGGTAACCCCAGTGAGGAACCTCCGTCAATACAGTGTCTAAGAGTTCTTTAGGCAACACCTTCGGTGTCTAAGAAGGTTTGGGTTTTAAGCGAGAACATTGTGGCCTCTCCAACCTTCCTGGAACTCATGGCAGTGTTTTCAGAGGCCCTTAACTGGTCGTCCTTGAGTTGCTTGTATATTTGTGTGTCCATAAAATAAATTAAAATTTATATATAAAAAAAAGTTTAACATAAATAAAAATTTAAGTTTGTTTTTTTATAATATTTAAAGTTTACAATTTGTGACTTCTTTGTTTTTGTTTTTGTTTTCTTTTGTTTTTTGTTTAGTTATTTTCTTATAAGTTAGTCTCTGTTTTTAAGTTGTGTGATCAGTTAGTATCTTTTTTAGTGTCGTTAAAATAAAAAAATAAATTTTATTTATTTATTTCACATTTTTTTTAAAAGGAGGAAACATGGGACTATATTAATTATAATAAAAAATTAAATTAAATAATATAAAAAAATACCCAAAGAACAAAAAAAAACACATCATGGCGCGCTTCCTGATTTCACAATAAAAGCCTTTAGTTTGGCCTTCTGGACCTCTTATCTTGGGTTTTCACGCACAGCTTCTTGTCGCTCATCACTTGAGCTCCCAAAGATCACACCCTTAACTTGAGCAACACTTGTGTCGTGATCTCGTTGTTTGCGTTTACCCGGTCGCTCTAGGGCCTCCAATTGCTTTTGCATGTCTTGAGAGTAAAAATTTACCGTCTTTGATAGCTTTTGATTCTCTTCCAGTAATATTTCAAGCTGAAGTTGATTAGCCTCCGCCATCTTTGCCCTCTCCCTCTTCAAACTCCTTATAACACGCTGATAATGTTCAACCAAACTCCGCTCTGCCACCAACTGAGCTCTTAGCACCTGCATCTCATGGGATTTCACAATGAGGCGATGCCCCACACTTGCAACAGATGACGCACTTTGCACTTGCAGTGTCATGGCATCACTCACCATCCGATTATCATCCCTCATCCCCATCACTGTATAGATAGAGGTTCCTCACTAGGATTACCAAAAGTCGGCTCATATGACCAATTAAAATTAAAATTTTAATTTAAAATATATATATATATATATTAAAGAAACAATAAAAACTTAAAATTACTAAAATAATAATAACAAAACAAGCAAGAAAATAAAAGAAAACAAATAAAAATTGTTGTATCACTCCTATATCACCACTGTATCCCTACGTTATCACTACAGTATCACCCGTTTACCACGTTTAGGTCAAAGAAGAATTCATGAACTTTCTCTGTTTTCCAATTTTGACATATTTCTCGTTTTTAACCTATAACTTTCAAACCCTTAATCCAAATTTTATGTTCTTTATATGGTTGGATTCAACATGAAAAAATGAAGAACTCAAAGTGGACGGAATTGCAAAATTAGTGTATAGAAGTGTTCAGAATTCATTAAAAAGAACACTCAAACTCTTGAAAAATTATTTCATCATTACTTGTAACACAGTTAAATACACACCTCCCAAACCATTTCTAATCAAATTAAATGTTGAAGTCTAGACTATAGCATATCTTTGGATGGCCAATTACGTATCCAGCACGTCCATGGCGGTATACTATTAAAATCAAAATGGCAAAAGCCTATTCAACCAAATTAACAATTTCACCGTTCCTCTTCTCTCTTGCTCGTAGCAAGTTCATCGGTATCAGATGTGATGCATTGTATATAGTTATTTCAAATACGTTGTACATATCCACATTACAAGGAGTAGATACTAATTAATGAAACTTTATTTGAAAATAATACTATGTAAAGACACATCCAAATTTGTTTTAAATGAATTCTATACAATGAACAGAACTCCCCACATGGCCAAAAGCAATTGCCATGTGTATAGTAATTATTTCGTTTGTTTGGTAAGATTGAGAAAATTACTATACATAGTATGTACATAGAAAAAACCCACAATACAAGTTAACTGCATTATTATTTTTTCCAAACAAGTTAATTGTATTTGTATGGAAAGCAATGAAATTCTTTCATTTTAAATCATTTTATCCAAACATGCTCGGCACATACCCAAAAAGAATAATTACTACTAAAAATTGATCTGAATTACATTTCCCTTGATATAGAGTTGTCTTCCCACACCCCATGTGGATTGTATATAAATTCCCTGCATACCTCGACCTATTCTCAATTGTCCGTGTCTCTCTCAATCTTAAGCCAAAAACAAAAAAGAAACTTGTCCAATATGGCTTCAAGTCCCTCTGTTCTCTTGTCCTCTCCTCCTCCTACAGCAAAGGATGGTTCCCGTTTTATTGACTCAAATTACCTGCAAAAACAATCCCATGTGCCTGCTAATTTCAAATGGCCTGAGGAGGACGCGGCTTCTGCTCAAGAAGAGCTGAATGCGCCAGTAGTGGATCTTGAGGGCTTCTTCAATGGTGATGTTGTGGCAACTGAGAATGCTGCCAAGCTCATTAGGTCTTCTTGCTTGAGCCACGGCTTTTTCCAAGTGACCAACCATAGGGTTGATGCAGATCTCATCCAACTCGCTTATGATCATGTGGATGATTTCTTCAATCTTCCCATTGAGGAGAAAATAAAGGTACAGAGGCGTCCTGGTAGCCCTTACGGCTATTCGGGTGCCCATATGGATCGATTTTCGTCCAATTTGCCATGGAAGGAAACTTTTTCTTTTGCTTTCCAGAACGGTCCAGAAAAAACTGTAGCCGATTACTTCAAATTCACCATAAGAAAAGATTTCGAACAAACAGGGTAAGTAAGACACATGAGTAATGTTATATGTATGTACGTATTACATGTTATTATAGTTACGTACTCTTAATTAATTTTTGGGCTTCCTTTTGTACGTAGGTTGGTGTATCAAAAATACAGTGAAGCAATGCACTCTTTGTCTCTTTCAATTATGGAACTCTTGGCAATCGGGTTGGGAGTGGATCGGATGCTCTACAGAGAGTTCTTTGAAGATGCTGTGTCTATCATGAGAACCAACTTATATCCAACTTGCCAAGAGCCAAATCTTTCTCTTGGAACTGGACCTCATTGTGATCCTAATGCCCTGACCATTCTTCACCAAGACCTGGTTGGAGGGCTTGATGTGTTTGTTGACGACAAATGGCACAAGGTTCGTCCTGTTCTTGGTGCCCTAGTCATCAACATTGGCGATGTCTTTGCGGTACGTAACGTATACTCTAATCCTAACCCTTTCCCTTTTATAATTAATTTAATTCATTCATTCATTCATTCAAAAATGAATTAAGCTTAATTAATTAGAGTATTGTCATGGATCAAGGTGATATATATGTATGTATACAAATGCATGCGTGCATGCATGTACTGAATATTAATTGACTAATAATTAATTATAATTAGTGCTAATTATGAGTATTAATTAATCTTGCAGGCATTATCGAATGGCATATACAGGAGTTGCTTGCACAGGGCTGCTGTGAACAGCCACAAGGAGAGGAGGTCCTTGGTCTTCTTTATGTGTCCTAGAGCTGACAAGGTGGTGAAGCCCGCAGAGGAACTTGTGCGCAAAAGTGAGGGAGGCACAAGAAAGTTTCCAGATTTCACATGGTCAGATTTGCTTGAATTCACTCAAAACCATTACAGGGTTAACGAAACTACCCTCGAAAACTTCACCGACTGGTTCCTTTCTGCTGATCGTTCCAATTTCAAACCGACCCATTTCAAAAAGTCCCAATGATAATTTACATCTGTCTATGAAGATTGAAGAGCTCTAGCTAGCTAGCATGGAGATGCCATGGAGTGCACCAAGAAAAAGTTTTTAATTTTTATTTTCTAATCTATTTCGGTCCTTGTTGGCATGACCCACATTAACAAAATCCTAGAAGTTAAAACTTCTAAAAAGGAAAAAAAAAATGTTATTTTCGTTGTTGTTGGAGTGTTACCCTTTAATAAAGCTAGCTATTAATATGAACTATTGGTTCCTGACTTGGCCTAATTTCACCTCGTAGTTTTTATAGCCATTATATTAATTAATACTATTCGAAGTTTTATTAAATGGAAATTAAAATGAAAAAGGAATGACTATCCAAGTTTGAAACAAAGTTCATTTTTTAAGTAACATACTTTGGGAAATAGCTCTTCATCTTCTATAAATAGAGAAGCCCACTACATTATTTTGTGTTCAATCAATTCATGGATATATCTAGTTTTCTGGAGCATTTTTTTACATTAGTTTCTTAGAATTTTGAGAGTAGCTTAAGAGAAAGTTCATACACAAGTCTGTGTTCTTTATTCTTGTGGTTTGGAGTGCTACTACCAAAAAAAGGAGGTCGTTGTATTCCAGGAGACGTTTGTCATTAGAACCTTTGGATTGACAATTTCATCTTAAGAAGATAGAACGAAAGTGTTAAGTGTATACCGCAGTGTCTTTGTCGTATAACATTTGGATGTGATGTTGATATTTTGCAGCTAAATGTGATGTTGATACGGCGGTGCAGCGGTGGAGGAGACGTCTAGTGTGGATCATTTGTGTATTCGGATCAGAGGAGGCCTTAAATTAGGAGTACAAAATGAAATGTATTGGCTGAGCTTTTTTGGTTTCTTTTTAGTATGGATATATGGATATGCACAGGATGCCATTCTACTTTTTATATAACGAATGGCTTGTTGGATGAAGATGCTTATAAAGTTGGTTTTGCCTAAATTCTCTCTGTTCTTTTGATTGATTCTATTATTGCATACTACCACAACACCCCCAAATTTCAATTACAAAATATAACCAACTAAAGTGAATGAGTCGATGATTGGTGTTAAAAGAATAAGCAACTAAATCATTAGTGCTGGCCACATAGACTCAACTCCAGATAGCATCTGACCAGAATCAGATTCACTGCAATTACATAAAACACATGACTATCAAGAGCTTCATTGCTTGTCGCATTGAAAACTCGAGTACAAGGTCTGAAATATATTTTTGGCACTCAACGCACTAACAAAGAATATTGTTGGAATCTCAGACAATATGACAAAGATAAAAGAATGCTGAAACGAAAAATGGTGGTACATCTAATGGTAGATCTAAACAAACTATCCAGGAGATTGTAGAACAGGCATGCCTATTGGAAGTAAAATCCGCAGGCAGACTTTCAGAACAGGTTCTAATATAATCATCAGTAGATTAAACATCAGTTATATTGTATTTTTTTTTCAACAAAACATTCCGGCACTTTATTTCCATAATTGCATCTTGCTACTGGCATTCCATCACCACCATCATTCCCGACTCTCCAGGTGCGATCCTTTTTCCTTTGAGGCTTTTTGTGTTGTTTATGAGACGCAGTGGGCTTCTTGACAGTGACTTTCTTCTTGGTAGCAAGCCCATTAGCTATGTCAAATGAATTGAGATCATCCAGAGCATGATCAAGCTCCGGTACGTTTTCACCTTCAGCATCTGCAGGGTTTTCGTTATCAGAGGCGTCCGATTCATGCTGTTCAGACAAGCTGTGTTCCACAACATCTTCTTCATCAGTCATTCCAGGAGGCATTTGGTAATGGGGCAGCTTCCCATCAATGTAATCCTTCAAAATTTGGCGTGCAGCTCTCGTTTCATCAGGGAGCCCACTTGAGGCAACATACCCACGAGAGGCACAGTAGGCCCTCATAAACTCTGCTGCCAGAGGTGGCCGAGACTGCAGTTCATATGATTTGGGTTTTGGCAGATCAATCCTGTAAACTTCTTCAATAACATGTCTGGGAACTCGATTTGCCACTACCTGCACAGCCTCCCTATTCTCAGTCATTCGGTCAATTGGCAATACACCAGAGGCAATCATCTCATGTCTTGAGCTTGAAAAGGATGGAAAAACTAATCCAGGGCAGTCACATAGGGTTAACTCATCAGACATAATCAATGTTTGGAAATGCTTTGTCTTCCCAGGAGTAGAGGTAACACCTGTCTTCTTCTGGCCTACCAAGGCATTAATTGTCGAGCTCTTTCCCACGTTTGGATAACCAACAAATCCCACAACTACATTACTCGAAGCTGAATTTCCTTGAAAACGAATCCTGGGTGAGCCTATGCCTATACCACTGGATCCTGATTTCCTCCTCAGTTTGACTATCTCTTCTGCCTCAGACTGTAAACGAGTCAAAAGCTCAATCCTCCCATATATTTTTGTATCAGGGTCTTCTGATTCTTGCAGGCTGTTTTCTGTCTTCCACGAGGAACTGAGATCTTTCCCCTCTGCAGCAGCTGAAGCAGCTTTAGCTGACCAAAACACAAAGAGAATATCTTGTGCACGAAAATATGTTGCCCACTTCTCTCTGAAGGAAAAGCCAAGTAATAAAAATATTTAGGAGGGTGTAAAATTGGAGAATAGATCAGATGATTATGGTTACAAAAATACCAACCTAACAGATAAAGGTAAGAGATCTGCTTTGTTAACGAGCAGCATTGTCCTTTTGTGCTCATCAACCTCTCGTGCATATACCTGTATCAGGAAACAAACATATCATGTAAAACTCATCCTCTAAGAGAATCACGGTTTCTAAAAGTTCATTCAGAGAAAAACAACAACATTTCTGATTACTCTTCATTTCACTGCCTATAGGCTATAAGTATAAACAATTAGTTCTTGAAATCCAATGGAAGGGATTCCCGCCATCAATAGAGACCCGACATAAGCAGGAAAAAATCAGTCCAAACACAAAGACAACAGTAACAACTTGCTCTTTCAAAACTTTCGAAGTCATTTTAGTAATTAAAATCAGTATCAAGCACAAATTAATCACAATTTAAAACTTAAACAATGTGCTTATTCCCTTATCATCCATTCTTTAAAAATTAAACACCACAAGATGAAAACAAGCTATGAATTAGTAACATTACCTCAAGATCAGGGCAGCGATAGAACAGAGGGTCTCGTGCATCAACAACCATCACAAGCTGCAAACAAGAACAACCCATGTTAATTACGTAACAGTAAATTGATAATGAAACAAAGACAAGGCCGGGGACTTTCTATAAAATAAATAAAAACCATCTTACCAAATCGCTTCGCTCAACGACCCGCCATAGCTGCCTCCAAATATCGAGGTTCTTCTCGAAAGGAGTAAGAAGAAGCTTGTCGTTCTCCTCAAGCCGCGCAAGGCTTCTGCGCCAGGTCAAGAAGGCCTGGCTTTCGTTGGCATCTAGCTGCTCCACAGACATTTCAGGGGTCCACGGAGGCCTCCGTGGGACCCGCAGACTCCCGGCATGCAAGGCCTCCTCTTTCCTCTGCTGCTCCCTTCTCTGCTCTGGGCTTATCTCATTTCCATCCCTTCTCGCATGAAATTACAGAAAATGAAAAACCCATTTGAGAAAATAAATAAAAAACAAAAACCCAATTCAATAATCCGAAAAGTTAAGAAGAAGAAAAAAATAGAAAATTTAATTCATTTGAGGGAGGGGTCAAAGGGGGAACTTACAAGTCGATGAGGAGGTTTGGGGTTGGGTTGTTGATGGAGAAAAGGCGGTCGGCCTCGTCGGCTTGTTCGATGATGGCGTCTATATCGCTGACTTCGGTGACAGATTCGAGAACCTTCTTCTGCTGCTTCTTGTACATGAGGCCTTTCTCTTTCGTCTGCTGAACCATCTGGTTGTGTTGTCTCACCAGAGCCCTACCCAGCCCCGTTTTCTCATTCTTCCCCATTCTCTCTCTCTCTCAGCCTCAGAGTAGTTTTTGTTACAGTTAACCCTTGATATACAAACCAAGACTTCAAGTTTCAAGTTTTTTGGTGCTGTAATTTCTAGTTTCAGGTTAGGGTTCGAGACTCCCCTAAATACCAAGTTCTGAAATAGTTAGCATAGGTCGGTTCCAGCGTGGGGATGGGGATGGGGATGTTTGTGTCGTCGTGGTGGGTTGCTATTTTCCTTTTTTCTTTTATTTTTTACTTTTTCTTATCAATTTAGGGCAACACAAAATTTTTAGGAAAGAGTGGCTAGCTAAACAACCTTTGGACGTGTCTTTATTTTCATTTTTGCTTTTTAATTAGAGGGATACAATTGGAGCTTTATGTACAAATTTTTATGAAGTTGGGTGTCTAAAAACTTTTTTCATTTTCTCTATAGATATTTAATGGAATTGGATAAAAGTGACAACGACACATAAAGTTTCATGACTGCTTGAAATCACCTCAAAAATCTAAGCCAATTCAATTAACATGTCATATATATACCTCTTTCATATTAAAAAAAAATGTCACATATATACCCTTACTAATCCCAATTAGTATTTGTATGAATTATTTACATTAACACTCCTTAAGGTTTTTAGTATTTTCACAAAACTCTTGAAGTTTAAAAAATTATATGAACATCTCCTGAAATTTTAAATTTTCATTAAACCCATTTTCATTGATTTTTAGTCCAAATATTGATGATTTTATATAATAAAAAAATTATACAAATGACAAAGTTAGTGTCTGATATTATATTGCACATATATTCATTAAAGTTAAAATTTTCATTTGCTTAATTTTGTATTATATAAAATTATTAATTTTTGGAACCTAAAAGATTTTATGAAAATACCGAAAATATCATGAAATGTTAATAATGTAAATAACTCTATTTGTACTAATTTTCCAAATAAATAAAATAAAATAAAAGCGGGAGGTTTAGTGCTAGGGCAGCTTAAATTTTGATGCGTAGGTCCTAAACCCCTTTTTTCTTTTCTTTTCTGTTCTAGGAAAAAAAAGAGCCAAACTAAAACCTCAAGCACAACACCTTCCTCCTCGCTGCTTCTCTTCGTCACGGTCTCTCTCGCAGCGCAGCCTGTCTTCCTCCCACTAACAGTCCAGGCCACAGCCGCTATCTCTCTCTCTCAGGTCTCTCTCATCTTCTTCTTCCTCTGCTGATTTGTTCTCTCTCTCTCTCTCTCTCTCTCTCTCTCTCATCAAGCTCTATGTTTTGTTGATGTTTTCCACCGCAAAGATTGGGCAAAAGGCATGTGCTTGCTGAGCTCCTTTGAGCTGTCTGTATGGTAAAGTGGGAATTTAGGGCTACCCAAATGAGCATTTCAATCCCTGATTTAGTTGCTCCGTTCTTTTTTTTTGTTTATCAATTTTGGATATTATTATGTCTCGTTAAATTTTTATTTCTATCCGCAAAAAATTATAACAAAAATAATTATCTGGGAATTCTGAAGGTTTTGTTTGATTTATGGAACCGTAATTTATTTATCATAGTTACCAGTTATGTTTCTTTGGCAAGGAATTCTTGAAAGAGCCCACATCCATGAGTATTGTGTTCATATTTTTCTATTCTTGAAAGGCTTCTGATTAATATTTTTACCGATTGCATAGAAAAGTAAAGCTTCAAAGGCATGGAGGACGCTACAATTTCGAACGCAAGCTCTGAAGATAGAGTAAAGGCGTAAGTTAAACTTGTGAAGGTGCAATGATGCTAAATGCTAATTGGATTTGATAGTCAAATTCTGATTTTTACTTCTATTGCTTCTGTTTTTCAGAGAAGCTCCTCAGCTTGCTGCTGTGCTGAAAGAAATGAAGGAAGGATTAGATACAGTGAGGATCAAAGTCCAAGCTTTAACTGCAAAGGTAAATATGTCCCTGTTTCTTGGGTCATTGTAATTTCGCTGTGGCTCCATTTCTTGCGGTGTAGAAATGTTTGCTTTCTAAAAATTTCTGCCACTTGTTAGGTTTTAGGAAAACCATATCTAGATTGGTAGTGCTTTCATTGAGGCCTAAACTTAACGCAAGGGCTGGAAAAAGCATTTCCACAAAAAAGCTTGTTTTTCTTATAAGTTTCTCACTTTTTGCAGAATCAATATTTCCTTAAAACAATTGGAGATTATAGAAATCCCAACGGGCATGTTAGTATACCAAGCATGCTAAGGCACATGTGTCATTTTTATTTTTCTTCTCCATGTATCAGGTGAAATCAAATAATTATCCAACAGTGGAAGGGATAAGCTATCTTGAAGCCAAGCATTTGCTGCTCTTAAACTATTGCCAGTCACTTGTCTATTACTTGCTTCGCAAGGCTAGAGGGTTCTCAATAAATGGCCATCCCGTTGTTCAGAGCCTTGTGGAGATAAGGTTGTTTCTGGAAAAGGTATGGACGTCTTGGTATCTGTTTTTCTTTTTCCTGCCATTCTGGTAACCTGTGTAATCAGTCACTAATCAGTTCTCACCCTTTTGGTTGCAAAAGATTCGACCCATTGACAAGAAGTTACAGTATCAAATTGAGAAGCTCACCAAGGTTACTGCAAGCACAACTGAGAATGTACAGCCAGGTGAAAAGGAATCACAAGCAGGTGTGCCTCAGCGAACAGACGATTTGTTGAAATATCGCCCGAACCCTGACATGCTTGTTAGCAAAGCAGATGTGACTTCTAAGGTGAAATGCACATCAGTACAGTATTTGAATTCCTCTTTTCCCACCTGCTGGACCATTTAAAAGGATTTTTCTTCTCTTTATGTATTGTAGGATGGTAATGATGTGTATCGACCTCCCAAATTTGCCCCCACTTCGATGGAGGAAGATAAGTTGTCAAAGCAGGACAAAAATGCATTGAGAAAGGAAAAGAATACTCTACGACAAGCTAGGCAGAGTGCTTTTGTTAGGGAACTGGTGGATGATTTGGAGGGGAGGCCTGAAGAGGTTTGTTCTGGACTGTTTTTGTGGGGTTACAAGGCGTGAAAGCTGGATTTTCTCATAATTGCTTACTATTATGTCATATTACAGATTGTAGAAAGTGTTGGAGCTGAAAGTTTAGAACTAGCCAGATACAGGGCAAAGATGGAGGACCGTGCACGGCAAGAAGAGGAGCTTTTTATGCGTGCTCCTATTACAAAGAAGGAGAAACAGAGGGAGAAACACTTAAAGAAGTCAAGAAATGGGTATGCACGATATTTAGTCATATACCCATTCTTAGCACTAAAACTATAAATAAACAAACCCAAAAAATGATAGCTGACCCTATTGAATTTAATATTGATTATTAAATTATTTTGATGCCCTATTAAGTGTTTTGGGCTTTTTTTATGAGGTTTTGGGGTTGAGTTTGTTTTAAAAAATCAATGGCAGTTTTGTAATTTAAAAGAAGTTATTAGTCTTTTTGTTATGTTGTAAATGGGCTTTGGGTGTGTTTCTAAAGTCCATTTCATATAGGGTTTTTTTATAATTTGGGCTCCTATATTGGGTATGATAGTGAATCTCCCTTAAAATTAATTTATGGTATTATTCTCAATTATGTCAAATTTATTTGGGTAGATTTTGTTGTTGGCTGACTGTTCTGAACTTGTATATATCAGGTTGCTTGGTTTGACGGACAATTTCTATGATGAAATCAAAACTTTACCTTTGGAAGATGAAAATGATGGGCAGATTCCAAGCTTCAGTAGTGCTAGGGGTGGAATGGGGGAAAGACATAAGAAGCGCAAGGTATATCATGTTGGTCTCAGAATAAAGATCAAATTTAATTTATGAAAAATATTTTCTCCTCTTTTGCTCTGAATCAACTGCATCCATGAAGTTCTGTTTCACTTGAACTTTAATCTAGCGTGGTTGTTAGGGATTTGTACTCATGTTGTCTGTCTGTGATAACTTTCTTATATATCCATTAAGTGGTTGGTTGTACTAAATATATGATTTCGAAGTTTAGTTAATTAAAAGCCTCTTGAAAATGAGAAGGCAGGTCCTGTTCTCATGGGCATGCATGTGTTTTTGTACACAAATCATTTGTGGAGGCTCCCTTATTTGTCTTTATATGAAAAACTTTAGCTAATATATATGCTTCGTGCTTGAATCATGAAATCAGCCTCTAGATAATCTGGAAAAGGATTGTTATGGCATTTAATTGAGACTCTGTTGATGAATGACTGCACTATGCTTATTAGAGTATTGGCGGTGGGCTATAACTTGCCATGATTATGCACTTCTTTCCCCATCCCAACTTATCTAGGAATGCCTGCATTTGTTTTTCTCCATTATATATGCTGCTAGACAAACTGTGATCTTTTTTCTTCTGTATTTGTGTTTATTTTCCTATGCTTTTTATCGGGCTTTATTTTTCTTTTATATATATATATTATTTAATATTATGCAAAGGTTTATTGCCCTAGTATTTGCTTATAGTGAAGGCATTGACAATTTTGGCCCATTGTGCAGATGAGGCGTTGAAGGATAAACCAGCCTAACAACTCCAACGATTTCCTTGCTGATCTAAATGCCTTTTGCTATAGTCGCATGAAATGGCTTCCTTCAAATCTGAAGTGTTTTTGTCTTTTTCTTTTGAGCGGCAGTTTCTGGGCTGATTAGAAGAGGAAGGGGGAGTGAACAAGTAGGGGAAAATTTTTGTTATTTGGACTGACCAGAATTATTTGTTTTAATGGTTTTTTTTTTCTTCTAGATATGTATGTTTCTGTTTTGCAGAAATCTGAATGAGATTAATAGGTTTACGTATACACGATGCGCTATCTAACCTAACCCTAAAATCAGAGGACACCTCTCAGTGATTTACTTATCTTGCGTCAATCTTTTATATGCAATTACCAGTTTATAAAGTACCATTCAAATCCCATTGTTGGTGGATTAAGGGTCAATCCAACGTTAATCTGAGAAGTTTGACCTGACTTTTAGCTTGCATTCCAGTTCAACTTTACTGTGCCAGGGGAAACGGAAGATTGCTCCGGCATCCCTTGAAGTTGGCCTTGCTTGGTTGAAAAGACAGCCATAGCGTCAGTTTTATAGTCAATTCTATCTTCTGAAACCAACGCCATTGTTAATAAGCTTCTTACTATTTGATGAGGTTAAAATCTGAATAATCGAAGTTTTAACTGCATTCCAATTTTTTAAGTTCCGGTTAAAGTTTTTTCTTTTTTGTTTGAATTGATAGAATTGAATTTAAACAGTCAGGGACGGAAAAAATGAGTTGTGCTCCAGGTCTTAAAGAGACTATAAGAATATAACATCTATAACAGTGTAGTGTGTAATGTCAACTAATTTCAGAGCCATCCTTGGCAGGCTGAGGCATGCTGTACAGAATAAGACCCAACAAAAGAACCGCGCTACCAAAGAGGAAAAAGGGGCTCAAATTTGCACCCGCCTCCAGATATGGCAATGGAAGGGAAAGAATATAAATCGATATTGGCACTGCAAGATAAACGAAAGCTTATATTAGCAGAAGTTTATTCAAAAGCACAGATTTGATGCAATGCTTGTATATGTCCACAACTACAACAAACACAAGTGCTTATGTGAATATCTAATAAGTCCTCTATGTTTAAAGTATCCCAATCCAAAAGCCAAAAACTGTCGAGTTGATAATTGGATTTGAGGGATCCCTCAATAAAAGGGAACTATATATACACACACGTGGTAAACTTCAACAAACCTCATGTCCAACCCTTTTTTTGGGTGGTCATCCAGGTGGACAAGTACCCTTCATCAGGTAACTGATGGTTCTTATGTGTAGTCCCTATTAGGTTTGGTGACAGACATGTAGTCATAATAATATGATCTTGAAATATCCAACCCATAAGCTTATCCAACGCATAAGCAGCAAGTGGTCAAAAGTAAGTACTTAGCATAACCACTATGGGACCAGTGGTCAAAAGTATGTATACAAGCGTGAAAGAGAATGAACCTGACAACATCACAATGAGAGAAGCAACAACCGCAGAGGAAATCTTTACTACACTCAGCAATGATATGTTGAAAAACAGATTGGTACCTACGTAAAGCAACGGAAGCAATGGAGCCCCATTACAACCTGAAACAAGTGACAAATGCATGGGTAAGAAATTGAACTCAAAAAACCTCAAGAAGCTTTTAATCTTGACGAGAACCATCACTTTGAACAACTGAAATTGAACTACATTACGGAAACCAACAATTTATTTTCATCATGCCAGGTTATAAATGAGCTTTTTGTCTCTTCAATGCATGAAATTCGTAGGATTTCCCATCATTAATTCCTAAATGTCATGAAACCGTGTAGGTAAATTTTATCATCAACACCGAACACTCACTTTCACGTGTTCTCATAAATGATATACACTGTTCAGATGTAACTTGGTGTCATATCAGCTTTTAGCATTCTTGTGATGTTACTATAAGCTTTGCATATCAAACCAACAAGTTTGATTACTCTTACTATTCGATATTTCCTGCTCACAATACAATAATAGTTTTTCATTGCATTGAATCATTTAAAAGGAAGAACAGATAAGAGAACTCCATATGCTTAAAATGTGTATCAAACAATTAATATCAATGTTTTCAGATTGGGAACAATTATTATTTAAGCTTACTTATGGGCTGGAGAGTAGATAATTAAATCATCATTGACCATGTAAATCAGTGTATATACAATGACAACATGTATGTCACCCCAAACTCCCTGATGTAGAACAGCCCATAGGTATTAGATTAAGCACTCAAACAATAGAACATAGAAGAATATAAGAGATCGAGGAGACGAAAATATAGTTCGAAAAGATGAAAGAACAGGCAGAACAGTAGAACAAGAAGAATATCAGAAGTCGAGGAGACAAAAATATAGATTGAAGGGACAAAAGAAAGGACTGAAATCAGAGAACCGAGAAGGAAGGACAGAAATCACATAATTTTAAGAGAAGGTTTACTCAATATCCAAATCTGCCTTTTAAAGAACTACATGGGGGTATTTATAGCAAACTAAAACCTAGACATAATAGGATAAAAATCCCTTGCTTAAAAAGAAATCATAACCCAAATAAAATAGGAAACTTAAAACTAGAAATCTGGAAATCTGGAAAAGTAGAAATCCTACTAGAATTTGGAAAACTAGATTATCTAGGAAACTAATAAATTTAGGTCCTACGCATCCTGCATCACTCCCAAATCCAGTTATTTACAAAACTACAGAAAAAAAATAAATTGATATGACAGCTTGCCTGATGTATCAGCTCCAATATTCAGAAAGCAACCAGCACCATCTTTAAGATATGAAGGAAGTTGCGCAAATGGTATGCCTCTCAGGTTTGACAAGAATGGTAGAAAGAGAAATATAAAAAGAGCCTACAAGTCAAGGGAAATAAAGAATAATAATTTTAGCAAAACCAGTGTCTTTTTTCAATTATATCCAACTTAATATGTACAAAGACATTTCAGTTAACCTGATTAACCTGACTTTGGGTGTGGACACGTATGCTACCGGTGAGCCCCCATACATTTGAGTGAGCATAAATAATTTAAGGGAAAAAGAATCCCCTATCAATGGTCATTTTCTAATTAAAGAGACCCTCAACACACCTATCAATCTGAATCAGATAATGCCAAAAATCTTTGTAGTTCTGGTAGGGTCTCCTTTATAACCAATGAGGCCACCAACTGAGGTGCATCAAGATATTACAAACAAGAAAACAATATATCATAAACTATCTTAACAGAGATCAACACAGTAATCACCTGAAATCCAGATCCAAAAGAATTGACAACAAATATGTCAAGTGATTTATCCTGCAATTGAAAAGGTTTATGAATTGAGAAAGTATGCAGCATTAGCTTGTCAACCAGAGAACAAATTTGAGAACAATTTGGAAGGCCAGCTAGTTACTTAAAAGAAAAAAATATTGCCATACCTTAAGGCGGGCCTCAGCATCAACGAAGACGAACTCCTGTTCGAAGACAACATCAAGATTGATTATTTTGGTTATAAAGGGCACCACTGAACTTATAACAAATGTTAATTGTTTAACCTTGATTATAGATGCACCAGCTTGAAAAGCACTTGAAGCAATCATTAGTACTGGCCACATAGATTCAACTCCAGATAGCATCTGACCCGAATCAGACCCACTGCAATTACATAATACACATATACACATATGACTATCAATAGCTTACGTCATTGCATATATCATTGAAAACTCCATGAGTACAAGGTACTCAACACACTAATAAGGAAGAATAGCACAACAAGAAAACCCTGATAACAGAGAATCATTAGACTAAAGGAGGGTCATGATATTCATGCACCAGTAGAACTATTTCAGTTCCAATTCTGAAAACCTTTCATTTATGATCAAAATCTTCCTTCACGGGAAGACGGGATACTTGTAGCTATTCTAACATAAAATGATACAGAAGCTTGTTGGAATCTCAGGAACTGTGATAAAGATGAAAGAATGCCCAAAAGAAAAATGGTGGTAGATGTAAACAAACTCTCCAGGAAATTGTAGAATAGGCATGCCTATTAGAAGTAAAATCTGCAGGCAGACTTTCAAAACAGATGCTAATCTAATCATCAGCAGATAAAACATCAGTTAATTGTCTTCTTTTTTTCAACAAAACATTCAGGCACTTTATTTCCAAAATTGCATTTGGCACTGGGACAAAAAATACAGAACGGATGTCAAACTGTTCAAACATCTTACAAGACCTCTTTCTTTGAAATTCTTCTTTTCAAGTGTATAAATGTAATTAGTATGTCATGGTTAACCACATTCAATTTTTCTGATGTTTGCTTTGATATCAGCTGGCACCAGATGCATAAGCATGCAGATCATTTATCGTTTGCAGGTATTACATAAATTTAAAGTAAACCATATCCAAGTGACTGCTAGTATTGACCTTGATATGTATCACTAATCATTCCACTTAATTGACAGAGAACCCATATAATATTACATTTAACGAAATAGAATAGCAGCTCTTAATCCGTAGAAGAATGGATCAAGGTACCTTGTAACAGCCACTGCTACACCTATAGCTACGAGTATGCAGCCGGAGATCTGATTGAATGTGTATGTTCTCCCCAAAAGAAGGACAGAAAAACTCAGCTGCCACACCAAAAACGTCTGCACAATATGGAGACGTAAAAGTAAAAGTAAAACTGAGGAGAGGAATTTTGCAAAAATAATGGTAAAAAATATATTCAAAGTAATAAGCACATTATTCTTTTGGATCTAGACTAAGGTAAATGTTTCATTATATACTCTTTGAATTTCATTTTTCTCTTCATATCTCTATTACAATAGATTATAACCGGGGAAACCCGTTGTCCAACTATTCAGGGTTGGGGGACAATATTCTGCAGCCCTGCTAAGTTCTAATTATTCAATTTAATGGAAAAGGAAAACAGAACTTCTTTCCCCAAAATATTTAGTTCATTAATTGTTCATATAAGAAATTAGTTCAGTCCAAACTGGAATAGGATCTAGGATCCTCGACCAAACTCAACCTGGCTTGAGCCAAAAAAATAAAAATCAGCTGCTAGACGAATCCAATTGGCATGGTCACATCTAACATGATTTTACACTGTAAGAAAGTTTAGACTTATTCTCCTCTTTCCATAAACATTTCTGGAAACTAAATGGTTAAGGCAGCTTTCCTTTCTCTTTACTTCAACTCTTTTAAGCAATATTTTACTACAAAATTATCTTGACCTCAAATGCTGCAAGGATAACCCCAATAAACCCTTGGCCATAGTGCACGTCTGGTATCTTTTCACAAAGTTTCTGTCCTTCAAGCACCTTCGTCATAAAAACTGCTCTCATTGATTATACATTATATTTTCTCACGAAATAGATTATCCTTCTAATGACATATGGCATGCCTCAATGCTGCTGATGGTGATGAGGAAGCCCTCCATTCCTGAACTCCAATATACCACATGGGGCATAACCTATATATGTTCTTTTCTTTTTTGTTCTTTAATTTTTTGCTGGAATAACGGAAAATACCTGACTCAATATGGGTATTGCCGGTCCGGGAAGCATGGCTGTGGAGGATAAATACGATTCAGAAAAATAAAACACCAAAATCATCACTACTAAAACACATTTTCTGCTTTGATTTCTCATCACAACCAATTCAAACTTGGTATTGCTTCATCTCAATCAAAAACGAAGAAAATCTAGATTAAATTCTAAAACACCATTCAATCAAATTGCATAGGCTCATAATAATGTACCCAAAAATAAAATCCCAACTTTAATATTAATAAATAAATAAATGGTGAGGTACCTGCAGCAGCCATCCCAGAAGCAACTCCAAGGGCTTCCAAGGCACCAATGGCCACAAACCGTGATTTGGGAAGGCCTATCATTTCATCAGTCACAATCCCAGAACGGTATCGTGCGAACAATATCGAAAAATATATAATCACGTAGCTGCGCACAAAACAAACCCACTTTCCTGATCACATTACAAATCCAATAATTCCAAACCAAAAAAAAAGGAAAATAAATAAATAAATAATTAATGTGTGGTTCTTTTTCATACCCGAAGGTTGTGAATTGGGCCAAGAAGAAAGGGTGGTTTTTCATGGGGACAAGAGCGAGCTTGTAGAGCACGCGGTTGGCGACGGCCAGAGCAATGGTCAAAGCGGAGACCAAAACGACGCGTTTTGTATTGGAGGAAGAGGAGGGCGGGTCTGGGAGTGAAGCTTGGGCTTTGACATTGCGAGTTGTTGATGAAGCTCTGCGGGTGGTTTCGGAAGCGAGGTGAAACGGTGCGTCTTGGGGGACGCGGCGGCGGAGATAGAGTCGAGGGAGCGGCATTGAGGAGAGAGAAAGGAAGGGGATCGTCGCGCCATTTTTGATGGTGTAGGTGTGAAGAGGAGGTGGGACGGAGAAGAAGTGGGAAAACGACGACATAGTGGATACTGAATATCCCATCAGAGATTTTGTTGGACTTGTGGGTTGTGACAAAAACATTTTATTCTGGAATAACGAGACAAAAAACATTTCAAAAATAAAGATATAAAGAACGAAGAAGACCCCGCCAAATTTAATTTATGCAAAAATAAAAGATGGCGTCTTTAACCTTTGGTTTTCTTCGCCTCTTCTCTCTCGGTTTTCTTCGCCTCTTCTCTCTCTGTCTTATAAGATTCGATATCCACGTTTCCTTTCTTCTTCAATTCAACTGGGCTTCAGCTGGCGCTGTTCAGGTCATCATTAATCATGTATGGTTTCAGTTGCGGAGCCAGCCAAGAATTGATGTTAGAGCTTCTTGTATAAAAATGAAGGGAATGAAAGTATAAACACTGCAAAGTTCTCGCAGAGCTTCTTGCGCATCATTTTTCTGAACCAATATCCCCTAAAATGAAAGTCAAACATCAAAGTTCTTATTGTATATATAAAAACCTTGTATCCTCTTTCAATATTCAATTCATAAATACAACATTAAATTATTTACACCAAGAGAGAGAAATAACAGGGAAGGAAAAAAAAGAGCAGAGAGAGAGAGAGAGAGTGAAGAGCTGAGAAGGTGACTGGGACCCCTCTGGTCCCTACAGTGATGCAAAACTTGCAGCCATTCCTATACCCTATCATTTTCTATTTTTCTTGGGTATTCCTATGTACATGTACTAAGTACCTAGGTAGTATTCACTGTTGAATTGGTTTTGGAAGCATCTAACGACTGTTAGAGCATCTCTAACCGATGTGTCAAAAGTGCCACATAGACCTTTAACAGCTAGAAATAACATCTTACATTACTCCAACCGATGTGTCAGAGCTGATGTGGAATGAAGGCTGGAGGTTGAGATGTTATTTTTAACATCTCAAAAGTAAGATGTCAAATGAATATTTTATTATTTTTTCTTTTCTTTTATTTTTAATTAAAAATAAATCAACACTAAAATGTAATAAAATAATAATTTAATTTGACATATCGGGTGGAGTGTAAAGCTGTGTAAGATATCAAATTGCCACATCATCCATCAAATTTAAATTTGATGCTTGGTATTTGACATCTCCCTTGGAGATGCTCTTAGGTGATGACCAGTTAACTGGGTAAGTAATAGAGTTATTTGTACTAACATTTCTTGAGGTTTTAAATTGTTTTCACACAAAAAAAAATTTGTTGATTTTCCATTCAAAGATTGATTATTTTAATTAACTTGGTCATTTTTGTAAACTCTTTTTTGCATGAAATCATCAATTTTTGGACAAACAATCAACAAAAACGAATTTTGTGAAAATAATTTGAAACCTAAGGGGGTTGTCACGCCCCAATCAAGAGTTGTACTTCCTAAGAAACATAGAGTTATATTGTTCAACCATAGAACATTATAACACCACATCTCTTAGAAAACATAAGGCATTTAAGTAAGTAATTATATCTGGCTCTCTACCAGGCTAGGCTTAGGGACAAGCCTAAACGAAACTATTAGCAAAAGTGAAACTTAGTTGTGAGCCCAAGAATGGTGTGTTGTTCTTACTTCATTTTAATTCATACATGGGACCACTAAGTTACAAGTCAATATCCTTTTTCACTAGTCTAAACCCCGTTGATGACGTAGTTATTTTTGTTGAAGTAGATTAATGTTTTTATTTTAGAAGTTGATATGTTAGTTTTATGTGTTAAATGCATTATAGGCGCGAAAAAATTCATTAAATGAGTTGTGTAAATTGTTTTGTATTCACGAGCATATTGTGTTTGTGTAATTTGAGGTATAAAAAAGTTTGTATATCATGCAATTTACAAGTGAAATCTTTAATTTTGCATAAGATTTCTAAGAAGTGTACCCTTTAAAGTAAATTTAGGTTTTAGCCACAAAAAAACTTTCACTTTTTGAAAAAACCAAAACTTTTCCAAAAAAATATAGAAAAACCCATCAACTTTCAAACTAAAGACATGCAAATGTAAGAGATTCCTTAGGAAATCCAAAAATAAATAACGGCATTTTTGTCCATTTTGGCTTCTTTTCAAAATATTTCTTTCTCCTTTAGCTTTTTCCAAAATGTCCCGCATGGGAAAGTCAAACCTAGTTCCAAGTAAGCAAGCAAGGCGGGTGGGGGTTCATCAGTTATAAAATGAAATCAAAGGATGGAACATAGAGATCAGAGTACACATTTCATTTATCATGTGCACCCGATGTTTTCTCCATAGGCCTTCTCCTTCCTTTTTTTCATTTCTCGCACACTTCTTGAATAATCATTTGGTGTAACGTTTACACTGCCACATGGTTTTATCAATCCACTCATAGTATAAGTTGTGTATCTATATATCAATACTATCAATACTATAATCTAAGTTCTTGACATATCAACCATGTTGTCTACCTATATTGTAAAAAACCATGTTGTAAAAATAAATAAATAAACACCATGTTGTAAAAATAAATAAATAAACACCATGTTGTCTACCCATATTGTAAAACACATATTGGTAAACATCATATGTCAATATGAGGGTCACACCTTAGAATTTCTCCATTTTTTGACATGTGAATTCCACTTGCATGTTGTTAAAATACGAGTCTGTTTCATACTGATGGCTAAAAGCATGTCATAAGCAGAGGACCTATAGAGGCACAAGGAGGTGCAATTGCACTTCCCTTCGCCGGAGCAAGCGTGGCATGTGCCGAAATGTTGCTCTTTTGCTCAGGCAGCCACGCACACCACCTGTTTGACAAAAGTTCTATTTGAAGCCTCCTTTGTTGCGCTGTTTGCTATGCGCATAGCCTTTTTTATTTATTTATTTATAAATCCATGGTCAAAACGACGTCGTTTTGAACTAGGATAAAAAATAAAAATCGTACTGCAAACTGAAAAGGAGTTCCTTTAGCAAGGGATATTTTGCTTGTTTTTTGGTCAAACAAGGAGACTTTTTTTTATTTTTTTTTATTTTAAAGAAAGAGTCCCTTACGTCCCACCACCAATTCCTTATAAAAGATCAGAAAATTCATACCTCTTTTTACATCCTCATCACAGTTTTTCCTTTTTAATTTTTTTTTAAAAAAAAAAGAGAACTCCAATTCTTTTATAAAAACTTATAAGGAATAAAATTTTGAATCGATCAAGCTTTCAAAGTAAGTTCGAATGTAATTCATAGTTAATCTAGAGAGAAAAAAACATGGTGCGTTTTTATTTTTCTTTTTCAACAATTGACGACAACAATTGTAGGTTAATTGTAATGTTATGTTGTTTATATGAATTATGAATTTCAATGGTATTATTTAAATTATAAGGATATTGGTTGTCAATTTTTTTTTAAAACTTTTAGCTTTTTAAAATTACACCTCCGACAAAAAATTTCTAGGTCCCCCAGTGGTCATAAGCACTTCTAAAAGCTTTCTTTAAAAAAAAAAAATAAAAAAAAAAAAAAAAAAAAAAAAAAAAAAAAAAACTTTAAAGAAGTTTTTGAAAATTAATTTTGTGAAGAAGCACATGCTAGTAAATCGTTGTGAGCAGAATATATATTTTGAAAGGCAAGTGTAGATTAGATGAGCTGGAGAGTATTGGAAACAAAAGGAATTATTCTTGAAGGATTCAAGAGCAAGAGAGAATCGAGATGCGTTCTTCCCCCACCGTGCCTCTCTTTTGAGAATATAGCTCTTTATATACAAGATCCCTTCTTACCTTAATGACAAAGAAAGAAATGCATGCAAACAAACAAATATATTCTACGTGTTCCATAAAGTAAATATACAAACCAGTTGAAAAATAAAGTGGATGGAGACCAAACCACACTAGGAAGCTGGAAAATGCTGGGATGATGAAATGAATATAAAGATGAGTTAGGGTCGTAACTGAGATATGAGCTCTTTCTCTTTTTTCTTTTTTCTTTTTTGACCTTTTTTTATTAAGAATGATGCTAAATTCATACACACAACACGAATACTAGAACACAAATCTAGAACCTTGCCGCAATTACTCCAAACCACTATATTAGTAGGTCATTTGCTGAGATATGAGCTCTTAAATATATCGAACATACAATTTGACAAAAAGATGTAAATATGAGTTAGGATTTTAGTAATGCTTTTAATTCGTCATAACCTAAAAGATTTAAGGCAAAAAGTCACTTTAATTTGACAAAAATTTGGGGATTGTTCTTGAATTGCTTGAAATTGAAACTACGAGTGCAAAATTGATCAGATTGAAACTATAAGGAGCTTAGTGATAAAATTAGTAAACTATAAGGACCAAAAAGGCTTTTTGTCAAGATTTAATTTAAGAAATCCAAGGGTTTCTTCACAAAAAATAAAATAAAAAAATAAAAAAGAAATCCAAGGGTCTTTAGTCTTAATCCGGAGGTCTTCACCGTAGTTGGTTTTTTGACTTTTTAAGTCTCCCCGGCCCCAGTTGCCTTTTTGGTTTTCCAAAACTACTCTCTCTTCTCTGCTTTTTTTTTATTTTTTGGTTCAAATCTCTGCTTTCCTTAATGAAAGAGGAAAAATTTCTTCTTGGCTAATGTAAATTCTGTGTCTGTGCTAAGACACAAAGGCTGAAAACGAAAGAGAACAGACACTGTAGTGATGGGTTGGGAAGCTTTTCTTCAGGTGTTAGCAAAACTCTTCTTGGGTGTTCTTTCCTGGTATGTTCAAATATCTTTTCTTCTTTTTTTGGGGCATATTCAATCTGTATTCTTTTATTTAGAAACTTTCAAGGGCAATTGCATTCTGTACATTTGTTATCTTTTTTATTTTGTTATTTCAGTTTTGCATGCACATAGTGGTAGATGGAAAATTTTGACTATATATCTTTACTTGTATGTATAATCAACTTATTTTGATGTGCAGGCCTTCATTTAATTTGGTTTATACCCTGTAAGTTTTTTCTTTCCCTCCCTCCCTTTTTTTTTTTTTTTTTTTTTTTTTTTTTTTTTTAAATACTTAAATACTCTCTGTTGTGTATTTTTTTGTTTTTTTATTGTCAATTTATGAATACCATGGAACTGAAGAGGACGATTCTATTTCTGGTTTCGAATTTTGGTTCAGGTATGCTTCCATTCAGGCTATAGAGAGTGACTCTCACTCCAGAAATCAGCAATGTCTTTCTTACTGGGTTATGTTTGCTTTGTACAAAATCTCAGAGGAAGCGCTTGGAAAACTTTTTTACTGGTAATTTTGGGTCTTTATAATAAAGGGTTCATCTTATTTCATTTCACATGCACGCTTCTTTTGTTCTTTAGGAGCTTGTTCTTATTTGGATATACTCATTTTTGTGTTAATTTTCTTATGGTACATATTCGGGTTTTTGAATGTTTTCATCACGGGGTTTGGGTATATGGACTACGCATGGTATATTTGATTCCAAAACTAGACATTCTAATTTCATGGAAGCGATTCCAAGGTAATTCTGTGTAAAATTGGTGATGCTTAGTGATTTTCAAGTTTGATCCTCCTTCCTGTGGTGATCTGGGGTTTCAAGTTCTGCTTTCTGTGTTGGTCCATAAAGATTTTACCTGGGAGTGGGAGCTCAGTCGTGTTATCATGATTTTGTTAAAATGAGGAAATCGTAAAGAGAACCACATTTGGGTTTCTGGTTACACATGGGCTCTACCAAATCCTATGCATGAACTTGATTGATCAATTGTCTATGTATGCTTGCTCATATGTGGTAATTTGCTGACTCATTCCCATGCCATGTACACTTTCAATGACAGGCTTCCGGTGTGGCCCTACACAAAGGGTGCCATTACCGTCTTGCTGGTGTTACCTTACTTTGGTGGTGCTTCTTATCTGTACAAGCATTTTATTAGGCCCTATATTTCTGAGAATTCAGTTATATGGAAATGGAACATCCTGTCCATACAAAGGATAAATGGTTTCAGTTCAGGGGAGGATAACTATCCTGATGTAGTTGATAAAAACGTTATCAGGACCGAACCACAAAAGTCAGAGGGAGCTGTCATATTTAAGGTAAGCTTTCAAACTTATATTTGTGACGATTGTACACAAAAGCTTTTCGTGTCGCTTGTGCATGTGAGAACTTGATAATACTTGTGTGTCAATGCTTTGAATTCTTCACTATTGGCTGCAAGAGATAATTAATCTGTTGCTTCTATAGTTTACATGTCAACTGCTTTGACTTCTCGACTGGCTGCATTTGAACCTTTGTATTCATTGCTATGATTTACTAGTTGAACAACCTTATTTATTGTATTGACTTAGGATTATGTACTAATGGAAGATTGAGTAAAGAAAGTCAAATCCAACATGCTGATGTGTTTGTGAGGCCATCATACAAAAAGGGCCTCCCTTCTTTTTGCCCATTTGTTCCCAAAAAAGAAAGAAAAAACATAAACAATACTATCTTACTAATCTTTTATCTTAGGATCAATCATGTCCTATGCCCAGGTAGGCGTTTAATGAGGACTTTAATGCACATTTATCTCAGGGAACACCTGCGTCAAGTTCTGAAACAGAAGGAAGGGAGTATACTTCGCCTAGTAGTCCAAAGAAAATTCAGAAGGAGTGGACCTGTGCTCTTTGTCTAATTAGCACTACAAGTGGAAAATGTTTGAAGAAACACCTCCGAGGGAAAAAACATAAGAACCAAGTAGAAGCACTAAGAACTTACAAACAAGGCCCCAGTAGTGGATACGAATCGTCCCTAAAGCTGAAGAGAACAAATGGAATGATTTTTAATCTAAACCAAATGGCAAGAGCAAATGGAAAGATTTTTAATCTAAACCAAATGGCAAGAGCAAATGGGAAGATTTTTAATCTAAACCAAATTGCAAGAGCTAACCTGGAAAAATGGAGCGGCATTCTAAGCCCAGTTTCCAGACCAATTAGAAAGTGTATATGGAAAAAGCCGGAGCTCGGATGGACAAAATTAAATACAGATGGATCTGTAGACCGAGAAAATGCTGGTTATGGTGGTCTACTTCGTGATTATAAGGGTGAGCCAATATGTGCTTTTGTCTCTAAAGCTCTAGGAGATGACATTTTTTTGGTTGAACTATGGGCTATATGGAGAGGCCTTGTTCTTGCCTTGAGTCTTGGGATTAAAGTAATATGGGTCGAGTCTGATTCAGAGAGCGTTGTGCAGACCATTAATAGAGACCGGCCTTACGGTCAAAAGGCTAGTAGCTGTTTGAAGCATATCTGGGAACTTCTAAAGAAATTCGACAAGCACCAGGTATCTCATTCATGGCGTGAAACTAACAGGGCTGCTGATCATCTTTCAAAAATGGTTCTTTTGGGAAGTGATGTTGTTTTCTGGCCAGTGGATTTTCCTGATAGCCTTTGTAACATTATCAAGGAGGATGCCGAAGGCAGGATATATTTTAGATGTTGACTAGGGTTTATGCCCCTTAAAATCATGTTCCGGGAAAAATGAAGTAAATCTAATCTATATATATAGTAGATGTGGAAGTAGTACAAATCGGACAACCTCAGGCCTGAATTTTTGTGGTAGATGAGGGGTTGCACATCATTTTTCCAATGGAATTTTGTAATTTATAACCCTGCTGATGTGAATAGAAAGCTTTGACATGTTAGGGGGAAAAATTTGCTGTCTGTTATGTGTCTTACTCTCTCTTGTACATTTCAAGATGTTTACAGGTATCATTGTTCCTACCTCCAACCTTATATCAGCTTTGCTGTTTTTCTAGATGTCTGATCCCTATTTTTTTGAAGTTTACATTTATCACACTGGTTCCTTAAATTCCTAGTCCTCAGAGAATGCTGCACTTGAGATCAATCAGTCTTTGCATTACCTTGTATCAGGTTATTTCTAAAATCTCCGATGTGCACATCGGGTAGTCCTAACCAAGTTAGTTTTGTGCCGGAAGACAAATATCTGACTACATTTTTATTGCTTGGAAATTGATCTGCCAAAGGCCTGTTACAGATTAAAATGGTCTTTCATAGAGCGAACTTTTATACAAACACCTTATCATGAGTTGTGTGAAGAGTAATTATGGTTTTCTAAGATGGGATTTTAATAGAAGAATGTAAAGCAGATCTAAAAGTTGGACCACTCTTTACATTCACCAAACTTATTCTCACCTTCACAATTTTTCAGTGTCATGACAATAATTTAGCGAGCAAATTTGATGTGCCTACATGACAATTTGACATAAGCCTAAACCTTGTTGATACAAAAGCGGCTTGCAAAAGAATGGTACTCAAAATTTAATATTTTTCCAACAGGATACTATATCTATTTTTTTTTTTTTTTTTTTTTTTTTTTTTTTTTTTAATTTTTTTTTAATTTTTTTTTTTATAGGTAGATATCCTAAACTAGAGAGGGAGGGAGTTTCTCACACACATTACCGGATTCGAACCTAAGACCACTAAGTCCATGCAATTTTCCATTGGGTTAGACTAGGGCTGGCACTTTAGACCGAAAAGCCAAAAATCGTAATTACAGACTGAGGTTGTACTTCATATTAACCGACCGCAATATACGGTTGTAGTGACGGTTCTGCATATCCAATATTGTGGTATACCGCAAATCACAAATATAATATAATTATTTGATATCAACTAATACCCTTTAGATGAATCTAACGTCTAGAATTTATTATCTTCAATCAACCCTAGCAGTTTGATCTCTTCTCTCTCTCTCTCTCTCTCTCAGACTTGATCAATCTAACGGCTTGGTTTCTACTGTCTTGTTGAACATTTGTGATTGGCTTATTATCACAAAACGTTCATAAGGTTTACAAAACTATCAGATTGTATCCGTAATGCTTTTTTGTCTCACTTATGATCATCAAGGTTAGTATGTGCAATCACAAATGGTCTCTGCCGTTAGGTTCTGTCAAAAACTCTGTTAGTTTGCTGACGTGGCATACATATATATCACAAAACATCCCTGAGGTTTACACACTTATCACAAGTGGTCCCTACGAATTTTTTAATTTAAAATTCATAAAATTTTGGTTTTCTTTTTAAAATTATTTATAAATGAAAAAACCATTTATAGAAGGATTTTAATCTTAAGGATCATTTACGAACCCTAAACCTTTAGTTTTTTTCATTTTTAAATTTTATGAATTTTAAATTATTTTTTTAAAACTTCATTAGTTTGTTGATGTGGCATATATGGAGCCCACAACTACAATAATATATAGTGTCACATGTATTTAAAATTTAATATATTTTTTAAAATAATTATAATTCATAAAATTTTAAAAAGAAAACAAAAAATGTATGAATTTTAAATTTTAAAAATTAAAAAATTTCGTAAGGACCATTTGTGATAGGTTTGTGAACCTCAAAGATGTTTTGTGATATACATATGTGCCACGTCAACAACTAACGGAGTTTTTGACGGAACCTAACGACAGGAACCATTTGTGATTGTGCATACTAACCTTGAGGACCACGAATTACCAAAAAAAACATTAAGGATGCAATCTGATAATTTCGTAAACCTTAGGGACGTTTTGTGATAATAAGCCTCTGTGATTTATAGCTGCAAGTTGGTTTTGCATTTGCTTTCATGACTTGGATGTGTTTGACGAGTGTTATGGGTTTGGTAATTAAAGCATTGTTGGTGTATTTGTTAATGTTTTTTAAGTATCTTTAAGTGGAGATTAATGACGATGGCCGTGAGACAATGAAGGTTATGTGTCGTGGAAATATCGATCACAATATACTGACAATTTGTGGTATACCATATACCACAATTTGTTAGTCGGTTCACGATTTGTCTTTTTAGCATACCGCAATATATCGGTTGGTTCATGATTTAATTGAAAAGTTGCGATAACCGAATTGCAACCACCCCTAGATTAAACCACGTTGACACTATACTAGTACTAACATTATTGTAACAATTTTGGGTGTGAGTTTATTTTTTTAACCTCAACTAGCCCATTGGCACAATTTTTTTTTACCTTAACAACCACCCCCACCACCATCCTCGTCACCATCACCCTACCACCATCTCCTCCCCCACTCCACCACCCACACCCTACCACTAGCAATCTCACCACAAATATCACATATGATGACACCACCACTACCACAAGATGATAAAGGTTAACTTACATGTTACCTAAAAAACCTTTAAATCTATTAAGCTAAACAAGAAATTTTACAAATTATGAAACATTAATTTCCATCATTTTTAATTCCATCATTTATAAATTTTTTAATATTTTTAAATTTCTTCATTCAAATACATTTTTCTTTCTTTTGAATTACTTTAAACTTTTTTTCTTTTAAAATTTAACTAGTGTTATGAGGATGCCTTCAATTTTAAGGAGGGAAGCATACTCGAAATAAAAAATAAAAAACGGTCAATTAATTCGAAATTTCAAAATTTGAAGCAATAAAAGGAAGGACACGAAAGTTACCGCAAAAATCAGAAAGAAAGCTGCTCTGCTCCCTCGCTCGCTCCAAGAATCTCTCGATTCCCTCTCTCATGGAAGAGACACAGTCCACCAACTCCCACCACGAATTCCCAGAAACCCCAATCCCTTGCAGTGATCTTGGCCCCGAAAAACACACCAAGCAGCTCGACTATGGCGATGACAATGACGAAGACGATTCGACCCTCTCGGCCCTCTGTGTTCCCGGTTCAAGACTGGTCCGGACCGGGTTTGTGCACTCCACATGCTCAGGTTTGTAACAATTGCAGCATTCTCTTTCAGTTTTTGTTTTCTTCTATTGAGTTACAGAAACCAAAAAAGTACAAGTAAATCGATCATTTCTTGGAAGCTGAAGGTATAGGTTTTATGTGATGGAAAGAAATTGAAATTAGACTATGATTCTTGGCGCAATTATCAAACCGCAGTGTCTGTCAGTATGAAAATTCAAGTTTTTAAAATTTTGCATTTCCCTTTTTTTTTCTTTCTATTTTTTGGGTAGAATTTTTAAATGCTTGGCTGGTCATTTTTTCTTGATGTAGAACCGTATGTTCCATCATATTAAGATTGTCAGTTCGCATTGCATATGGTTGCATTCACATTGTTTTTTTTTCTTCTTCTCTTTAACCAGATAACCTTGTGTTGTTTGTGAATGCTGGAGGGGAGGCTCTTAACGAAAATAGAAATCTCGGTATTCAAGTTGAGCCTGACAGATTTTTCCAAGGAGGGGATGTTCTAAGAACCGATGAAACCATTGACGGAAGTGATGTACCATCCATTTATCAATCTGCACGTTTTGGAAATTTCTCTTACCGGTTCGAGAACCTGTCTCCTGGAGATTATTTTGTAGATCTTCATTTTGCAGAAATTGTATACACAAATGGTCCGAAAGGAATGAGAGTTTTTGATGTCCTCATGCAGGAAGAGAAGGCAAGTAAACCCAATTGAAATTTTTTCTAACATCTTCCTTTGGTACCTCAAATTTGATAAGTTTCTGGCATAATTTCATAAATTACGTTATTTCTGAAAATGGTCTGTTTTAATCTGTGTAATAACAGGTTCTATCAGGAATTGATATCTATTCTATTGTTGGAGCTAATAAGGCACTACAGTTGGTAGATGCTAGAGTTTCTGTATGGGAGGATGGGGCAATTTCGATAAGGTTCGTAGGCGTTAATGGAAGTCCAATTGTTGGGGGAATTTGTATAAAGCGGGCGGCTACGTTACCTGGTATCTTTATATTTTTATTTTCAGTTGACTATATGAGATATATCTGAACATAACTTACTCTTGAGACTCATTCCTTCTATCATATAACTTGAATGAAGCATCAAAGGTGGAACATGGACGTCTTGTATGTAACAACTGTACTGCTGAAATAGAAATTTCATCTGCCCAGGTTAGATATAGTTTCAAATTAATTTTGGAACTTTGGAACCTTTGACTTTTTGTTTATATTGCCTTCAATTATTAAAAATTGCAGGAAAAATATATAAGGTTGGAATATACAGCTAAGTATGAAAAGAAGATAGAGGAGCTGAAGACCCGGTGCCAGGTCAAGACAGATGAATCCCATGAAGCTTGGATGTCACTGACATCTGCAAACAAACAGTTGCAGAACGTAACCATGCAACTTGATAACAAAATGTATGAAAGTCATTGTTTAGGTAAGGCAAGATCCAACTAGAAGTAATGACAATTTCAGTTTTGTGGTACGGAACTGAGTGTTGAAAATACCTTCTCTTTGAGTATCATCAGAGAGGAGGCCCCTTTGGTCTATCTGATCAAATTTCAAAACATTTATTCGTTCGAAGACAGATTATAAACTACTTTTGCAGATCAAGCTAGAGAAGAAACTGCAGCGAAATTCAGAGATATTTCTGGTAAATATGAGCATGATAAGAGGCTATGGACTGCAGTTGCTGACAATTTAGAAAGAAAAGTTAAGGTAGGTATATTATTTGCATGTATTCTC